CTTCCTCAGACAAAGTGCGACCCGAGACAGTGGCCTCGTCTCCTCCAGCCCTGTCGCCCGATGATATCCTCCTGCCTGTCCCAGCCCGTCCTGAAATGCCTATTCGTACATGCGACTATATGCACAGGCCCTGAGTGGAACCGAACCTGGCCGGATCCGTGGGAAAGAACCTGACAGCCACCTGCGGCCGTCCGGCCTTTGCCGCCGAGCATGCAATGAAGACGCATGGCGGCGCGGCGTTGCTGTGTTGGCAGACGCTGGCTGACTTGTTCAGTGGACTCTCGATCCTAGTTCGCGACCGAAGGGGTCAAGGCCAAGAGACGCGCTCCAGTGGGGGTTCACAATGCCAATACCGTCACAGCTATCCAGCCAGCCGCAGGCGCCCAGCCGTTCGTGCGAATTAGACGATGCAGCAGTGGAAGCAGCAATAACAGCAGCGAGGTCCATATTCGGCCCATACGCAAGCAACCCCGCTTTCTCTCCAGGCCCAGGCCGGAGACTCGAGGAAACATGGATGAGGTCCTACCGGAGGGCCGCGATGACATGACGCGCTCCGCTCCGCTCCTCTCCGGCGTGATGCATCACGGTCTTATGGGCACCAGAGCCGCCCTTCGCGACCGAAGACCCCCATGTGCGGGGTGGAAGTGAAGCGGAGAGGCAAAATTGCTACCCACCGAGCCACCGAGCGGCCCATCCGCGCTGAGGACCTCCGCCATCACTCCTCCGTACTTCACCTCACCTCGAGGCTACGGGCTAGCAACGAGGCATTTGCCCGGACGGATTTATATGCAGTGACACGGAATCACGCAGGTACCATCAGGACGAATGTCGCGGGGTCTCTTGGTCGTCAGTCACGGGGTTGAAGTCTCTCACGCCCGCACAGGCATCCATGTCCATGCCCAGGTCCACTCTCAATCCCACGCCCATGCCCATGCCACGAGGCTCACGCAGGGTCCCATCGCACACACACGGCTGCTGGCATTGGGACTGGCACGACGACCGGGAGCCTCCGTGTCTGTTTGCCGCGGTCCGGAGGAAAACCGGCAGGGGTTCGGAGCTTAGCCTCGCGCAGTGCTCTCCGTTCTTGGGACACTCAGGCGTCATCATGGACATTCATGAAGGCTGCCGCGCATCGTGAAATTGTTCATGATGCAGTTTCACAGGCCAGGCGGTCCCCATCTCCGCCGTCACCTGTGCTCCAGCTACCCACCTCCCGCCTCCGCCCTATGGATCCCGCGCTCAGCTCCCATTGAGAGTAGCCCGGCTTAATACACCAATGTCGTTTCTAAGGTGGCCCTGCGACCCCAGGTCTCTGCTCCTGATATTTACCCCTACGCCCGCTGAAGAACCCACTGGGTGCCCGGCCGGAAGGCCCCAGCTTCTTTCACCTGACTGAAGAGCAGTCTGACACCGCTGTTTGTCATTATCAGTCATGGCATTGCAAATGGTCAGACCAGGTCAGCTTCATGATCAGGCTCTTAGCTGGTGGTGGCTTCCCCTCTCCCGGCTTTCGGTTGGTCTAGAAGGAACAGTGAGACACGCCTCGACAGAAAGCAGCTGGCTCCCGCAGAATGTCACACAACTGCCTGACCTAACATGCATGCAAGGCCGTCCAGGTGGGAAGCTTTTCGCACTGTTGCGCAGGTCACTCGAAAACGGACCGGAAGCCTTGCCTGGCTCGTCCAGACATGCCATCAGGGCCCACCACCCTCCACGTCCCTCCACCTCCCGCACCCTCGCAAAGCGCCATGATTGGTCTTAATCGCAAGCGTGAATCCTCCAAACCGGATTTGCCCTGCTCGGTTCCATCTGGTTTTCTAGAAGCCTGCGCCCCTGCATCTTATTGGGAGCTTGGGCCATCGAGCTGCAGTGCTACCTACGTAGGTCCTCAATGCTCCCCACTGTTGGATGCGCACTGTTACATCCACTTCCTGTCCAGCTCATGACTTGTATGTACCTCTGGAATTGCGATGCAGCTCAGTGCATCGCAAGGTTGCCAGAGGTCAAACCAACACCAAAAGATGTCCCCATGCATCGCCAATTACCAACTGCCGACGGCCAACTGCCAACATTATTCACGTTACGGATCAGCTGCCGGACCCGGCCGGTAACCCCCTCGAATCGCTGTTGCAGGATTTCATAGTCTGGAGGTGTGGTAGAAGTTTCTTTTCTTCACCTGTGATTTGTCTATGGCATTTATTGAGCCTCCGTCCCCGGCATTTACTTGGGACTCCATGCAGTCAGACGCCCATTGCATCCCCATCGTTTCTTCGCGTCCCCTCCATCCATCGCATCCCGCATTGTGGCTTGTCAAGCGCGGTGGCAAAGAGGAAGGAAACGGACCTCCGTTTTTCGGATGGATTGTCGAACTACAACTTACCGGACTTGCAGATCTCCTCCGTTAGCCACGCTTGGTCTGTTGACGAACTCCTTTCTTGCCTTGCCTTGCAATTGACCACTGGATACTGTTCTCCCAGCACAGCATCGATCACACTAGCCTCCGCTCGCTACACCTCGGGTCGCGTCTTGTGATGGCGCTTCTCCTCTTAGCCGCGTCTGCCCGATCCAGAATAAAATTATCAATCTGCCCCGTCTCAGGTGCCTCCGGAGGTAGGCCGGAGGTAGTCCGGGAGAAAGGGGGAGACCCTCTTCATTTCCACCCGCACTTGGGTCGCATCGCGATGGCAATTCCGCGGCCATCGGCTGAGGGTGCCCGCCAAGCGAAGACCGGAACAAGAAGAGGCCGCTCTAGGCTGTCGGTGGCATTCTGTGGTGCGTTGCATTACGTGCATTGGCCACGATGTCAAAAGGACACTGTATGCATCTGCAGAGTTTAGGCGTACGTATAGACGAAGGGCGTGAGGCGCGACACTCGTCATGATCCGATTCTTCGGCGGAGGCTACGACGGCTCGGTATATCATGGCAACGAGCGGTTCATGACAGCGAGACCCCGACGGCCTTTGCTTTTCCGCTTTGCCTATTTCCCCGTCCCTTTTCCCGATATCCGTCTTTGATTGGCTGCAGTGGCTCCAGAGCTGCAGCATGTGTGGGCTGCCACCATTGGGGCGTCTCGTCTGTCCTCAGGCATCCAATAATCGGCCAACCCCCACGCTGACAAGGGCTGATTGCGAAATCAAAACCCTCCGTATCATCTCGCAGGAAAAGTTTTTTCATCTTTCTGCAACCTTCACAAGAAGCACTTGCTGGTGCCACGAGTGCCATTGCACCCTCGCATATGGTCACTCCGCGACGATCGACCGGGCATTCCGTTCCCGATCACCTCCAGTCGGCACCATCTTGACGACTGTTGGCGATGCGCTTGGAGGGTGACCTTCGATTGTCTCTGGGCTGTTGTGGTTGTCCTCTGGCCCGGTAAGGCTGGAGGATCTCGGCGATGTCCACCGCTGGCGATGACGGCGATGCACCTGCCGTGCCACAGGTGGACAGCATCAGATCTTCCTGGGTGCTTCAAGTGAAGAGTTTTCTCCTACTGCATCGTCATTTCTGCACCTCCTTTTTGCCACTGCTCGAAGGGGATGATCGCGAACAATTTTCGGATCGAACGGTGCCTCGCTGGGGAACCAGTCCGATCTACGGGGGAACCACAACTGGTTCGCCGCACTAGATTGCTCACTAGATTGGCTTCCTTGCCGACGACTAACCGAACCCAGCACTACATCTCGCTCGTGACGTTTTGCCAGCTATTACACCGATTTATCGGCGTATTATCGACATTCAGCGCTTGCTCTCCATTGGCCTGATTGTTTTCGCTCTGGCATAGAAAAATAGAACTCGTTGCTGGGCACCCGGTTTTGAGAAGTCGTCTTGACTTCCTGGACAAGCCGGGAATCAGCTGTAGGCACATACCATGATTTGAATGTACCCATTTCGTAGTCGAGGTTATTGGATCTCCGTTGGAGAGAATGCCGGCCGCTAGGCGCCAAAGTGTCTGGGTGAAATTTCAAGCTACGTTCAGCCACATCCCCAACGACAGCGTAGGGGCATATTCCGACGGGCTATCCCGGGGGCGTTCGACAGCGCGTTATCGACGTGGCTTGGGACAGATGACACAGGTCGCGTGGAGTGGCAGCTACCGACCGATTCAGGTGGCACACGGACGAATGATGGCTTGAGGTTGAAGGATGGGCGGGAGACTCGGACGGCGTCACGGCGCCACGGCGAGGCTACCGGGCGACCGGCATCGCCGACGTTGGGCCGTGGGGATGCTGACCGACGCACCCTGTTTGGAAGGTCGCGGCAGTAGAAGCACCAGGATTGATGCGGAAGGGTCAGAGGATGGTTCCCAAGAAACACGCCCGACGGCCGTTTGGAGACAAGGCTGGAGGCTGGGCCATGTGAAATGACGATCGATCGGGTCGGGTGCACCCTCCATTGTCGAGGAGCGGATGGAGGGCGATTGCGGTTCGTCGGTGAGTTTGGGGGGGTGGTAACTAGCCACCGAGAAGCTGCTATCCCAACAGGTTGCAGGTTGCAGGTTGCATAACCCAGTCCCGGTCCCCACTGCGTAAGTTAGGTCGGTAACCTGTAATTGTTGGAGCAATAGCCTTTGCAAATCATTGGAGTGTTTCCAGCGTGGCTGGCCGCGGCAGTGGCAGTTTGGGGGATGATGGATGCAGGCGGCTTCTTTCGGCGAGGGTGAGAGGGTGACGACGGTGGCAGGGCGCATTGCAGACGGTCGATCGGCCGACATGACCAGCTGCCAACTTTGTTGCTATATACGGAGTACTTTGTAATTGCTATGTAGCTGCGACCTGAGCTGCGTCAGCGTTCAACTCCAGAAACGCATGCACTGCAGCGGTTGAAAGCGACAGGGGCCGATTCGCTGGCCGACCTGGCTGGGCGATGGTGTGCTCAAGCCTCAGCGAGCCTCGGTGTCGTCGTGGTCGTGGGGGAGGGTACGCGAGCGGGCGGGGGATACGCGGGCCGGACCATCCATGGGCGCTCTCCAACGTCACGAAACTGCGCTTCCGTTCCCATTCGTCTTCAAGGTGCCTTGGGTCGCCCGGCTCAGTCCAGTTCGCGTTCACGTCGCAGACGCCTTGATCGCCGCCTACTTGAGCCTACTTGAATCCTGCCCGCGCCATCGCCCAGCTCGTCCACGCCCCAGCCGCCGCTTTCAGCCGTCATCGGACTTGTTGCTCGACATCCCACGTCTCACGCTGCATGACCGCGAGCCACTCAACGAGGCTACGGGGGCAAATACCTACGCCATGGCAGACAGCAACAGGTAGGTTTAGCCCCCTTGTCTCCTCTCCTCCCTTCTCCCCTGGTGCGTCCCAGTCCGCATCCGCCCCCTCTGGGAGATGCCACGGGGACGGGGGCGTTGATCCATCGTTTGAGGCCCCCGTATTGACCGAGCCTGGTTTCTGCGCAGCCGTGTCAATGTCGTCTTCGTCGGCGCGGGTGCCGTGGGATGTTTCTACGCCTCCCGCTTACACCATGTAACGTGCTCTCCTCTCTTGTGTCGCCCCGAGGCATTGAGTCATTAATGCGGCTCTCGTGTGCTGACCGCCGGCCCGGTAGCCTTCTCACAACGTCCACGTCTCCCTCGTGGCTCGGTCTAACTACGCAGCCATTCAAAAGGACGGTGTGAAGCTGGAGACCCGAAGCTTCGGCGACTACACGTTTGCCCCAGATGCCGCGTTCCCGTCCGTAAGTGCGGCGGCTGATGCGCCTGGGGAGGACGGAGCGAAGCGAGACTGGCACTACATTGTCGTCACAACCAAGGCCCTGCCTGATGTAAGCGATGACTCGGACATGATTACGCCCCTCGTGGGCCCCAAGTCGTGCATCATCCTCATCCAGAACGGCGTCGGCGTCGAGGAACCCTTCCGGAAGCGGTTCCCAGACACACCCATTGTCAGCGCCGTCACCGTCATCAGCGCGGAACAGACGTCCCCGGGCACGATCCGGCAGAACCGGTGGACACGCATCAGCATCGGCCCGTACACCGACGGCCTGGGCACCGGGGACCCGGAGGTGGTCCGGCGCGGGACGGCGTGCACTGAGGCGCTAACGCGGTGGTGGACGGACCTGGGCGGCATCCGCGACGTGGAGCCGCACGACGAGGTCGGCCTGCAGACGGTGCGGTGGCACAAGCTGTGCATCAACGCCGCCATGAACCCGTCGGCCGTGCTGTCGGGCGGCCGGGGCAACGCCGACATGGTGGCCGACCCGGAGCTCCGGCGCCACCTGCTCGGCGTCATGCACGAGATCCGGGACGCCGTGCCGCGCATCCTCGGCCGCCCGTTCCCGGCGAGCATGGCGGCGCCGGACAAGATCATCGAGAGCACCGCCCGCAACAAGGGGGCCCGCCCGAGCATGCTGCTCGACTGGGAGGCCGGCAAGCCCCTGGAGCTCGAGGTCATCCTGGGCAACCCCGTGCGCATCGCCCGCGAGAGGGGCGTCGAGATGCCGAGGTTGCAGAGCCTGTATGCGCTGCTGAGGTCTGCGCAGCAGATGAGGAAGGCAAGCGAGGCAAAGGGGAAGCTGTAGTTGCCGAGTGCTGCCCCTTGAGAGAACTGGGCTGGTTTTTTTATTCCATGACTGGGGACGATAGTGTATGTAAGAGTTACGGTTTCAGTCGCCATATCAATTGGCCCATCTACATTTCGGACGATAGCAGCAGTGTTGTGATTCAGCGCCGCACCCTCGTGTTGGTCTGCGCACCTCTTTCATCCCTTAGCTTAGGCTCTTACAAGCTGTCCAAAATATCTTCATTTCCTCAAGCCTTTTCCCTCTCTTCTTCCTTTGAGCCTTCACATCTCTTCCTCCCCTCTCCCTCTTCTCTATCTTTTCTCTCCTCCATCTTTCATCTCTTAGGTTAGGCTCTTACCTGTCCAAATATCTTCATTTCCTTGAGCCTTTTCCCTCTACTCTTCCTTTGACGTCCGCATCCCTTTCTCCTCTCCCTCTCTTTTCCCTCTCAACCTTTCACCTCTTAGGTTAGGCTACCTGTCCATATATCTTCAATTCCTTGAGGCTTCTTCTCTCTTCTTCCTTTTACCCCCGACACCTCTTTCTCTTCCACTTCTCTCTCCATCCTCTCTCTCCATCCTCTCTCTCCATCCTCTCTCTCCATCCTTCATCTCTAAGTTTAGGCCTTTAGGTGCCTGCCTATATAACTTCAACTCTCTCCCCTTCTCTTCCCTCTTCCCTCTTCCCTCTTCCATCTTCAACACTTGAATCCTCTCATCACTCTCTCTCTCCTCTTCTTTTTTTCTCACGCTCTCTGCATCTGCTCTCTGATGCCTCTCTCCCGTCCGACCTACCCTCTGCCTTCTTTAAACTCAAATCTCCCGTCCTCTTCGTACCTCAGCTTCTCCTTCCACGACTCCACTGCTCACTATGTCTGAAACTGAGAATGAAAGTGTTGAGCACTTGGAACTTCTGGTCGCTAACGATGCTGACGATGATCATGAACTAAACGGGCAAGGTCATGATGAGGCACTTAGCATGGCCGATTGGGGTGGCGATGTTGAGGCCATGCTTAATCACGCTGGTGGAGCACCTACACCAGACCCCTCAAATCCCGGGGATGATGATAGTGATGGTGACATTGAAGATGGTGACCGTCCAGATGGCGTGCCTATCAACGATGATAACATTGTGTGGCCAGTCTGGCATGGCGCATGCAATGTTACATGCAGGCCCCCTTGGGAGCACCTCTTTGGGGTGTACCAAAACTACCAGACGATGTTCTCTCGCCAGGGGGAGACAATCCTGGAACAAGAGAGCGAGATAAGGCGTCTCAGACGGGAGCTTCGAGATCGGGACGAGTTGATTCGACGCCTTCGCTTTGGAAATCGAAAGACAGAACCAGTGAGTTTCATGACCATTCAACCTCTTCTTCCGTCGCTAATCACCATCCAAAGACATATCCAGGAGTTGTGACAAACTGGGTCGAGGGTAACCACCACATGTTACCCCAGGGTATCCGGACCTGGGAGGACGTCTACAAATTAACCTGCCGAGAAACGAGTGAGTGCGAATCTCTGGAGTTATTGCTGTATTTCTTTACTAACAGCTTTTTTGCAGACATGTCGCCTCATCCGAACAAAACCCACCCAGATCTCCGGCTCAGAACTCCGAACGAAGATGAAGAAGAGGCTGAGGATGAAAAAGCGGCTGAAGACGAAGAAGATGCTGAGGACCGCGATGAACTCGAGGGACTCGAGCTTGGCGCAGGTAACGAACTGGTTGAGGTGCAGGGCGTCTTTCCTTTCGACCAGCTGGATTCCAACCTCCAGGTCGAGATTCTTCGTATGGTTCTGGTCTTCGATGGACAGGTGGTCCATGCAATTTCTCGCCTCGATCCATACTACGAGCCGACAGTGGTACCTCTGAACTGCAGAGGGGAGATATCTCCGCTCCACCGGTTTCACGTGGGCAAGAACAAGGTGAACGTCACCTTTGCACAGAAGCCTGAAGACCTTCTTGCTCCCCTCTTGGTTTCAAAGAGATGGAACTACATCGGAGCCAACCTCTTCTACTCTGGGAACAAGTTTTGCTTCTCCTCGCTTGGCGAATAGGGCCGCTTTGCGTCTGGAATTAAGCAAAAACTCCAACGAATCCAGGACATTGAGATTTTGTGGACAGGCTCTCAGTCGCTGTCATTCGCGCCGAATGGACGATCAAAGTACCGATCGAGACGAACGGTGCCTCTGACGTGGCTTGGACAAGCCAGCCGCCTGAAGACTCTTGTTGTCCATGTTCAGGAATCTTCTCCAGCCTACATGCGTCGCAAGCATGAGCCGAGGGGCATTATCCGCTACATGACAGAAAGAACAACAGAGCAACCAAACTACAGACGTTTTCGCTCTCTGCGGAACCTGCAAGGATTGGACTACATCCACATGCTCCGTGGCATGGAGCTGGTGACGTTCTTGGACTACGACCTGTGGATCGAGAGGAGAACAAAGACGCCTGTACGAGACTTTACGTTTGTCATGGACGTCAACAATGCCGTCCGTCGCCCAAAGGCTGCAGAGGACCTCCGACTGTCTAGATTTGGCTACCTCGCACCGCTGTTAGATCACTACAGGGCTTGTGAAACAGACCGAATTGCCGTGGGTCGGGCTATCGAGCGGAGAGGTGCGTTTGGAGCACCACCATCACCCCGTCCTGACCATCGCAATGCCATTCATCAACCACCGACTATTGTGGTCGACTCCAGCGACTCCGAAGACGACGACGAGAACTCCGACAGCGAGTCGGATGGCTCAGATGACGGAAATTCGCCCAGCCCTGGTTCTGGAGGAGGAGATGGTGGGGGAGATGGCGAGGACGAAGGTGACGACGACGACGGTTCGGATGGAGGAGATGGTGGAGGAGATGGCGAGGACGAAAGTGACGACGACGATGGTTCGGATGGAGGAGACGGTGGTGGTGCTGCAGAACTCGACATCAACTTCGACTTTGCAGCTATGGAGGGACGCTTTCCTCGCGCATCCGACAGAGGTTCACCAGCGTCTGAGAGAACAATTATTGATCTGACCAGCGATGGGGAGGAGTCATTTTCGGAATCGGATGCCATGACAGCAAGAGCCTCTCCTGATGCGCCTGGCCACTTCTCGCGACCAGTTGACAGCATCAACTCGGGTGAATCTGGGATGACCGATAGCCCTCAGACAGCCCCAAACGACAATCCCAACCAAGATGAGCAACAGGTCCTCCAGCCAGGCGAAGAGCCTTCCCTCTTCGTCCTCAGTCCCTCCACACAAGAACAGTTGGAGTTTATAGCCAAAGTCGAATCACCAGATCCGCGACAGGGCTCTACGCCAGCAGTGGCTGGAAACTCCATGCCGCCTCCTGCGCGGAGATCAGGCTCACGGAACGTAACGCCAGCCTCTAGGCAATTCACTACGCCTGGCCGGCAACTACGAGCGGAGAGCGACTTGTTTGTCAGTGGAACCCCGTACAATGACATCGTCCGGTCGTCCAGCGCCCGAGGCAGCCGACACACCACGAGAGCCCCAACCGCTGGGATGGAAGGAGAGCCTCAAGTGATTGACCTCACCGGCCCGACTGGCGGGCTGAGGAGAAGCCGGGATGAGCTCGATGGTTTTATTTCTCCAGACGGCTCTGTTTCTCGACGTGGGGGTACGGGATCGGAAGGGAGTTCTCCAAAGAGAGCTCGATTTGTTTGAGGGGCTGATAGTTGACGATGAGAGAACTGGGCTTTGAGTAGAAGCATGGGTGTTGAGACGGTCACTTGCTGAGAACGGGGGTTGACGGTGCAATGATTACAATGGATGGACATGCAGTGGACTACAGCGTCTGCTTGGCTTGGCTTTTGAATGGGAGGAAAATCGGGTGCAATCACCACAATTTCAAGCTACACGGCCTTTGGAGCGAATGGGAACTGGCTAGTTGAGAACTGAAGAAGATCAACAAAGATCGAAGGCTTCGGTAACAAAAGGAGTTTAAGTGGTAGCTACAGGCTCACAGATATCAGCGTTTGCTCAGATACTCATCGATGATTTTGCGATCCAATATGAGAGTCTGGTGAAAAAAAACCACCAGGTCAATTTATTACCAGCAAGAGAAATCCGCACACCCGTCGTTATAATGTGACGCCTCCACACTCAAGAAAAGATACCAAGTCTGATGCTAACAAAATTTGTCCCAAGGGCAAGCAAAGCTGTCTACGGCGCGCCCTTCTGGTGGTCTGTTTCCCGCCTGTGCTGGTTGACAAAAGAGTTTACTCATGACTGTTGTTACATGTGCAGCATTTTCAAAGAGCTTACTCTTCATATTCCACCGATCACATAACATGAGCGGATGAATTCGACGACTACACCGAAGTGCTACGGCACACCAAGTGTTGACATCTAGACTAGCCCGTGAGGCTTTGCTAACCATTGGGCCGAACGCGCCGAGGAGCTTCTTTGGCGTTGCAGTGACAGACCTCGTCTGCCGCCGCTGGATTCAAATTCAATTTCAATGATTTGGCCAGAGCCGAGGTGAGCGAACCATTGCGATGTGCAAATCACTGTTCATGTCACTGAATTCTCTATTTTTGAGTGTGAATTTAGTAAGATGGAGGGAAGATACAACATATGGCAAAACTACAGTCACATGCGAGACGATTCTACGAACGTTGCTGGACATTGAATCGCATGTTCGTCATGAGGAAAGGTAGAATCGCATTGTAGCACCTACTATAGCTACTATCATGTCAAGTCCCAACGCACCATCTCATTAAACGACAGACCAAAAGAATGAATGATTTCGGTCGTGGTGGTATAGTACATGTCAAGTCTCAACGTATCGAGAAAACCCAGTCCCACCCAAATACACATGCATCATCATACCGTAAGAAAGTACTTGCGCAAGTCACTATTCAAAACCCAGCGCATCCGCTTTGCGAGTCCTTAACGAAGACTCGGGTGTACGTGCACTCTAGTACACGCCGTTCGGCCGATAGTAGTCGTTGGGAGCTGGAGCTGAGGGAGCATCACCCGGGGGGACATAGGGCTTGTACTGTTGTTGGCCACCAGCCTGGCTGGGCAGGTTGTGGCGGGAATCGTATGCACTACTGCCGGCCTGCTGAGGAGGTGGCGTCATGACGTTATGCGGAGGCTGTGGGGGCTGGCTGGTTGGAACGGCAGGGGGCGCCTGGTCGGGAGGCATGTAGCTCTTATACTGGGCGGGGGGCGGTTGTTGCTGCTGGGGGGCATATGAGTTGGAGGGATGCGAGTTGTTGTTCTGGTCATCAGGCGAGTACACGGAGCTCGAGTACGTCGCAGCCGAGTTGGGGTTGTTCGGCGCGATGGGCGAGTCGTAGACCGACGTAGCCAGCTCCTGAGCGCCATAAGTGCTCGAGGGTCTCTGGGAGTACGGGTTGGGGTCCTGGGGAGGAGGGTGAGAGTATGGGGTGTAGGCCTGGGCGGGAGGAGAGGTGTTGATGGGAGCGGGCTGTCTGCCGTCGGCGGGAGTCTCGTTTCTCGGCGGGTACTGCTGCTGGGTGGGTGGAATTTCGGCACCGGCAACATAGAAAGGAGCTGTGTTTTGCGATTGGGGCTGGAAGTTAGGAGGAGGAGACGAGGTTTGGTATGGGACGTGGTCTGGACGTGGTCAGTATCTGTCATGGCCAGTTCAGTTGGAGGCGAGTGACTTACCCTGACGGGGAAGACCGTATCTCTGCTCTTGCTCCGGTGGCGGCTGAGGAGGGTATCCTCCATAGCCCGCTCCCGAAGGTCCTGGCCGAAGAGCATACTGCTGATAGCTGTGCTGGGGTGGGTGGGCCATAGAGGACTCAAGGAGGGCTTCGTAATCCCGTCGAGCTTTGATGAACTTTTCATTAAGCTGGGTGAAGTCATCTATGGTCTGTGAGCGTGGGTTCGCACAGCGAAGGAGCACATATACTCACCCTTCTTCTGCGAATACTTCTCAATCAACTTGATCAGCTTCGGTCGGATGGCCAACGTTTGGTGATAGAGCTTCTGCAAAATCGTTAGCACACTAGGCTTCATCCTTCCGTCTCTCAGATACGGGACATACTGAAATCTCCTCGTTATCTTCATCTTTAGGTGCCGTGTTGGTGGTGCTCAGCAGAGTCAATAGCTTCTCGACGTTCTTGATCTCCGCAAAGACCTCGGCCTCCATCTGGGCCTCACGCTGCAGCTCATCCGGTGTTGGGTCGGTCAGCTTCTCAACGTAGTTGAGAGGAAAGATGCCGGTCTTGCCCCGGAGGGAGCCTCGCCACCAGTCCTTGTAAACGCTCTCGAGAACGGCAATGACGTCGCCCTTCTTGAATTCAAGTTCACCGGGCTCCGAGGGGGCAAAGTCGAACAGGGCTCGGACTCGGCTGACTGTGGCAGCTGTGGTTCCCGCGGGTGGCGCGGGCGGCGCGGCCTCCTGCTGGCCGCTGGAACCAGCTTGATTGCTGGAACCGGCCGGTGCGACCTTTTTGCGCTCCTCGTCCTCCAAGCTCAGCTTGAGTGCGATCTGAAGCTCATCCTCCTCCTTTTGGCGATCGAGATCGGTGAGGCCACGCTTTTGTGGTGCGCTGGGAGGGTGGATGGTGGGGTTGCTCTTCTTGACCATGTAGTAGATCTGGCTCATAATGCCGAGCTCGGCGTCGTCGCTGAACATTTCGGTCCACTCCTTCATACGCTCGAGGACCTTGGGCTTGACCTGGCCATGGGTGTTGCGATCACTGGCGAGGCGGTGGAGAGCATCGGTGAAGGCGCGGCTGGAAATTTCGCGGCACATGGGCTTGCCGCAGTTCTGGGAGAGGGCGTGTGCGAGCTGTTGAAGATGTCAGAAAGATGCGATGCGAGTGTAGAGCCGCCGTAGGGATGCATACCTCAAGGGTGTAGAGCTGGACGTTGGCGTTGCGATGGGCGAGACGCTTGATCATGCTTTGGACGACCTCTTTTGGGCCGTTCGGGTCGCTGGTGACCTTGTCGCAGACCTCCATGATGGCGCCCCAGTCCTCGGAGGTGAGGTTCTCGTCGGTAGCCTTGGCTGGGATATTGTCAGTTCGCTATTCAAGTCGAGGACGGCTGCCTGCGGGTGCATTTGTTGAATGTATCGGTCGCCGCTTGCATGGGGACGGCGGCAGAAGCGACGCCAAGGAAGGTAGATAGACATGGGCCGGCGTGGATATGCAGGTGGACATGGTTTGAAAATAGGTAACATACCGACGGCATCGTCAAAGGGCCCAGCTGCTGCTGCTCGAAACATGGTGGGCTGTGGTGGTGCTGCCAGGCAGGCGGCAAGAGGTGATCAGGCAAGCTGAGGGAGGGGATATGCGCGGAGGTGGACGGCGAGATTGATCTGGTCGTCGATGCGATCGCTTTGAAGTATTATGGAAATGGGAGGGACGAAGGGCGAAAGACGACAAGAAGAAAAGGACGTCGCACGTCGTTCTTGTGCGGTCCGTCTGGTGTAGTGGTGGTCGTGGGCGGGTGGTCGTTGGCAGGTGGCTCGGGCTATGGGTGGTCGTCGTAGGCGTTACGTAGGCTCGGTCCTTAGGGGGCGGGCGAGCAAGGCTGAGGCTTCGGACTCGGGTTACAGAAGACTGTGCGCTGGGATGCGAGTGCGGGATGCTAGGAGAAGAGGTGGAGGGAAGATGGAGGGAGGAGTTGGCCGGCGCTGCGAGTGAGATGGAGATGGTATCAATCGAATCGTCCATCAGGCTGCTGTCTCCAGCAGGTCGCTCTGTCTGTCTGCCGTGACCCGAGCGTTGCTCTCATTGGCCGGCTCGTCAACCTGCCCGCCACACGTTCGTCATCCATCGGGGATCAGAGGGGCTGAGCTCTGGCAGCGTCCCCACCTATTACGGCCAGCTCTTGCTGCTAAAAATGTTCCCTCAGGTGTCTGCTCAGTGGCCCCAGCGCCCGAGAAGAGCACTAGCGGCGTGTCCCGAGGCCTTGTCGCAGGGGAGGGAGCTCACAAGGATACCTAGGACGCATTATCTTTTGGTGCTGATGGCCTACTACTGTACACAAACAAAGCAGGTTTTCATTATTAGTGACCCGGGGTCCTCGAGATCGCAACAAAGGTTCATCGTAATACCTCAGGCATTAGGACATACTGACGCTCATGTTCTATTCTATTTAATTCCATCTTCTTTGCCAAGCTCTAAGCATCCAGGCTGTATCATGGTGATGTCACACGTGCACATCGCAAACATATAAAAAAGCATCCCTTATTGGAGCTGCCGGTCCCGGGCAGAGCCGTTTAATCGCGTATGTTACACTGCGCTTTTTCGACACATCTCAGCTTTGTCAAAGTCATGCTCATTCAAGCACTTGTGGCTCTCGTGCGGATCGTAGCCCAGCCTTTGAAACAAACAACCCTGGTTTAGCATCGCCACAATAGAGTACGTACAAAGTACTCAAGTCTATATTTGCTTTAAGTTCTCGGCAAAATTAAACATTCAGAATACTACCTTGAACACCGTCCCCCAGTTATTATTGCATTATCAAGAACTTCACATCGCTCGCTAACGTTGGAAAGCTGCCGCGCTCTGCGGACAGGTAATTTCTCCGTTCCTCGTATGCTCGCTAGTTCTCGCCAAAGAGGCCGCGCATTCGCCACGCAGCCGCACAGCCGACGTCCTTAGCGTCCTGTCGTATTCTACCGTATCCATGAAATCCGCGTATAGCATCAAGGAGTGGTGTTCGTGTTGACTATACAGTGAGAATGAGACATATATTACTCGTTCGTATATGAATGCCATTTCCCTGACAAGAGCATCCAACGTGAAAGTTGAAAGAAACATAAACAGTTGATTCGTCAAGACATCTATCATACCATGACCATGGTCTAAGCGAGTCCCCAAAATTGGCAAATCCCCTCTAAACGCCATGTGCCTGCCTTATGTGTCCAGTATCATTTACCATCGTCGGCCATAAACCTCGCTCTCCTGTCTCGCCATCGTCGGCTTCTTCCTCATATTCGTCGCGGCCCTGTAGCCCCGATCCTCGACACTCTCCTCCTCCCCGTCAACTGAGCCCAGCAGGGCGTGGTTATCAGTCGAGCCAGGCTTGAAGAGGTCGATGAGCTCATTGAGGCCAAGCTTGAAGGTGCCCTTCTTCATGCTGCCCTCGATAGCCTGCTCGGCGAGAAGGCGCTTCTTGTTTTGGAGGTCGAGGATACGCTCTTCGACCGTTTTGGCGACAGTGAGTTTGTAGATGATGACATCGACGGTTTGTGTCAGGCGATGAACACGATCGATTGCTTGTTCCTCGACGAACTAATATCCAAGTTAGCATACTGGACAGATAAATGTAAGGGAGAGTGTTTGAAGACATACAGGGTTCCAGAACGGCTCAAGGATAACAACTCTTGTCGCGGCCGTAAGGTTTAGTCCCAAACTACCACATTTGAGACTGCATAGGAGGATCCGGGTCGCCTTGTCAGACCGCAGACTCCGCAGGCTTTCCTCACGCTCGTCGTTCTTCATCGATCCGTCGTAGCGAACAAATCGGAAGCCCTCTTTGCGGAAGAAGGGTTCAACGAGGTCGAGCATAGAGGTGAATTGGGAGAAGACAATAAACTTGTGCTCCCGGACCTCTGCCCGCAGGATCTTGATGAGCTCACGGATCTTGGCCGAGGCGAGGACATGGCTTGGCTGGGAGTTGTAGGCAGAATGGTGCACATCGTCATCGTCGGAGGAGAGGATCGAGGAATCGTCTTCGGAGTCCTCTTCAGAGGCCTCTTCCGAGTCTGATGTCTCCGAATCAGGGGTGGTTGTGGTATCCGCCGCAGTAATATCAGCAACAGAAGAATCGGCTGCAGTAGTGTCTGCCGTCGAAGTATCGGCAATGGAGTTATCTTGCTCATCGTCCAGAGTCTGGGCTGCCATCTGCTTCGTGAGGGCCGACACGGACAGCAGCGAGTCATCATCATCCGACGCCTCATCAACCGACTGGTATCCTTTCTCCTTCTTGGCCACTTCATCATCCACGACGAAGCTGCTGAGGTTGCTCTGGTCCTGCGCGTTGCTCTGATCCTCGTCTTCAGAGTCCTCAGAGCCAAGAGAGTCGCCGCCACCCTCAGCGTTCTCGTCCTCCTCCCCACCGGCCTTGCCGAGTCGCAGGACGCCCTGTTCATCTTCAGGGACGAGCCAGCTACCTTCAGCTTCCTCCTCATCTTCGCTGTCGATAATGGCGTTGCGGTTGCGAGGGCGACGGTTGGTCTTCACGGGTGACTCGACCTCCTCCGCTGCAGGTTTCTCCTCAACAGCTTTCCCTTCCCGCTTCTTCTTAGATTTGTCCTTCTTAGATCTCTCCTTCTTGGACTTGTCTTTCTTTGAGTCATTCTTCTCCGGCTTTTCATGCGCGTTGAAATAGGCCAAGTCATCGTGGCACTCTGAGCAAATGTCCCTACCCAGTCTGCTGTCTTGAGTGTTCAACGCCCGTCCGCAGATGTTGCAGGATTTGGATTCGATCCCCATGCCGGCGAACATATCAGCCATGGCATCAACATCTGCTTCCTGAGACTTTTGGCTCGAGTCGGTTGTCAACGCATCCTTGTCTTTGTCCAGTTTACCCTCCAACAGCTTGGGGTGATTGCATGCCTGACGCAACCGCAGCAGGAGGGTCAGCGCGTTGGCGTAGTTGACCCGACCACGCATCATGACCTCGATACTTCGGTCAGTGCGAGCCTCCAATCGCGTGTAGAATTTACGCTCTGCGGGAGACAGTTCGGTTGATACAGTGACAACCTTGCGCTCAGTCACCTTGAAGCCTGTTGTGGATGGCTCACCCTCGGCGGATGGTTTACCACCAGGGTTGAGCGCTCCAGCCTCCTTGAGAATCTCCTTCGTACGGCGCTTCATGAAGCATCGAAGAAGACTGTGTAGTCTGCGGATGGCGATGTGTCCTTTTCCGTTCTTCAAAGGCAGGTCAATGTGGGCCTTCCACTCCTTGAGATCGTCGTAGGGGCTGATACGGAGGAACTTGACGAGAGATTGGAGCTCGTCCAGGTTATTTTGCATAGGCGTACCGGACAGGCACCATCGATACTCAGAACGCAACGCGTAGCACGCCTTGGTGGCCTTTGCATTGCGGTTCTTGATGGTGTGAGCCTCGTCCAGGACAACTCGCCACCAGTGCAGCCCAAAGCATCCTGCCTTGACACCACCCTCGGCGTCCGAAGAGTGACCATGCTCCGAAACGAGAATCTGGTAGGTTGTGACGACCACATCGTAAAGAGCTAGCTCTTGGAAACGCTTCGTTCGCTGCGGTCCGTGGTGGACGCAGACCTTGAGCCCTTGTGACCTTTCCACCTTGTCTTTGATCTCGTGCTCCCACTGCCGGATGAGCGCCAGCGGTGCTACCACGAGGGTGGTTTTCTCAACCTTTTCAAAGCTCTTCTTCCATCCTGGGGAATCTTTCTCTGGCTTCCGGTTTGTGAGGATCAGGGAGACGCTTTGCAGTGTCTTTCCAAGACCCATGTCATCAGCCAGGATCCCGCCCTTGGGGACCTTTCCTCGCTTGATGGGGCCGAGCTCTCGACCACGCATCCACTGAACGCCTTCGACTTGATGCGGTAGCAGCTTCACCTTGAGGCCGTCTACTGTTCCGTCCTTGGCGCTCTTCGCGGCATCTGCCTTCTTTGTCTCGACGTTGGCCTCGCTTGCCTCACCTCCAGCTGCACTTCCCTGTGATTCTTGCGACTGCTGTGGCTTCTCTTCTTCCTCTTCTTCGTCCTCATCATCCATCCCGCCCTCCAGCAAGGCCTTGAGATCTGCACTCGCCTTTGCAGGGTCTGTGTAGAACTCCCCCCCGCCATAACTCTTCGGCGGGGCAACTGGGGCATTTGAGCTGAACATCTGCATCGGCGGGGGCTTCCTATCCTGATAGCTCGGGGCCTTCGGACCAGCAACTCTGTTCTGGTCGATGTGGTGCTCGGGTCGTGTCTTCTGACGAATGAATGGGTCGGCTTTCTGCTTGCGGGACGACATCATTGTGGTTGGGTGGCCAAACGTAGGCCTGTTGGTTGCGGCGCTGCCGGACGAGTTGAATGAATCTCCCGAATCAGCTCGAAGCTTGCTCTTGAGCGATGCGAAGCCGTTCATTATGGCGGTGATATCGTCCTCTGGTGACTTCTCACGGGCTGGGCCGCTATTGGGCATGATGGACTGTAGGGGCGCCTTGGGAGGCGCGCGTTCGTTGACCATGGCGCCGAGGTCTTTGAGAGCAGTGATATCGTCAAGGCGAGACTTGTTTTTGTTGTTGTTCTTGTTCGCGGCCGTCGTCGTATTTTCTTGTGCTGGCGGCGGTTGAGCTTTGGAGAAATCAGGCTTCTGTGCCGACGAAAGCGTAGTCCGCGGCTTAAATGCAAAAGAAGCACCGGGCTTCGAAGACTTGAAAAGGGGCTTCGGCCTTGCGTCGTTGCTGTTCATGGGCCGATTCCGACGCGTGCGTGTCGGTGACTGTGTGTGAAGATGATACTTGCACCCACTGTAACTTTCGCTTTGTTGGTGTCGTTTGTTTCTGTGGCTCATGACATAATTGCCCCAGCAACTGGCCCTCCAAAGTACCCCTGTCGCGTAACCCCGCGTAAAGCACTGTGGCAGCGTGCACTAGCTACACTGAAGGCTGTAAACAAGGCCCCCTGGTTCACAGTGCTATCGAGTAGTGGGTACTTGCATAAATCATGGCGTCTCGTCAACCGTTACGATCTCCGGCGATAGAGTGCAGCAAACAATCTCGGATTCGTTCATCAAGCAAACAAGCAAATTGTAGGGGGCAGAATTCCGCAGGACATACAGCTACAAGAGAAAATATTGGCTGCGGGACCAGATGTATTTGACAACGGACCGCTTTGCCACTCACTGTTGACTAGGTTCTTGTCCACATCCACAGTGTCGTCTCTTCATCAACAATATCATTTATAACACAACACTCTTATCAGCTTAACTGGAATTTTCCAATCCGTTCAATTTCGAAGATCGATTCAAGCGAGTACTGCTATTTGCATACGTTCAAAGTGCTAATCGCACACAAGTACGACCTTTTATACCTAAGCTTAGTGTAAGGTAATATACCTAGACCATACGCCGGCCTTAAGGTATCTTATTCTAAAGAATTTCCAGTTTCTATCCTAAAATAAATTAAAAGATAAAATTTAAATAGTAATATTTAGAGAATAAATGTTTAGAATAAAGTTTATTTAATTTTCTTAGGTTTAACTTACTAATAGGTATATTATCGAGATTTCTTGGTGAAATTGGTTTATATACCTATTCAAGTATGCGAGTAGTATTTTGAGTGTGTGCAAATAGCAGTGCTTATTCAAAAACTGGTCGTGGATAGAAGGGGGAAAGTCAACCGGGACTGGACAATTGGGAACCCACTTAGACTCCTCATAGGATGCCATGAGCATATATATCAAGGCACTTCCTCACATTCAGTCACATTCCATAATTTAGTAGAACCAAATTTATGTAGATGATATGTACTTTTTCTATTGCTTTGAAATTCGTAAAGGCTTGTTCATGCCTACATTACACACAATCTCATCCGTGACCCATCAAGTGAAAAGCAGGGCAGCTTAGCTGCCATGGAAGACTCCGACCCAAAAAAACGAAATGCCGATTTGCCGCCAATCAATCTTGAACAATCCAATGCTAGTCTTCTTAAACTTCGGGACCGGCCTTGACAACGTCCTCGGTGGCCTCGCTCTCGTACTTGGTGAAGTTCTCGCGGAAGAGCTTGCCAAGCTTGACGACCTCGTTCGTGAAGGACTCCTCGCCGGCGGTCCAGGCCTTCTGGGGGTTGAGCAGCTCGGCGGGGACGTTGGGGCAGGTCTTGGGGACCTGGAGGTTGAAGACACCGTAGTTCTCGTACTCGACCTTGGCGAGTTCGCCGGAGTGGATGGCGTCGAGGATGGCGCGGGTGTACTTGAGGGGGCATCGCTTGCCGCCCTGGGCGAAACCAGCACCGACCCAACCGGTGTTGAGGAGCCAGGCGTTGGCACCGTGCTTCTCGATCTTGTCCGCGAGCATGCTGGCGTACTTCATGGGGTGGAGGGCGAGGAAGGGCTGGGCGAAGCAGCTGGAGAAGGTGGCCTGGGGCTCGTTCACACCGTCCTCAGTACCGGCCATCTTGGAGGTGTATCCAGAGATGAAGTGGAACATGGTCTGCGAGCGGTCGAGCTTGGAGATTGGGGGCAGGACACCGCGGGCATCGCAAGTGAGGAGGATAATGTTGGAGGGCGAGTTTTCTGACAGGCAAGGGATCTTGGCGTTGGAGATGTACTCGATGGGGTAGGCGCAACGGGTGTTCTCGGTGAGGGTGCAGTCGTCGTAGTCGACCTCGCGGGTCTCGGGGTCGAAGACAACGTTCTCGAGAACGGAACCGTACTTGATGGCGCCGAAGATATCGGGCTCCTTCTCGGCGGAGAGGCCAATGGTCTTGGCGTAGCAGCCACCCTCGATGTTGAAGACACCGTTGTCGCTCCAGCAGTGCTCGTCGTCACCGATCAGGGCTCGGTTAGGGTCGGCAGAGAGAGTGGTCTTGCCAGTGCCAGACAGACCGAAGAAGAGGGTGACATCACCGTTCTTGCCCTCGTTGGCGGAGGAGTGCAGGGTCAGGACGTTGTGCTTGATGGGCATCTCGTAGAAGAGGACGGTGAAGACACCCTTCTTCATCTCACCGGCGTACTCGGTACCGAGGATGACCATCTCCTTCTGGTCGAAGTTGATGGCGACGGAGGTGCCGGAGGTCATGCCCTCAGTGTATCGGTTGGCGGGGAAAGAGCCAGCATTGTAGATGGTGTAGTCGGGGTGGAAGTGCTCGAGCTCCTCGCGCGAGGGGCGGATGAGCATGTTGCGCATGAAGAGAGCATGGTAGGCACGGGCGCAGATAACACGGACACGGATGCGGTATCGCTCGTCCCAGCCGGCGAAGCCATCGACAACGTAGATGCGTTCCCGGGTGTTCAGGTAGTCGACAGCGCGCTCACGGTTGATCTTCCAGACCTGTTTGGGTAATTTTGTCAGCCATTGCACTCGAATGCGTCATGTCACGAGCTCATCAAGATGAGGTGGATTGGAATCCCGAGGTTTCCAAATCGGGCACAATGCGGCCGACGGAATCGGGAAAAGTCGTGATCGGGGGAAAGAGGGGCGGCCGGCCGCTCGGGCTCGGGCTGGGGCTCGGGAGTTGAGCGAGGCTCGGCTGTGCCTGCCCAGGTGCATGCACCGTAACAGGTTTGCCGGCTGGAAGGGAAGGTGAGAGGGGAGTGCGGGGAGTAGGCGTGTACCAGGCGTGTACCGGGCGTGTAGCCCTGTGTGGCAAAGCAGGAAGCAAAGACACCACGCCGAGCCTTTGCCAGAAGCGCTGGAACTCTGCGGGGTCGTTTGCATTGCCGGGGCCCATGACGCCAGCCCCAGGGGAGAACCGGGGACTGGCTCCGGGGCTGCCACCACTAGCACCGCTGGAAGGACCACTGGGCCCAAGCCCCTGCCAACCAGCGCCCGCGCAATTGGGTAATCGCATAAGCACCACGGTGAGCCATGACGCCGGTGCTGGCATTCCGGGTATCCTCGGGGCAAGGGGACTTTGATTTCCGGAGTGGATGTGTGTGATGGGGCATTGATCGGGATTTGGCTTGTGATTGTTTTTGCCATTTGGAATTTGGCTCCAATGTCCAAGGAACATGGCAAATTGGGAGTGGGGAAATGCGAAGAACACAGAGCGCGCAAGTGGGAGCACAAGTAATACTTACATCAGTGGTCATGGGCTTGTTGACGGGGCCCCACCTAAGAACGCCATGTTAGTCGCATGATCACTACAGTATTTGACTTTCATCCGAGTCAGGGAGAGAAACTTACCAGATGTTGTCTTCGGATGAGGGCTCCTTGACAATTCGCTTGTCGAGGGGTGATCGGCCGGTCTTGGCCCCAGAGTAGGCAGTCAGAGCACCGCTTGAGGTGATGGCAGTTCCAGTCTCGTACACCAGCGCATCCTCGTAGAGGGCAGCGACTGAGGGGTTGGGAATCTGTAGGCGTATTGGTCAGCGCCTTTGAGACAGTGTATAGAGGGGAGGTGGTCGTACAATTGCGACACGGTCGTAGTCGATGTGCGCCTTGTCGTGAAGCTCCTGCTCTGAGGCGGGTGTTAGTTTCGATCAATTGGAGTGCAATATTGTCGTTGCCGACGAAGGGTTGAGCGTACCGAGCTCAGTGTGCTCCACATGGGGACTGTCAAGACTCGTGTTAGTTGAGCCGTTCAATGGCATCAATGCTGGAAGAGAAGGCACTCACGTCACACCCGAAGGGTGGAGAGCAGTCTTGTTAACGTTGTTGGAAATCACTGTAGGAACACAATATTAGTATGACCGAGGAATCTGAGAGACGAAGAATGATGGTTTGGCGCAGCTCTCTCCTTGTAAGAGAGAGCAGAGGGAGGGGAAGGTAGGTGTTGAGGCATCTCGATGGCCTGGAAAGATGGAAAGAAAAGCACAAAGACCAACTCACTCTTGCGCAAATCGGGACCGGCTGCCTTATTCTGGGACCTTGAACCTTTGAATCTTGGATTGATGTGAGGAGAATTGGTTCTGAAGACGGGGTCCTTCATCCTTATTAAACCTTTTGCGAGGAGGTCGAGATTCGGAAGCGGACGCCCGGGGGTGTGGATGCCGCGGTGTGCTGCCCCACAGTGGGAACGCCAGATAGTGCCCGCCTGGGAGGCTTGGGGGGGTTGAAACCGAGGATGGAGATGGCAAGAGGCTCTGGGACGGCTGGGGACAAGCGCGAGGTGGAGCCGGGGAGGCGTCGCAGGTGACGGCCACGAAATCAAACCGGAAAGGATTTCTTGGTACCGTGACGCCAGCTGGTGTCGGCGTCGTTGTCGCGGGACGAGGTGTGGGCGAGAACCCCGGTCAGGCGTAGTCAGACTCAGAGTCGGGGCCAAGGCCAGAGAGGATCGGGTCCGGGGCCAGCAGCAGAGTCCAGGCGCAGCAGGGACGCCGGGTGTATAGACTGGGGCCTGTCGTCGATGCTTCGGGCCCTGGTGATTCGGGGCCGCTCGACGGGACCTGGAGACCGGAAGGGCCTGGTGGCGGGAAAAGGAGGGGAGATGCGGATGATGCAGGAGAGATGGGCGACAAGGGGTATGTGAGATGGTGGAGAGGCGGAGGAGAATGCTGGATGATGGATGATGCCAAGTGGATGGCGCCTTTGCTGGTTGGTGATGCTGGGTTGAGGGTGTTGTTGGGCGAGATTCCGGAGAGCCGCACCGTATGAGATGCAGAACGCTTGATGTTTTACCAGATCTTGGTGATGCTGATGATGAATTTGGCAAGTTTTGAGTTCGTCTCCCATCTGCCCGAGTCTTCCTTTTGAAGCTCTTCCAACGCTGACTTTGGCTTCTGACTTTCTGTGCCGCCGACCACAGTCTGCCATCCAAGCTGTCCATCGGAAGCGGCTTGTGGTCATGATCGCCGGTCGAGAACGAAGTACAAAGCCAAATACACCCCCAAATCAAAGGTAAACCTGCAGATGCACTATTCCGTAAAAATGCCAACTCATTAGATAATGGCAGGGAAGCACACCTCGAGGTTCTCGACTAAGATGCCACACGGGTGTGCATCTGCAGAGGTACTGTACATCCGGGAGTAAGTACACCTTACTGTCCCTGTCCCGACTTGGAAAGCGCGACAGGTTGGATCATTCCGGGTACATCCACGATACCTGTCAGGGAGGCGACGTCTGGGTTCACAGTCGCGTCCCCTGGCCTTAGACTTGGACTTCAGTCTCCAGTCTCCAGTCTCCACTAGGCCTCGGCGGAGCACGGGGCGGCCGGGGAGAAGGGACCACAGGGGAGAAGGGGAAGAATGAACGAGAGCTGAGCTGGAGGGGCGTGATGCAACGAACAGAGAAAAAATCGGGGCGCACGGGATCCGGGGGGGTGGCAGGCGCTTTGGAGGTTTGGCGGCGTGTCGTTGATGATGATGGGTGATGGATGACTACTGTAGGGATGGACGACTGGGGATGAATGCTGGAAGAATGCTTGCGGGCTGGTTGGCTGCGCGAATCATGGATTGGTTGGATGGATCCGGTACGGCGCGGCCTGGCAGAAAAAAAAGCTGCAAAGGACCCAGGCTAACGGGATGAATCGATTGGCTGGGACCGAGGATGTGACGACCTAACGGGCAATCGAGGGACCAGGGGGGGTGTCACTTTACACTTGACGACAACGACAGCAGAAACACGATGGCGCTGGTTGGAGGCGGCCGGAGTACATGGTACGTAACGGCGGCCTCGAAAGCCCTGATTCCTTGTCACGAGCTGCAAAATGGAAGAGAAACCTGACCTATAATGTACGATGTACAGTGCTCGGGGGCCCCTTTGCAAATTCTGCAGCACGTAGCACGTCAAAAAGAAAGAAAAGCCTGCGAAACGGAAAGTCTCCGGACGCAGGAAAGGTTCGTCGTGAGAGGAACCAACGGGAGTAAGCTGCACAGTGGAAAATGGGGGACGGGAAACTGGAGATGGGGGAATGGCCCCAAGGAACGCAGCTAGGGCTGAGATTGCGGAGGACGGGAGGGAAAAGCAAGTCCAAGAAACGACCCAATTGCCAATGCCAATGCCAATGCCGATTCCAGCAGCTCTCCCCCAGGGCCAAGACCTGTCGACGCTTTCCGTCCGTCCCCCGGTCAGCTTTCTTTCCAGCGGACTCTCAGGTCTGGACAAGGCCCCGGAGTGGAGCTGAGGTCACCCGGCGGTCACAAGCAGGTCACCGGACAGGACAAAAACCCACCGCCACGGCACGGGTCCGAAGGGGTACGGCCTGTGCGTTGAAGCTGGAGTGCTGTACTCTTGCGGCTGCTGATACATGTACGCATTTGGATGTGGACATGTACATGCTCCCTACATGCTCCGTACCACAGCTGTAGGTGCAGTTGCAGTTGCGGGTGCACCCCCCAGTTCCGTCCAGGCGGTCCCACACCTGCAATCTCTGATCCATGTGCCCCGACGCATCGTCCAATGGATCTCGTTTTTTATTCATGATGCATCAATGTACTGCAGTACATGTACATGCACATGGGCGGTAAGGAAACAAAAGAAAAGAAGGACGAAAAAAGAAAAAAAACTAGGGGCCTCACTTCACCTCAGACTCGCCGTCTGTTTGGTCCTGTCCGACTCTGCAGGCGCATGGCGGTTTCCCTCGTGGCCAGTCCCCCCTTTGGGCCTTTGAGGTACTGTACCGCCCCTCCACCCCTCCCACCCTTCTACCCCGCGATTTCCCATCGCCAATCCTAATCGCCAGACAGCCAACCACCAGAAGCCGCCACCATCTTGTAAGTCGAAGTCCCTAGGCGAATGAACCGCGCGCGCGTCGGTAATACGAAGCACACAGCTACACGGCACGCGACCTCCTCGCCTTACCTATCGCCATAGTTTGCCTCTCTCAGTTCATCCCGCCACTTCCCGTATCCAGGGAGGCGTAGCGGACGGAAGAAACCCATCCCCCAAATATGTACATTGGCCCCACCGGGCTACCTGGTAACGCCCAGAAAAATCTACGCCCAAGACATGCCCTACTATTTCCGTCCACCACATGGCTCACACCTCACGAGACCATATCTCGGTAATGGAAATCCCCCCCCGGCCGACCCCTTGGAAAGGAGCACGAGAATCTGGGAAATTCTAGACTCGATCCTCCCTCCCCCGGGCAAATCGGTAAGTCATCCATACATGGAGCCGTGCAGTCAAACCCTTCGCTTGACTTCACCGTCTCTTGGCCACGCCCCTCCTAAAAGTTTTCCCAAGCTCCTCGGCCCCTGTCCCGTTCCCCGTCCCCCCAGTTTCCCCCCTTCCCGTCTCGCTATTGCAGGTAGGTGTAGGTACCTGGGTAGGTACCTGGTGCTGGAAGTCCGTAGTCCATAGTCCGGCGCTGTCACGAAATGCCAATTCCTCCCACATGACCTCCCGCTTCACCTTCACCCCCGTACGTAACCCCGTCAACTTGTGGTCACGATTCGGTGAAGAAAAAAAAAACCAAGTCAAATCTAATCTTAAACTAGAGCGGAACGCACAGAATAGCAACGAGTGAAACTAGTGAAAATTAACACAGCTCGTGAGCCCAAATGTTCAAGTACACGCCCTCGTTTCCCATCTCCCGTCTCCCGGGAATCCACCCCCGTGTGAAAGCCGTCATCCAGTCCCGTCCGCCCAAACAGGGTCGCGCCACGATAATGCAGGGCCAGAAACAGACACCCTTCGGTACCCATTCCCCGAAGACAAACGTCGACCCGAAACCACCGTGACGTACTGTACGTACTCTGCAGTCCTTGCGTCTTGCAGTAGCACAGAACCACTCCGACCTGCACTGTGTTCCCCGCCCCGGGGGATTCCTGGCTTGGCGTCTTTTCTAGCGGCCAGCGGCTAGCTGATTGGCTGACAGGCGCCTCCGCACGCCGTGACAGGGCATATCAACAACCAGCGAGGCATCCCGACTTCACCCGGGCCTGTCCGTTCGTCGTTCAAGGCTCCGTCTCGTTTACGTTTTGGTGATGCGGACTGCCGGGCTGTGGGCTGTGTTGTCCCCCCAGTCCCCCCAGTCCCCAGATGGAACGGGGCCTGGAACGGGAGGGGGTTCCGAGAGAGAGCAAGACTGCTTTGCTATGCTGTAACGGGCCTTATCGCCACGCCCTTTCTCCATCCTCCGCACTGGGAAAAATCGAGAAATCCCTGATTGCGGGCGCTTGTTCGCCATCTCTCGGTTAACTTCCATCTGCGAGCTGCACCTCACGACTGCACGACTGCACAAACCACAAACTGCAAGCCGCAACCCCCAACTCCTCCAACTCCGGCATGGGTTCCTTTTTCTCAAGGTCAGCTCGCCACTCCGTGCCTTCACCATGTCTGACCTCGCTCCCGTAGCGTTTTCCCATGTGCAGCAATTGCTTCGTATGTACATGCTACCGTAACCCGTAGCCCCGTCCCCCGTAAAATCCAATACCCGGCCTCCACCCGTACACCTTTGACGCCTATTTTCGATGACGCCCCTTGCCTTGTTCTGTCTTGTCTTGTCTTGTCTTGTCTTGTCCTGTCTTGTCGTTCCCCTGTCCTGCCCGATAAGTGCCTGACGGCAACGCCAACGACGGCATGGCGATCCCTTCCCCATCCCCGTCGAATCCCCGTAAACCAACTGGCCCCGCCGTAATGAGGCCCGAGAAGGTCGCCCGAGAAGGACGCCCGCGTTCCCCAAACGCTCTCCGACATCAACCACGACACCCTCTCGCCGTCATGATATCTCACATCTCCCCCACCCACGGCTCTTGATCCCAGATCCCAGCTCCGCAGCCGCCGCCAGATAAACCCAAAACTCGAGAGTTTTTGTTACATCCTTACTACGTAGTGTACATCCTTACAGCATCCGTCAGAAATCGCCGACCGACCGACCGACCGAGACCGTTCCTTGCTCTCATGCCCCGCCCGTGATCCGCAATCCGCAGTCCGCACCCGCAACCGCAACCTCATCTTCACGATCCCGTCCATCTCCGGCCGTACACCCATGGCAGCTCGGCAACCTTCCGTGCCTCGTGCTTGCCTGCCGTTGGCCTGTAGGCTGTCCAATATCACTGCCGCCGTCTCACCCAGAACCCGCACACCCCCCACACCCCCAAAATCTCAATCCGCCACTGGCAAAGATGCTCTATCCCTTGTACACTAACACCACCACAACGCCGCCAACCCAACCCGATCCGCTGGGCCGCCGCGTGCCCGCACCGCCCCGGTATCTGGGGTCTCCTACAGTAGATCGTCACCGCTTTGGCTCCGTCCCGCCCGCCTCGGAACATGACGGTTTGTTTTCCACCCGGCCTCAGCGACGTCCCGGTTCATTCTCGCGGGTGACACTCACTAACACAACCTCGCCCAATATGTCTGGCCCCCAGTTACCGCGCCATGTCTTTTCCTAATGCTCCTTGCCCTCCGTTACCCGCAACGGTTTGATACTCCCCTCCACTCTTCTCCATTATCGTCGCCCAAAGTGATGCGGGCTGCGGGGCGTCTGGACGGGGGCGTGTCTTGGTTCTTGTCCCCCCGTTCCACTCTCTTGCCTTGCATCTTGCATGATTCATCAACCCCCAAACCCAAACCAGGCACATACATCTGTCTGTCTGGGTTTGGCCCCGGTAACCAAGGTAAATGGGTTGCCTCCCATCCTCAGACGATAACAAGTCGGCCTTCGTTTTCGTCCATTTCCCTTTTCTCTCGGGCCTCATCTTTCTCCTTCTCTCACCGCCATCGTACACCCCATCTTACAGCATCATTGTCAATCACGTCGATATTCCATCATGCGTGTAACCCGTCAAACAACTTGAGCACTGCCTTGTTCTCTCCGCTCTCCCTGCCCGCTTCCGTCCCCAACTTAAAGTTCAAGCCTTTCTCTCGCCCTTCCCAAGCCTGCCTGTCCGTCTCCTCGTCCATCTTTAATCCGCCCTTCTTTCTCCCGAACCCTCATTTTTCATGCTGCCATGTCGTGAGACCGGAAAATTATGCATATCTAGCGTGGGCAGTCTTGCCATCTCATCAACCTCACCGCTCAAACAAACATGGCCCCATCATCATACATGGTCTTACTTTTATGGCTTCGCTTCTATATACCTGATGTCCGGGAATTGCATGACACCCCATCTCCCACTCCTTGTTGTCTCGCTGTCTCGTTCTCTCCCGGAGTCTACAGCCGTTGACGGACATCGCAGATGTGATCATCGCCTATACAAGTCTGCTCTCGTGTGCCGTTCTTCCTTTTTTATGAGAAAAAAACCCGCCCTCCAAAAACCTGTAGTGATGATGATGCCTTTTTACCTTGTTCCCGTTCATCTTCTCATTTCCCTCATACATCCCGTCAAGACTCGAGAAGATCGTCATTCATTTAAGCCTCGGTGGTGGTGAGGAGCTTCGTAATCTTGCCAATGGCAATGGTTTGTCCCTACATACCGTGTTAGTGATCTGAGGTTGATCGAAGCAACCCCCGCCATTCTGCTCCCCCACACGGCAGTCCCTTTTTTCGGGACCGGGGGGATGGACGGGACGGTGGATGGGGGACGGTAGAACCAACCTGGTCTCGGAGGGTGAATCGACCCATCTGGGGATAGTCCTCAAACTTCTCCACGCACACAGCGCCGGCTCCGCCAATCACCTGCATGCGCGCGATGATGCTCTCGCCCTTCTTGGCGTGCGTAGGGGGGTTCTTGCTTTTGCGGCCCGTTCCCTTTTGTAGCTTGTGCAAAAGAGCCGCAAACGTCACCTCCTCGATCGCTGAGTGAACATGCAGCACGCAGTTGAAGCCAGCCGTCAAGATGTTCTTGAGCTCCAAGATGCGGATCTGAGCCTCGAACTCGGTCACAGTGTGTACCAATCGCTTGGGCGAGCACAACACAAAGCCAGGGAGAATATCCTCCTCTTCAATGCCCTTGAGACGAATTCGCACCTGGTCACCGCACTGCGCAACTTGAACTTCCTCCTCCTGCTCACCGTACAAAGCTGAGGCTTCCACATTCTGCTTGTTCGGCATCATGATCAGACCCATGTTCTTCTTAACGACACCGGCCTCGATCTTGCCTTCCACAATCGTACCCATGTCGCGGTACTTGCCGTTGACGGGCAACATGAACGGCGCGTTCAGCTTGCGTTCCAGGGCTTTCATGCTATCGAGGTACTCCAACAGCGACGGGCCGTCCCACCAAGGCGCAACGTCCTTGGGGACACGGTTCTTGATACCCTGAGACTGCTGAGCGGCAACGGGCATGAAGAAGACGTCGGTCTTCAGGTTATATCCAGTACCCTTTAAGAACTGAGCGAGCTTAGTGGTACACTCCTTGTATCGGTCCTGGGACCATTCGACAGTAGGGTCGTCCATCTTGTTAATAGCAACGATGAGCTTGTTGACACCCTGCGTCTTGGCAAGCATAGCGTGCTCGCGGGTCTGACCACCTCGCTCGAAACCAGTCTCGTACTCGCCCTTTCTGGCGGAGATGACCAGAATACCAACATCGGCCTGGGAAGCACCTCCAATCATGTTGGGGACGTAGGTCTTGTGGCCGGGGGCGTCCAAGATACTGTATCGGCGCTTCTCAGTCTCGAAGAAACCACGGCCAACCTCGATGGTCTTTCCCTGAGATCGCTCCTCCTTGTTCAGATCCATGACCCATGACAGGTACCAGGATTCACGGCCCAGATCCTTGGCCTCCTTCTTGTACTTGTCCATGGTTCGCTCGTCCACCATGCCAGTCGCATACAGGATAGATCCACCGAGAGTCGACTTTCCGGCATCGACGTGGCCAATGAAGATGATGTTGATGTGCTCCTTGCCGTAAATTTCCTTGAGCGTCTCCTCGTCGACGTCGGCAGCCTGCTCTTTCTGGACAGCATCGATATCACGAACGGGCTTCTTGTCGCCAGCCGAAGGGCTAGAGCGACCGGAGGCAGCAGGGCTAGGGGAGGTCTTGCCAGACTTGGCAGCCTTTTCGCCAGTCTTCTCGATGGCCTTGGCGGCCGCAGCCTTCTGGCCAGCCTCGGGCTTGTCGGTGGGCTCAACCTTGACGGGTTCCTTCTCCTTGGCCGGTGCAGAGGCGCCACTGAGAGACAGCACCTTGGCCTTGGGCTTGGGCACAGTGCCATCAGCACTGATGCTGAGGACCTTCGGGGCTGCAGGGGCGGCGGGAGCGTCAGTCGTTCGCTGGGCAATGGTAGGGGCAGCGGGCTGAGCCTGAGCAGGTTGTTGATGGCCCTGGGCACCATACTGGGGGTAGCCTCCAGCTATATTAAGGTTAACATCGGAGTGAGGGCGAGACAAGAATTTGGCGCAAACATCATACCATAGCCTTGGTTGTAACCACCGCTGTAACCCTGGTTGTTGAACTGCTGCTGTTGCTGGTTGAAGCCCTGCTGGGCGCCGTACTGAGGATAATAGCCCTGCTGGTAGTATGGTTGCTGCTGGTACTGCTGCGCGTATCCTCCATACTGCTGGCCGGGCTGGAACGAAGCGGCGCCGGGTTGGAACGAAGCGACGCTGGGTCGGAAGCTGCCTTGTGCGGGGGCGGGGTTGCCGGGGTTCACATTGAGCTGCTGCTGGGCCTGGCGGGCGAGGTTCTCGTCCTGAGCGGACGGATCGTCCTCCCAGGAGTTGAGGTCGGACATGGTGATGTTTTTTGGAGACGACGAGTGGTGGGGGATGAGTCGGCCGGTCGGTCGGTCGGTCGTCTGTCGTCTGGAGGGTACGGTCTGGAGGGGCTGCGGACTTAATGGGGCCCTAGATATGCAACCTGTGTGTCCGAGAGTCGGGGGGCGGATGCGGACCGGGGAGGAGAGGGCAATACGGCCTCTTTGACTCGAGGAGGGTCGTGAGGGAGGACTTGGGCACCAAAGATTGCGAGGGTCGTCGGGTGTGTGCCTGACGACCAGTTTCGATTTGTGCTGGGTTAAAGACTTGAGCCTTGGTGGAGAGAGGTTGTGAAAATTCGAGCCCCACCAACACCATGACGCTGCCCTGGGGTTAAAAAGTTGGAATGGGGCGGGGGGGTTTGGTTTTGGCACTGTACGCACTGTGCCAGCATGTAGGTACCTACCTAGATGATACTCTGTGTTATGACTGCATTGTGCTCCACTGTAACTTATGCCCCACATGAGGATGCTACAAGGGGATGCACGCCTAAAACCTAGCTGCGGACTCACTGTGAGCAGGCAGCAACCCTCAAAATCCATTCCGTCGACTGCTCCCTGTAATCACCACCGGCGCAGTTCATCCCGGTTTCGTTATATTCCCAACCCCTGGATGTCCCATGTAACGAAGCTCAGGTAAGATTTGTGATTCACCGTGGTGACTCACACACACGGTCACTCTCATCCCCCTCATCGCCTCGTCATAATTCACCAGTCGTCTGATTATCAAGTATCAGCCCAAACTTAGGCTGGCGTCTTGAAGGCTTCAGGTACAATGACAGACAGTGTGGCTGACAGCCGCAGTGACTTTGTGAACAAAGACGAGGAGGGGCAAGCCGTCAACTTCGCACTGTACACGTCGCCCCTCCCAGCTCAATGCACGCTTGTAAACTCCACTGTAACTTGGGTCAGCCAGTGCACCCGCCAACTCACTGCTCGCCTAGGCGTCTGTCATACTGGGTTGTTTGCATACAGCAGCGTTAATGAACACGCACCTGAATAACAAGCACCGCCAAACATGAGGGGCGTGCAACGTGTGTCGTGTTTTCTTCACCTCTCTTTCTACCCTTGAAGCGACCTGTCAGGGTTGCCTTCAGCCTCTCATGAACATTCTCTTCCACTTCATGGTGCCAGCATGGATGAATTTCTGGCCACCGTCGGCGTTCAGGCCATGAGATATGCCATCCGCTCCGGCATCTCGCTAACGTCCAACTACGCGTTGGGTCAGTATTCCCGCCTCATCAACTCGGTCGAGGACAAGAAGCTGCATCCCAAACTCAAGTCTCTCCGAAAGACCCTTGACTATAAAATCAAGGTACTTCTTTGCCTCTTCTGCAGCCAATACTCTACGAGGACGTCTTTACTAACCACCCACCGCCCCGGCAGATCATCTCCCCAGCCATAGACCTAATCGAGTTCAAGTTTGTGATCCCACAACCCGGTCTGCATTTCGTTTGCCGAAATGGATAGCTAACACTCATGCGTCAAGGTCTGGTAGAGGCAACATCTTCCTTGAGTCCGCTGTGCCCCTCGCCAAGTCGCTTCAAAAAGAGATCGCCTCCCTAGGACGCCGCATCGAAGCCGTCGCCAATGCTGAAGAAAAGCTGAACGACAACCATGTTAAATCCAAGGCGCCCCCTGCCCATCACGATGACCTGGAGACCATCATTGCTGGTATCAAAACTCTGCTAGACAGAATCGATCGCGAAATCCCACTCTTGCAGTTGGCAATAACCGCTTCGGGAGAGAGTCTCTCGACCTCACTACCCGCAGGCATCTCACCATCAAGGTTACTGCAAGCCAGCACCTTTCTCATTGTTGGCGATACCCAGTTTACCCAAGATCCAAGTAGGCCGGTCCAGATTGGACCCGCGTTCACCTTGTCCTTGTACATGCTGTCCCTGAGCCACGCCTCCACACTGAGCCCCCCAAAGTCAACAGAAATCTCGACAGTAGGTGATCCACTTTGCCATAACAATGGCCTAAAAAGCCGTCACGATAGAGGCACCTTTGGGTTAGAAGAAGGCGCTAGGAAACCCCTATGGCAGGAAGTTTTACACAAGGCCCGCGTTCGTCTATGCAGGACCCGACGGGATTACGCCTTCGACAGCACAGCAGGTTACCAATCCACCGCGGAAGGATCAGATCATTTTCACGAGTCAGCATCTCCTCGGATTCCCTTCGAAGGGAGCAATGAATACGCATATCATCTAGAAATTATTGAGGATCTTGATGATGGGCGTCTCCATGATGATGACCAGGAACGAAACCCTTACGAAGAAATTGCCACTGCTGGTATCCGAGAATCCATCCCAATACATCAAGTGTCCAAGATCTTCTATACCGACACCGGCAGAATCCTCAATATTGGTTCTGCCACGGATGGAGACCACAACCCAGTGCTATTATTGAAGCGCGATGTTCAGGCAGTTCCGAACTGGGACCCGGCCGGTGGAATCGCAGACTTTATCGAAGACGTGGAAAATAACGACGGCAGTATCACCCCAGAAACAAGCGACGGAACTTGTGGGGATGATGAGCAACTCGACATTGATAAGCAGCTCTTCCAGGAGTCGACCGCTGTGCAGTCAGAGGATTCGCGCAAAACGCTACAAAACAGCCGCCGCAAATTCATGTTCCCTGCTCATCTCGATCCTGAGTGGATAGCACTCGAGGTCTATGAGGAAGACGAGAGCTTTGAGGCCGAGGACGATGTGTCTGTAGCATCGGGTGAGGTCGGTGAACTGGAAGATGTTCCCTCAAAACAGAGTGCTCCACGAGATCGGACATCGCTTGACTCCAAGGTTGTGGATCAGATCAAGAGGTTGTCACTTCAATCATCAACGAGCTCAAACTCTCCACAGCCAGTGTCTCGCTTCCGAGATGCCGCTGAGACGCGAGACTTTGTGGCCAGATCACCGTTTGGAACTATCACCACATCATTGTCGCTGATGGAGATGTTGATCCGACTGACTAGTCTTCAAGGGTTTCAGCAAGCTTCACATCTCTCCATTCCCGATCACATCCTAACTTTCTTCCTAGAAGAGACGTCAACGACAGGTTTGGTGGGCGAGACACAATGGAGAGTTCGCAGCGACGCTAAGCGACGTATGGGCTTCGACCCATACACAGATACCCCAACCAGATAGACGTTGGGGTTTTAGGGAGCGCGGGTTATAGGCAAAATCTCCACGAAATTGCTGAAGAGTCCGACGGAGATGATAGGAATTGTTGAGAGGCTGTGCCACATGGGGTTGGGGTAAATAGCACAAGAGATGACCTTATTCCCAGAGACGAAATGCTTGGTTTGAAAGACGAGAGCTCGGAGCTAGAAATCAACATAACGCTGGAGCAGCAACAAGATACCGAGACTCTGGGACGAATTTGAAAGTAAAAGATACTCCAACTCATTACTTGCACTAATTATTCGTGATATTTGAGACTGTGGCTGAGACATGCATCCTGGGTAGACCGATCGGGGATGGAGCTACCCTACGTCACCAACGACGTAGCTCGAACTCTCCGACGGGGGTTTCAGACCTGACACCAACACCTCAAAAGCGGTCCTTCGAGTCCCCAGATCTCAGTTATTTAAAGATGGATAGCCCCAGCCAAGACCTAAAATCCATTTAAAAATTGAGTCCCAAGACACGACGTGTTGAAAATGGCGCCTTGGATCCCGCGAATGCATCTCTTTGAGATTGATGACCAGCCCTGGTAAGTACAATATGTGGTCCCCACCCTCATCTCCATCTTCCCCATCTTCCCCGTTTCTAGATATCATCAGCCCCTCTGTCTCTCAACTTCACAAGCATTGCTATACCGAACTCTGGAGCCGGGGACGAGACTAAACAATTAAACACTCTAGGTTCCCAGACTTCTTCCGCACCCGCGTCCAAGATGCCCTCACCCTCGCGTGGAAGTCGCAGACGCCCCTCCAGGCCCTCTCGCCCGCCCACATCGCCGCCAACCTCCTGATCCGTCACTTGGACGACGCCCTTTCCGAATACACCATGATCGACTTCTGCGCCGGCGCCGGCGGGCCCACGCCCTCAATTGAGCGTGTCGTCAACGGACACCTGCGCTCCCTTAACAAGGCCCCGGTCCGCTTTGTCCTCACCGACCTGCACCCCAATATCGACGCGTGGGACAAGGTTGCTAGCAAGAACCCGCTCATCACCTACGAGCGCGAGGGCGTCGACGCCAGCGCCGCACCAGATCATCTCGTGCGCCGGGACGATGGAAAAAGGACACTGCGCCTGTTCAACCTCGCGTTCCACCACTTTGACGATCCGTTGGCGACGGCCATCCTGCGCGACACGGTCGACACGAGTCAGGGCTTCGCCATCTTCGAGCTGCAAGACCGCAGCTTCGCCAGCGCCTTGACAAACCTGGTCTTGGGCATCGGTGTCATCCTGGCCGCGCCATTGTACGCCTGGAAGTGGCGATCTCCTGCCACTCTCATCTTTAGCTGGTTGATTCCAATACTCCCCTTCGTCCTCGTCTTTGACGGCTACATTTCCTCCCTGAGGACGCGGACACCAGAGGAGGTCGAGGTGCTGCTGCGGAGCTGCGGAGCGGACACGAGCGAATGGGAGATGCGTAGCGGGAGCGAAAGGCATATGTGGCCTTGCGGGTATCTCAATTGGATCATCTGTAAGCCAGTGTCAAGAACCTGACGGCATCGTAAAGTACATGTCTGGGTGAAATAAAATACAAATATCAATACACGGCCCCAGTGAAGAGGAAATCCGTCACTGGGTACCTTTTTCTTTCCAAGACGTGCGGGCTAGGGTCTGAGAGGAATGTCATCGGAACCACCAATTGACGGATCCATTGAGGTGTCCTTGAGAACCCTTACTCTTGACAGAATGCCACCACCCGTTGGGGATAAATAAAGAATCTCCGGGTCCCAACTGGGCCTCGTACAATTGGTCTGGAAGGGTATCCGGTTGCCATATGACCTCATGAAGAGCCTCGCGCTCCTTGCCCTCCATCATCTCCACTGTCCTGATGCGACTGTTGCCTTGCTGGTGGATGCGCCTCTGCACCTCAAAGAACAGCCGATCACCAGGGGCTGGGGGCATAAGCCGGATGAGCTTTGTGTTGCAGAGTTGGCAGAACAAGTTGGGGTTTGGGTCCCGGTGTAACGGCGTGTACGTCGGTTCCGTGCCGAGCCAGATACTGGAGCTATAGACGTCGCCCTTGCCAGCACTCCGGACGAGTTCCGGAGTGGGAAGGTCATCTTGTAGCGCGGTGGGGAGCTCCGTGAGGGATGATTGTGCGATGTAGAGTTCCACGGGTTCAGAGTGCTCGTGGTTTTGCAGGTGGTTGAACTCGAGGGCCTTGATGAGAAGACGGAGCGGCGCAAAGAGCTGGAAGAATGTTTGCCTGCCCAAATCCGCTATAGACGGCTCGAGGATGCTGGTGAGGATATGGTCTACAGGTTCCTTGCTGGAGAGGAGCCAGTTACGAAAGGCAATTAGGGCCTCCTGATTCTTAGGCAACGGTGCGACAAGTTCGTAGGGGAAAGGCCATTCCTGGAACTGAATCATGTACGGTGTCAGAGTCCATGGAGGTGTAACTTTGGCTGAGTCGTTGATGCCATCCTGGTGGAACCACTTGCTCGCGGCGGGTAGGAGGTTTGTTGAAGAGCCGGTATCCCGTGCGAAGAGGAAGGGTTTCTGAGGGCCTAGAGCCTGGTCCCGGAAGTTCTGGATATTGGAGAGTTCGGGAGGGGATGGTGTTAGGGGAATGGGCTGGGTGGTGAGTTGGCGACGGGTGGTCTTATAGAGTTGGCTGAGCCATGGCCGCGATTGGGTGAAGCAGAGACTCGTGGTCTTCCGCATGGGAGTTGTGTTGGACGATATAGACGTAGGAAAAGGGAAAAGAAAATAATCAAAACTACAAGGATAGAGAAAGTAGATGATTAGCTGTGTATATTGCTCGTGGAATATCCAGAGGATGGAGTGAGGATCGGAGAGAGGATCGGAGACCGGGAAAACCATGGAGCCGAAGACTCTTGGCCGCGGCAGGTACGGACCCACTGTCGGCGCCGGGCAAACCACCAGCGGTCGACCCTCTTCTCGCCAGTCGAGGACGACGGTTCGACGGCCCACCAAAGGTGATCAAATCCCCGTCGCTTGTCTCGCCCAACAGCAGCCGTATTCAACCCTCACGCACGCTCTCCCTCTGCGCCGCGCGACGCCGACGATGCGAGCGCGCTGAGCCGACTCTGCCGCATTGTCCCTCGCCATCGCCTACAGCCCAGGCTCCAGCGTCCTCTCGCGCCCTTATCCGCCTGGCTTCATCACCCCGCCTTGGTTGGCCCTTGACGACGCTATCGATACGCATCGATACCGGCCTCCCATCGACAGATCCTACCACTACCGCCCCCCCCGCCATCCACATACGTGCGACACCACCCTGAACCTCGCCTACGCGCACGCGCACACGGCCGTACCCACGCTCTCACGACTCGTTACCCCTCGATCCAAAAATGTCCACCTCGTCGGGCGTGCCCGAGTCGTGGATCTCCAGCTTCTGCTCCCTGCTCGGCCACGAGTACTTTGCAGAGGTCTCGGAAGAGTTTATCGAGGATGACTTTAACCTGACGGGTCTGCAGACCCAGGTTGCCATGTACAAGGAGGCATTAGAGGTATTCCACCTGCTCTGTTGCTTTCCGCCTGCAACTTTGCTCCTGGTTCAAGTCGTCAATGCTAACCCGTGCGCATCATAGATGATCCTAGATGTTGAACCAGAAGACGACGACGAAGAAGACGAGGAAGAGGAGGAAGAAGACGACAACGAGTCCGGCCTCGGCGACGGCCAGGAGCGCCTGGGTAGAGCCGGCGAACGGAGGCACCACAGTAGAATGGCCAGCGATCTCTCCGTCATCGAGTCATCGGCCGAGATGCTCTACGGCCTCATCCATCAGCGCTTCATCTGCTCTCGCGCCGGCATCCAACAAATGAGCGAAAAGTACGAGCTCGGCCACTTTGGCTGCTGCCCTAGGACAAACTGCGAGCAGTCCCGCACTCTGCCCGTCGGCCTCTCCGACATCCCTGGCGAGGATACCGTCAAACTCTTTTGTCCCTCCTGTCTAGACGTCTATGTCCCGCCCAACAGCCGCTTCCAAACCGTCGACGGCGCCTTCTTCGGCCGCACCTTTGGCGCCCTCTTCCTCTTGACCTTCCCCGAATACGACCTCTCCAAGCGTGGCATCGAGGTTCTTACTAACAACAACACCCGTGTCTCCGACTTAGAGGGTCTCGTCAACGGGATGTATGCTAAGAACATCGCCCCGGGCCTCGGCCCCGGCCGCATATATGAACCTCGCATCTACGGCTTCCGTGTCTCCGAGCGCGCTCGATCAGGCCCCCGGATGCAGTGGCTCCGTGGCCGTCCTACAAACATCAGCGAGCTAGACGAGGCCCGCCTCTATGCCGAGCAGAACCCAGAGTCAGAGGAAGACGACGAGAGCATGACCGCTAACGGCCGTGCCGGCTCTCGGCGCCGTCCGCCAGGCAATGCCCGCCTGCGCCAGCGGCAGCACCAGAACGGCAGCCCCATGGCGTTGTCGACCAACGGCGCCGAGTCCGAGCTGTAGTGTCGCCCGGCCGCGGCAGATAGGCCCGAGCCAGAGCCGCAGTGTGGCCGCGAGCTCGAGCGCGGTCGTTCGAGGCTGCCCCGGCGCCCCAGGCCCTGCTGCCAACTCGGCTTTGGTGCAGGGGTAGAGTGACACAACAAGAGGGTTGTGGAAGACGTCAAACAAGGAGGATATCAGACGAGGGTATGGGAAGATGGATATTCAGAGGCGACGGGGACGATTGGGGCTCTTCGGACTTGCGGTATTAATGCATAGATGGCGTTGAACGTTATTAGGCTACGAAAAATACACATATGAACTGCGTATCAGGGGTTCCTCCAGGATGGGTATTCGGCCCTGGCGTAGAGTGTATTCTGCCATGTTGGTTGATCAGGCAAAGACACAGGGGGAGGATCTTGGACACATCATGCGGACTGCGTCCCTTGACTGGATTTCCCATTCAAATATCTCCATCATTTGTGGCACTGCCGTCTCTCTCCCACAGTCGTACTGCAAAGATCACAGATGTGGCTGCATCTCCTTGCAATCACCAAGCACTTGTATATCATGCACCAATGGTAGACGAAGCACTTGCCATGAAATCGTATCAAAAAAATACCAACCAAGAGACGTCTATTCGTCCATCAACCAGATGACGAGTACGAAGTACACTGTCATGCCTCATTCATCTACTCCTTGCATCTATCATCCGAACGCACAGAAGCAGTTTGCAAACTCCCACCATTCGCTCCTCGGGGGAAAATAGAAATGAAGGACCCTAGATACATCTTCAGTGTTGTTCCTAAACACTCAACGCCGTCTGGTCCTCGCCCTGTCGTATTTATCATATGCAATACTCGTCTTGTCGTAAATGGTGAAAAAGGAAAGGATACTAAGGGAATGAATGAGTTTCAGGCTATCGGGTATCGAAGTCGCTGATTGATTCATCCACGGACGTATTCAATCATCCGAATGATCAAGAGATCTAAATTCATCGGCGTTCTTATCAACCCGGAGGGATGTCCTGGTATTCTACACCGCCACCGAGTTCCTTGGCCGTTTCCTCGGCTTTTGGCGTAACGTCATCATTAGTGTTGAGGTCCATCCCAGACTTAGCACAGAACCAGCCTCCTCGCTCCCACTCGCCGGGCTCGTACAAGCAAGAGTTCCGGACTTCCTCTTCGGAAATTCCCATGAGAAGCGTGCTGAGTCGCTTGAAATCAATTGGCTTGAGGATCCATCCATCGAATCCAGCGTCCACGTAGGTAGGCCGCTCACGCTCGATGAGAGAAGCCGAAACCGCAAATATGGGGATGCGACGGTTGCTAGCTGCAAGGGATGAATGACCGGCATGCTCATGTGACATCTCCATGGCCCGAATCAACTTGGTACTAGTGAGACCATCCACAATAGGCATCTATTTCACAATTAGCTGGAGTTATGGGCTCAATGGAGAGCCGACTTGCCTGCATATCCATCAACACCACATCAAACTTTGATGACTTCTCTCGATAAACCATTGCGCAATCCTCGCCGTTGACGGTATGGTGAACCTCATGCCCAGCTCTCTCTAGCCGTTTTCGTAGGACCTTCATATTGATCGGGTCATCTTCCGCAATCAATACCTGAAGTGCGAATTGATCGGTCCCAGCGCTCACTATACTATTTGCGCGGGCTTTTCGACTCAACGAATCCTTGTCGTCCTGGAGTTCAAAGAGCACACGAGAGTTCCCTCCAGTTTGTGGTTGTTGGGGAACCTCGGTGTACTCGTCGGCTACTCTGACAGCCTTGAGAGGAGTCTTGGAATCGCGGACACCCGTATACCCAGACTCTACTGTCGGGATGATAAGAGGTTCAGGGCTCTTGGTATTTTGCGATTTGGGGCCAGTTGGGCACGTCTTGATACCAAGACCTTCTCCAACCATCGATAGATCTGAGTTCACGACTGAATGTGTGCTTTGGTAGAAGGGATATTCAGTCTCCTTGTCCTCCAAGGATAAGGGAGTTTGAATGGCGTTGATCAACCGATCGGCGTCACTCTGATGACTGCCATGACTCCCCAAACTTCCAACGCTGTGCCGGCTCTCAAAGCTTCCTCGCTCACCAGCAATCTCTGCTTCGACGTTCAAGTTGGATAGACTCGTCTTATTAACAAGCAGTATCTCACCCTCGGGAGCAGCCGCTATTGACGAGGGGGCAGAGGTGACTGGGTTTGACGATAAGGTGGCTCGAGAGGAAGCATTCCCGCGTGCAGGTCCCGGGATAGTCGATTCATCGGGAAGACGGAAAGGCAGCTGTATCACAAATCGTGACCCCTGGCCAACTTCTGATTTAAGACGAAGCTGGCCGTCCATGTTCCTAACGATACGAGCAACAACAGCGAGACCAAGCCCCAGGGTTCGTATGCCAGTTGGAGTCTTGGCTAAGGATGGTGACGGAAGAGGCGAATCCTCTGTGCTGACTTGTTCTAGATCACGGAATAGCACGTCCAGTTGGCGGTCGCTCATCCCAGTTCCCGTGTCTTCCACAACAAAGTCGACAACGGCCACGCGATCGCTAACCTCGGACACGAACACTTCAACTTTAACATGACCGATTTCAGTATGAGTGACAGCATTTGCTGTGACGTTTGAGATTGCTTGTCGAATTCGCCGCTCATCGCCCTGTACAAAACGGGGCAACCCAGGGTGTTCGATGATATCGTATTTGATTCCTTTCCGCTTGGCATCGACTTCAAAAGGATTCGTCGCTTCTTTGACACAGACGGAAAGCTCGAATATTTCGTCCTTGACTAGGTTCTGGCCCTCCTCTGTCTTGGTCAAATCGAGAAGATCATTGATTACATAAATCAAGGACTTGGAGGCTGAATGGGACCGAGCCAGATTCTCGCGAGTTTCTTGATCGAGTGACCCCTCAAGAGCGATTTCGAGATAGTTGATGATGGCATTTAATGGCGTCCGAACTTCGTGTGCTGAGTTAGCGAGCAAGAGACGAGTGAGCTTGCTGTTTTGGATCGCTGCCTCCTTCTGGCGCCAAACTTCGATGAATTTTCCTAGGAATAAAAGTGAGTATTTGAGAACAAGATATGAGCGAGCATAAGACAATCTCACCGTAAACCAGACAAAGCACAGCAGCTGTTTCGACTTGCTCTTCATTCCACTCCCGGCACATCCCTAGAACTGTCTCATGCCAAGTCTTGAAACTTTTCCTGGGCTCTAGGTAGCTTGCTGTGCCCTCGCGAACCACCTTCTCGTAAGGATTGCCAGCCCACTTCACTTCCTTGATTTGTGCTCGACGGAAGAAGACGATAAAATCGCTGCCACCTACACTCAGTGGAACATACAACAAGCCGGCGATGATCTGAAAGCCAGGTGGATATTGTAGGTCAGGAAACGCTTCTGCGATATTTTGCGAAGAGACCACGGACGTGAGCTTGCGCATGCGGAGATATTCAAGCATGGCCAAGGCTTCTTGACTTTGATCAATGATTCCTAGTATCTTCGTCTCCCCCTTTATCGAGAGTAGCCCAAAGTCGGCATCGAAAAGTTTCAAGAGATCTTCTGAGGAGGCAATTATATATCCGGATGGATTCTTGTCGGTAGGAGCGGTGTTGATGAGTTTCCGGGCTTGTAGGCGTGAGGCATAAGAGAGTCTCTCGATATTCCTGGAGGCGGTGTCTCCGACCAAGCGACACATTTTCCGGATTGGAAAGGATACTCTCATACCCTGATTGCCATAAGAATGACAAGAAATCAGACCCCATAATTCGTCGAAAGCGTTGATGGATATTGACATCGATGATCGCACAGCCATGTTGGTCAGGTATTTCAAGTGAATTGGGGACATGGCGCGCAGGTAGGCATGGCTCATGTCTAAGGGGACATCTAGGTCCTCTTTTGTTCGACAGACGATTCGGGCCGTATCTTGATCTCGATCGTAGAGTAATCGGACCTTGTTTAACTTGTAAAGATCTCGCGCTTGCCGAGGGATGTCGGAAGCTGGGAAGTGGAGTCCTTTGTACAAATCCCTGGTTTGAGAGGTATCGACCAACTCAGTGACGACCTTCCCGTTGAAAGTTGAATCAAACTGGTAGATCATGACACGGTGGAAACCAGTCAGTTCTTTGACGATGCCAACTAAAATCTTGAGAAAGATCTCCAAGTTGTTGGCAGATGCAAGTTGTTCCTGAACCTGTGACAGGATATCAAAGACTTGCATTGCGCCCTGCTCCCCTCTCCTTTTCCTCGCACTCCTGAGAACTCTGAGAGGCTTGCTAAGAATCTCGGTGCTCTCTTCAATCTCCTCTAGCGTGGGGTTGGACTGGAGGGTGTCGTGCGGGATGTCAGGGGTCAATTCATCCGCGGGTCGGAGAGGATATTCCATGTCATCGTCCATCTCGAACTCGCAAATGACTAAATCCGGATGGGCGGGGTTGATATGAATGGCACACCAAAGCTTCTTACTCCTCATCTTGAGGGTTCGAATAGATATGCTGAATACCTCCGGTCCGTTGATGGCGGGGTCGGCGTCTTCGTCGCGGATAAAATCGATGTGGTCAAGGAGGTTGTCCTGCTGCTCGTCGGTCAATATATCAAGGAAGTTCTTCAGCTGGAAGAGTTGCCGGGGTGAGTAGCCTAGCATTCTCTCTGAGTTTTCACTGGCATATCGCACGACAAAGAATCCCTCGGCCTCCTCACGCAAGGCAAGTAGAACCCCGAATATTTGGACAGCACCAGGCGTGTGAATCGGCTCGTCCTCGCATCTTTGTAGGGCACCGTCCCGACCGGTGATGACTGCATGGCCGTCGTCGGTCACCACGTGCGTGACACGGCTAGTGACATGGTCGTCGGCCATTGATTGATTTGTTGAGACATAGGATGTTGTTCCGGGATCGGTATTAGGTACTGCGGGCAAGGATTCGTCCCCTTCGTGGTCAGAAGTGGCAATGTCGAGCTCCAGAGGAGAGGCTGTGGGACCGTGTCTTGCAGCGTCAAGTTGTATGCGTGACATGGGACCGCTCATAGTATTCTTCCTCCGTGCCGTGGCTGCAAAGCGGTCGCTGGGTGTTCTCGAAGGCATGGTATCTGAGCGCCTCAGGTCCGATCCCGATTCCCGTAGGGCATTGCTCGAGAGCGGAATAGGAATCCCTCGCATTTCGCCGTCGCGTGTGGGGGGGAAGTACTCGTCGCGGGAGGCTCTGGCGCTGGTAGCTCTAACGCTGGGAGGACCGATGTTGATGACGGACCGAATAGGGAACACCCTGTCACTTGAGATTTCCGAGGGCGTGGAGCGGTGCCCCATCTCTGTATCGGATCCGAGGCTCAATGGCGAGAAAAGAGGATCCGAGTATGCGACGCTGTTGCGCTCACTTCGCGCGGTGCCCGAGAGATGTCTGTTTGGCCCTGTCGGATTGGTTTCCACGGACAGAGGGCCAACATCTGCCCGTGAAGACTCGCCCGTGGAAGGAGGCTCAGACTCGATGGGCGCTTGTGAAGAGGTGGTTTGCTCCTGAAGGTCGCTATCGGCCGGATCCTCGATTCCCTGCGGCGTACCCATGGTGAACCTGGCCGCACCTAAAAGTGACGATGCTGCAACTTAGGGAAGAAGGCGAGTTAAGAGAAGTGAGAGTAGGAGTGGGAGTGGGAGTGGAAGTGGTTGAGCAGCGAGGGCAGCCGCGATGTCGCACATGCCCGTGGTCGAATCGCACAAGAAACCAGTACAGAAGTCAGGTGCCGTTGGAAGGGAACAACCTCGAGGGAGGCACGTCACAGCAAACGATACAAGCCAGATCCAAGATGTAGCACGATCGGCGGACACTGACGAGCGAGGCTGTTGACGGTGAGAGATGGTGCGGATGGATGAGAAAGAGTGAATTTGGCTAGTAGGGGTGTCTCGGTGCTCGGAACTCGAGTGGAATGAAAATGATTTGACAGAGCGCCGTGACTCCTCGTGGCTCCTCGTGGCTCCTCCTGGCGGTTGTGTTTGAATGTACAGTCAAATGTGTCGTGCTATGAAGGTGGTCGCGAAGTGCTTGTGAAGGTGCTCGTGGAGGTGGCGATGCACAGTGCGCTGGATTTTGGGCCCGAGTGGGACGCCTGCTTTAGCTTGTCGATCCTATCGCCCTGGCCCGAAATCCCCCATGCTACCAAGAAGCTACGGGGAAGCTACGAGGTGAGCTACTGTAAGCGGGGGTCTTTGAGTGGCGAAGAGGTACCTAGGTATGTAAGTCCCTTGATTCAGTGGGCAGCCCTTAGTCTCGTGCCTTTGGAATTGCCGTGGCGGGTGCGTGATGGAGGCGGACGCGCACTGAAGAAAAAGGCTTGAGTCTTAGACAAACCGGCCCAATTGCAGCGGCTGACCGAAGCCAAAGATCAAAGATCAGAGACAGGACGCCTGTGATCGCCCCGTCATGCCTTGCAAAATGACCTATCATGAAGCAGGGTGCCATCATGCCGTGCGCTAGCTTGTCCGAGAGTGCCAATTGCAAGGACCAGAACCGCCTCCAGGGCGATCATAGCCCAAGAAGCAAGCCATGGGTCGATAGAGCAGGGACGAGATCCGGCCACCATCATCTAATTATATATAATCTCTGGTCTCTGGTCGCGGGTCCAGATCCCCCTATTGGCATGTGAGGCGATACAGATCCGTCCTCAAGACGTCTTACACCAGATGTGACGCGCCAACTCTAGCCCATGGACAAACGGACATCGAGAGGGTTGAAACAATTCACTCTAGCCCGTCTACCGTACTGCCGGCATACCCAGCCCGCCTATGCATCCACGGCAATCGGCCATGAGGGTGCCCACGTCTCCTTGCTTGCACCTCAAAGCGGGCCATCCCTCCGCATCTCCAACTCGCCTCCGGCAAGGGTGCAGCACCCTGATTGCGGCATGTGGCGTGGCTCAGTGAAACCAATCCATATTCAGGGACAGCAGCCCACTGATGGATCTGAGACCAGATTCCACGGGCTAGACCCTAACGACGGTGCTTGAGGGGTTGAAGATACTGTACATGCGGGCAGAAAGCGCTGGAAAGAGGCAGTTTGGGGCTTCCCAGCCGCGCACTGTGCATTCACTCTACGCCACTTGCCTAAAAAAGTGTATGACATCATTCAAACCGGCGTCGATGCTCCGGAGATACAGGGGACATGATGCGCTAATTGCTGATTAGAACCCGAACTGGGGCTCAACACCCTGGCCTCAAGCCCCATGCCTTGCCGTCTCCTTGTTTCTACATCGTACTTCGTAAGCTGAAACGGCTCGGTCAGTCTGCTAGCTCCAGTTGCCCGAGGAAGTTGGCCACAATACCGGTTTCACCTGTTCGCCTTACACTATGCGGTACACTTCCCTTTACTAGGTACGTAAATGCGAGTCAGTTTGTGCCTTGCCCCACATGACCTTGGATGGGAGTCATTGCCACAGAGGACCCTGTGGGATGGTGACCTCTCAGCCGTCCCGGAGTGACCACACTGAGGCTTTGCACACTCTGCCCAACGCAGTACAATCTGCAACTGATTCAACTACCCAAGGCAACAATAGCAGCGTCATAAGAACTTCAACACAATTTTGTTCAGTATTATGTACTGAAGTATATTTTAATTTAACAATAACTAAAACCTCACTTGTAAAAGAGTAAGATCTAAATTTAAGTACATGGAGCGAGGGCTAGATACTATTGAACATGTTAAACGTCCTGCGCCAGCCCTCGCAGTCCCCCTCTCTCTCGCAACATTACTCTGATTCCAACAAGACAAGTTCTCCATCAAAGCACTAATCTCCAAGGAGCCATCAATGCTGTCAGTGACCGTAATGATAAGATGCTCGGATATCTTTCTTGGTTCTTCCAGAACCTCCTCTTCTCAACTTGTCTGCCACCGGCCAGCCTCCAAGACACGAAGTTGATCGGACGGGAGGTAGTTCTTTAAGGTCTCCGCGGCCACAACTTACAGGGCAGGACCCAGATTGTTGTTATCCTTCATAGCTTATCGAGTTCACTTCTCATACCGCCTTGTCTCTTCCAAGTGACTGCCGAACAACTCGTCGAGTTATATTCGGGTTGTCTGGCTGGAGGCTAGCGTTTCACTCGAAGAGCGGAGCTTTGAGGGATCAGAGTATACTGTGGACTTATTGTACTTATGTTATAGTTTAGATATGCAACCTCTCTGTGTACATTTCCAAGTCCTCTTCAACTCCAACACCGTACCGTGACCGACCTGGATACATATATACATCCAAGCCAGCTCGCTCACAAATATGTTCAAGTGCCTGCCTTTCCATTCTGTTTCCTTTCCATGCATATCCGCAAACCCTCGCCGTATGCCACAAACAAATGCAATATGAGAACCCTCGACGCCAGATCAACAAAGCTTTCAGCCAGAAACCGAAGAAACCAAAAGCGCCAATCCTGCCGGCAACTCCGCCTGAGGTCACTAGGACCCAGCTCTAGATGATTCCAACATGCCTCCTCCTCCAGCTTCACATGAAGTATTTGCTAACTATAGTCTAGAAGGAAACACACATCTGACAACTTTACCACCCTCGTCGTGAAGTACCTCGAGTCTCGTATCCCCCGCGGTCAGATACGGTCTCTGTGGGTGCTTGCTCACCGCTTCGTCCTTCTTCTATACTTCGTCGGCCTTGCGCATCCACCTCTGAGAAATCGAACATAAGTGGTTCCTCGCCGACCAATTCGTCGTCACCTCTGGCCAATCTGTTGACCGATCCAGTAAAGCTGCCTCTTGAGGATTGCGGCGGGGTCTGTCGGTGAGCCGCTCCCATGCCCATGTAACGGCGTCTTCCAAATGGCGAGCTTGACGTGGCCACGGGGATAAACCCCTCCGGTGGGTTCTCCTCGGATAGTCCCCGTTGCATCATCGCAGATGTTTCGGCAGTCTCGATTTCAGCTGCCGGTTGAAATCCGCCCGGCAAGCCCCCCTGAGCTGTAGATTGCTCTTCCAGTTGCATCTGCCTTCCGAGCAGAATGCTCATCGTAGGCGGCTCTCTATCCTCTGCTCCCAAGCTAATGCTTCGGTTTGCGAATGCCAAGTCCGTCTCATCATCGTCTGCCAATGCCCGATTCTGCTGTGCCGCCGAGCTAGATCGTCGTTGGTATGAGTTTAGTCGTGGTGATAGGGGGATATCGATGGCGGTTGTGCCGTCCTGGGTAATTGTGCTCTCTCTGGTAGGTCCAGACGGGGCACTCTCTAGTGCACGGCCCTGTCGTGAAGTGATTCGGCCTTGGCCCGTGTAGTCGATAATCGAGTTCTCGCTCAAGCGGGAGGGAATCGCAGGTGTATGCGGCGTATGCGGTGAGAGTGGCTTTCCGGGAGATGACGACGCCGACATGGACGCCGGGGCTACCATACCAGGTACACTCGTCAGCTGCCTGCTTGATGAGCTCGAAGAACGCTGCATCTGCACCGAAGAAGTCATTGACTCTGTTAGAGCATTGTTGGAGTCCTTCATCATGTGGAACTTAGAAAGCTGAGCCACGGTTCGATTCGTTGCCGACTCTCCCCTCTTGGTAGGTTCAAAACTCTTGAGTGTCTTTTTACTGTCGAGTGCTTTCAGGAAGTCGGAGATATTATCATCCTCAGTCTGAAGCGATTCAGAGCTGGTGCCAGCCACTTCTGCGAGGAGACCAGAACCTGGCTGAGCTACTGACGAGGCCAGACTTTGTCTTCCGCTGCTACCTTGCTCGTCGTCTCCAGCTCTGCTTGCGCCGCCAAAGGACAACCGACCTCGGCGGTGCGTAAAGCTACTGCTGTACCGGCTTGCTGAAGCCGGTTGAGGTGACCCTACAACGGCGGTGTTTACACCTTGGGGAGGTCCACCTCGTAGAGATGCTGGCATGCCCGCAGTGAGAGACGTCCGGTTTCTAGCCTGTTGGAGAGACGGGATCCCACCTGTTCGGGAAAATGAATTTGGCGATGCCGGGGAGTCGGCTTCTACCTGTCGTGGAATTGGAGAACCCGAGAGCGAGCCTGCCTTGAATGGTTGAAATGAAATCGATGGTCTACGACCATGACCCTCCACCGTTCGCAACGCTGGGCGTGTCGCTGTATGGCGACCGATCGGTAATGAGCTCGGGCCGTCTATTTCGGTGCTTATGGGTAATGACTCGGGGGGAGAGCTTGTATCGGAGCCTGGTGGGCGCACAGCTCTTAATGCTGAGATGGGACTCGTCCCTAGAGGATCGTTGCCGTGAAAGGTCGACAGACTGCCGTACGTCTGCTGCAAATCACTGATATTTGGACGAGCCCGGTTATCACGCAGCGAGCCGACCTCGGCCATGGGCACTCGAGGACGGTCTGACTGTTGGGGTAGTGATGGCCTGAAGAAGTTCTCATCAACACCCATGAACCGTGAGCTTAGGAGGGCCTCGGAGTCGTCGACGCGAAAGTTGCAGTCATTGCGATACGTGACAACAGTGCTCAGTCGTCCAACTGGCACCTCTAGATCCCCAAACATGTATTCTGTCACTGGGTCTGGTCTGCCATCGATGGGGAGCCTCAGTTGGTCCAGGCGTGGCCGGGTGGGCTCAGAGGTGCGTATTCGGATTCGGGGGATGAGGGCAGGGTGAGAATGCTTTGCTGGGCCTTGGCTGGCGAATTTCCAGGCGGGCAATAGGCGGGTGGTGATGAAGAGGGATCTGAAGAAGACAATGGCCTTTTTGTAGATCGTTGGGAGAGTAGGGCCAAAGTCGTCAATCGGTATCGCGCCCGTCGGCTTGAGATCGACTCGCCATCTCTCGAGGATTACGTCGGGGCTCCGGCGGGACGAGCTAGGCGGGCTACCAGTGGACGACCCCGACGAGTTCAACTGCTCCATTACATCCCATCTCTTTCCATTCTCGTCGACAATGACAAGACTCTGACTTTCTTTTAGTTGGGAGGCATCGAGATAGACTTCGATAACCATGGGCGGTGGCTGGTTGTCGAGGCTGCCGCAGTTCTTCCAGACCTTGAGTTCTTCCCGGAAGTCGTCGATCTCGTCGGTCTCGATTTGGAACTATGACGATGATGAGCAAGTCAATCCTACCAGCAATTGCTAGGAACCATACCCATTTGTTGGCTCTCCGGGCGCCGTTTACATTGCGCGATGGTTTCACTTTGATACGGGAGTTGAGGACGAGGGCAGCAGTTTTTGAGTAGAAGTTCTGCGGCACAGTTAGTCCAAGCCGCCAGTGAATCCAAGCTGGGATGGGCAGGACGGCCCACGTACCTGGATTATCTGGTCGAGCTTCTTGACCGACTCGGCAGGCGGGCCAGGTGATGAGGGCTTCTCCAAGACGGGAGATTCAAGGGTCTCTCTGCCCGAGACGGTCGAGCCGGCGCGGGATCGGGAGCCAAGGACAGCTTCCCTCGGGTTTGTTGGTCGGGATGGGTTGGGCTGTTGCATCGCAACGGGGGACGAGACCCGGGCCGGGCCTCGAGGTTGTTGGTGCATGGTGACTGACTGAGGAGCGAGTGTAGATGTTGGGGGCTCGGGGGGATTGAGAGCCCGGATCGATGAGATCACGAATGGATGGGGATATCGGCCTGCCACCGGAGCAGCTCATCCATGGTTCATGTCGCGAGACTCGGGGCGAAGGCGGGGGGAGACGGAGGAGACGGAGGAGACGAGGAAGCCGGGGCGAGATGGATCGTTGGGCGTGTCTGGTCGAGTCGGCGTGCGGAAACTGTGGATTGGCAGGCGGTCGGGCGAACAAGTGGAAAAACCAATAATCAAAAAAGTCCTGGGACGAGGCAGCTGCCCGGGCGAGATGCAGGCACAGCCAAGCAGCAAGCAACGAGTGCAGGCAGCGAAAGCGACCGGGGTGTGGGCGCCAGGATGTGGTTGATGCGGCGGCCAGCGAATCGAAGGGCCGACGTGTGACTGTATCGCGTATCGGTATCGGGCGCTCGCAGCGGGGGGGCGGGTTGGAGATGGGAGATGCAACGGGTACACAGCGAGGACAAGACGACGGGATGGAAGAGCGCAAAACAGGAGGAGAAGGGATAGAAGCTGATGAGAGAGTCGCCAGAGCTGTCCAGGTGCTGTCCAGGGAGGTCACGACGTTGCAGGAGGAGACGAGCACAAGCACAGGGTCCTCGTGATGGGCGCCGGCGAATGGATTGGACGGAGGGCTGTCGTCATCGGCTAGAGCCGCACGTCAGAGGGAGGAGGATGGATGGAGGAGGCCCAGGTTGGTAGTAGTGGTGTCTCGCCGCAGCAAGCGCCCAGAACCAGATGAGACAACAAGACCACCGCTGTGGCAGCCTTGCAAGGCGGCAATTGATACGGATGGGATGAGGTGAGATGATAGGCGACGCCGGCGCAGTGTGATGGGACGAGAAGGGGACCTAGGGAGGGAGGAGGCGGCGGAACGACAATTGTCATGCAGCGACCCGAGTCAAGCAGAAGGGGGAGGGAAGTGCATAAAGAGAAGAAATGGTACGGAGGCGTCAAGGTAGATAGATGCTGTAGGTACTACACTTATTAGCAGTGTCATGCCCACAGAAGATGCAGGATGTACCTATTTACCTGCATTATTACAGCCCCAAGGGTTCTATCCAGAAATCTTCAACAGGCAAGCCATGCAGAAGCCCCCCCCCCAAGCCATCCAGGTCTCCCTCCCTTCAGGTCTCCCTCCAGGTCTCCATCCCAGGGTCTGTGCCACTATCGCTCGCTGGAGATGGACGGATTGAGGTGCCGTTACCGCTTGTGTGTCCTCGTGCCCGTCCTCCACGCTGGGGCGTCCCTAGGGGTCAGTGCGCTGCGGTGGGCTCTCCAGTGGGTCGCCCACCCTGGAAGCTCCTGCAGGGGTGTGCTGACTTTCCGGCGCTGTGATTAGCTTGTGTCGCCAACCATCTTCAGCAACCCGGAATGGGCTTTGCGCTCTCTTCTCTCTCAGCTCTCAGGGCTCCATCGGCATGACAGTCAGTGTGCATCATCCCAGGCAGACTGGCGACTGGCCTCTGCCAAATCGGGACAAGAGACGTAGCCGGCCCTGGTTCGACGGCTCAATGCATCGACCAGATGCAATTGACTCAGCTTGCATCTGCATCGTTCAATGACTCCCGTTTGTCAATGACTCAATAACTCCCAGGTTGTGCTCGGTTGATCCCGGGATATCAATGGATGATGGCCTCCCCTCCCTCTCTCTCCTCCGCAAAGAGCTATCCAAAGTACATACTACGCACTGCGTCCTACGTCCCACGTCCTACACTCAAACCATCTACGCCGGTAGTGCGTGTAGTAGCGTGTCTCGCTGTTCCTCCCCCGCCCTCCCTCCCTCCGCTGATAAGCTCCACTGCCTGCCTACGGAATCCCCGTCGAGACGGTTCGTCCGTGGTGGTTGGTGGTGATGGTGGTGATGGATTGCGGCCCGGTCATCGAGCCACTCAAAACCCGCAGGCCATGTGTTTCCCGTTATCGTCCGTCCGTCCAGCTCACGTCTCTTATCTCTCTCATCCTCCAGCTTACTTGGCGTGATGAACATCTTCCATCCTCCACCTCGATCCGAACAAGGAACCGCTCACGTGTGCCATCCTCTCCAATCCTCGTTCCATCCTCTCCATCCTCCCCGTCTCCGTGTCCAATTCTGACATGTCAGCTGCCTCTCACGATACTACCTTGAAGGACACACCCTGATAGCGATAGCATTTTAACCTCGAGTGGAAAACCATCTGTGATTGATCAATAGACTACATCTCAGATTAGGTCAGGTTCGCTTACACGGCGTCAATCGCAATACATGGCATTTCCGTCGTGCTAATTAGTGCACTCCCTCCCTCGAACCACATACCCTATGTACACTCCAAGATGTGGTTACCGTCAAAATAATACATGCAATGCAAAGCGTAAAGCGTATAAGGGGGTGATTGTCCATAAACTCCACGCAACAAATCCCCACCAATGAGGCTTGTCGGGTCCTACGATCCTCAAAAGCAAAACAACACTCCCCGACTCTTATTAGGCCTTACCGCCTCTTGTCTTGACGCCTTCCCCTCTGCCAGATGAATTCCCTCCGCCGCGCGTGCCCGTGTTTGTTGTCTTCGTGTTTGTACTCATTCTCTTGTTGGCGCCTCCGCCTCCGCTTCCACCCCCGCTCTGTCCGCCATCCACCGCGACCTCGCCGCTCTTGGCTTTGCCGCCTCTGCCACGCCGACCGCCCCGTCTGGTCCCCTTGTCCTCCTTATCTCTGCTCTTCGTCTTCCGTCGCGCCTCCTCGTCTTGAGCTCGCTGGCTCTCCTGGTCCCACCACTCCTGGAACGCCTGCTCCTGCTGGATCTCTTGCAACGACCGCTTCGCGACCGCCTCCTTCACCAGCTCCTGCTCGCGCTTCTGCTGCCCAATAATGTCCGCCATGCTGAATCCTAGAGTCGCCTCGGCCTTAGGCGCTGGTGTTATGTATGACCGTGAGTGTGGCACCAGCGGTTTCTTGGCTTGGCCCGGCGACGGCTCCGCGCCCATGGCGGGGGAGTTGCTCATCCGAGCCTGTCCCGGGAATCTGGTGTCGGGCGACGCGGTACGCTGTCTCGCAGACTTACCTCTCGTCTCCGAGACCACAAGAGGTTTGGTATTGGCCGAGACTGACCCGGGCATCTTTGACTCCATTGCCATCGCCTCCTCCACTGACATCTTTGGCGTTGGCTTGGCCGCCTTCCAGGGAGGCGGTCGTCCACCAGGTGGTGGCTTTTCCCACGGCACTTGGCTGGCCAGTTCATCCTTGGCTGCCGCCTCTGCCGCTGCTTGCGCCGCCGCCTGCATCTGCAATTGCTTCTTTCGCTCCTTTTGTGACACCTTCGTTTGTGGCTTGTTCGCCGCAGAATCTTTCGTCTTTTGCTCTGTGAGACCCGCAGTCAGTGCAGATTTAGACGAGCTTTCAGACATGATACCCTTCAGGTCCAGCTTCGAGGTTGCCAGCGTCGCAGGCGCCCAGGGGCTACCTGGCTTCGACATCGCACCACCTGTTGGATTCGAATCTCTTGTCCTGGACAATCTCAGATCAGGCGACATAGAAAACGAGTCTGGTGTTGGGCTATGCATGATATCTGCGATGCCTTTTCCTTTCTGTTCTCGCCAGGCCTTGGGAAGCTGCGGGATCTCATCGGCATCAATTTGCAGCCTGGGATTCAAGGGTTGATTGAGTGGCGATCGCGGACTGCTGAGTGTAGAGCCATCCTCCTCGTCCATGTCAAATATCAGATCGCCTTGAGACTGTTTAGGTCGTAGACTAGGGCTGAAGGGCTCATTGCGGCCTCCCCTTGATTTCCGACCAGATCTGTCAGGGGTTTGCATGGGAATCAAGTCGTCCATGCTTCCCACGCGCGCCTTGTAAGACGAAGATAGTTTCTTCTCATCCTCCTTCTGACTGATCTTGAAGGCCATTTCCTTGACCCTGAGCTGTCGCTCCTCGTCAATGTCGGCGGCGAGGTGGGGGTTGTTGTCGTGGAGTAACAGTTCAGCTCTCCCGCTACGTGCAAAAGGAAGTCGGGCGAGCTGGTTGTCGCGTACAACTTCATCCAATTCCAAAAGCAGCTCTTCTTCCAAATCGTCGAGCAGGTGGTTTTCAAGCATCGACTCGAGCTGGAGGCAGATGTACTCAAGGCCAGTGTCCTTAAACTCGGCGACTGAACAAGGACTGATTTCGTTCAGGAGATTGGCAATATTCCTTGTTGTGACGAATTTTCCAATCAGAGACTGGCAGATTTGCGAGAGTCGATCAAGCATGAGCTCGTTTGCGACGCTCATAACGTCCAGCACGAGATCCGACAGCTCGTCAATTGAAGCCGCTGCCACGTTGTCGAACAGCTCCTGTCCGACGTCGGCATACATGAACGAAATCACATATTGAAACGTTTCAGGATCGATGTGCTTGAGATCAACCCTTACGTTGTCGGTCGAATCCCCATCGCGGCGTCCCGCGAGCCATTGACCTTGGGAGCGACCGTGGAACATACCTTCAAAGAAAGGACATCTCTGGCACAAAAGTTGACTGTGAGCTACAACTTCAGCTCCATCCAGCTCCAGGATGACGTCGGCATCATCGAAAAAATCAGGATGGGATATGGCCTGGCTGAAGTCGGCATCGAGAGACTGTTCTACTCCAGTCTGTAGTCGAACAGCCGCCTCTAGCTTTGGCATGGAAAGGCGAGGTGCTATTTTCATCAACTCCGTCCGGATGTGGCGAAACCGAAATGCAAGTGGCGGTGATTCTCGTGTATATTTCCAAACCGGGATAATCTTGTCCTGGTAAACATAGACAATGATGTTGAGAATGGTGAAGATGTCGACCTCGAACAAGGTCACCAATATCTTGTCCTGGGTAGCCTCGATGCGGAAAGCATCCGTGCTGAAAGTTGACCCGTGGTTTCGAAACTCCGAAAGGCCTTCACGAAGGACGGAACTTCGTCCAGACAGAACCCAGCCATGAACGGGAATTCGTATGTCTGGTGATGACGATGTACAAAGCTCAACGTCGAGGTCACCATATTGAAAGGAGTTGACTTGCAGCCAGTGCAACATATCAGCTTCAATGTCCTGTGATCGTAGAATTTCGTGAGGGACAGATCCACGCTGCTCTCTCGCGATGGCCGCATCCCATGACTTCCGAGCTTTCTTAGCTTCCTTGCTAGGCTCCGGTGCTTCGAAGTCCCGGAGGCAGAGCAAAGAGCTAATGTCTTCTCGTAGTGCCTTGTCAGCGATCTCAATTTCCTCGGACATGACCTTGCTGTCGGTTCGGATAGCCGCAAAGGCACCAAAGATGGAGCTTCGAACGGCTACGCAGTTCGTGATGTATGGTACTCGCTGGAATTTGAAGTCCTTTCGTTTCTTGTCCGTTGACTCGGCGAATGCGGCACTCTTACCCTTGGTCCGCTGAACTCGCTTCCAAACTGCTCCTGATTCAGTGCAGATGATGACTGAACCGTGCTCGCCAACATCTACCGAGGCCACTCCATCCTTGTGCGAGTCCCAAATGCACAGAGGTTGGGTTAAGGCGCTTTTGATCTTGACTGGATTTGTGGTGGAAGCTGCAGATTGGCTCGCATCCCCCTTCTGGTTGAGCTGTAAAGTGAATAGATCTCCGCGTGCAGTAACTGCGGCGATCGTTTCTCCCCCTGACGTAATGTAGTTGATTTCCCTTCGGCCTGAGTCATATCGATTGGAATAAGATGATGTGGTCAAATTGTGGTTTGTAAAGGCATCGGGGAACGGAAACTTGACCAGGTTGTAACCATAGTTGCTGAAGACCCAAACCGTGTGGTTTGAAAGCAAACATATGGTCGCCTTGTCAATGGCCGAGACCATTTTGATGGGAGATGCCAGGAGAGAAGCAGCAACCTTCCTGGGTGTGTTTTGCACGTCGAGCGACCTTGAATCGGCATCCATGAGAGCCAGTTGGCCAACATTTCGACCCCACGTATACAAAGAGGTCCCGGTGTGTGCAACGGAGTGATTCGCCGATGCGGCAACACCAAGCACATTTTCCTTTTTAAGAGAGCCAAAGACTTGGCGTGGGGTAAGACTCATGGGCTCCTCATCTGCCTTCATGGGCGGTGGCAGTACATATCCCAACTGTGAGTTGGAGTTCAGCCCCCAAGTCCAAAGCTCTCCGTTGCCAGCGACAGCCATGGTATGGTTTTGGCCAAGTGCAATATCGCGGACCCTTCTGTCCACAAATGGGCCTTGCACTGGAACGAATTTGAACTGAGTGTTCTCATCCCCCAGTCCAAGCCTTCCACCTCGCCCAACGCCACAGATGTAAAGGTTGGAGACTGGGTCTGTAGTCAATATGGCAGTGTGTAGTTTAGACAAGGCCACATCTTGGATCACCAGTGGGGGATTCTGGACCAGAATTGGAATTTCATCCAGGTCAGGCAGGGAAGTGGAAGCCTCCACATCATTTTGAGCAAGGTGGGAATGGTAGAACCGACGCAAAAGATGTTCTGGTCGGTTCAAATGAATGCGCTCGGGGTAGTGGCGGTCATCCTCATCGCCAACCCCCAGCGACATATTCTTGTTGCTGCCAAACACGAATAGTTCGTCACCATCAATCGATGAGTGGAGTCCGTGAGGCACCTTGGCGGTGCTATGACAAAGTTAGACCAGCACGAAGGAGAAATCGAGGCCACTCACTGGTGTAACCCATCTCCAACGCTATCGCCGCTATCCGAGTTGCTATCCGAGCTACTCGCATCCTCGATGCTCTTCAGGGACCGTGCTGCGATGGTTGAATTGTAAACATCAAAGGGACTGTTGCCCTCATGGTCCTTTGTCTTGATCAACAGACCGACTTTGTTAACGGAGGTCACGTTGTGGCTCGTCAAGTCCATGCGTTCCCTTTCCAACAGCAGGCGCGCAATCGAAACGTTTCCAGCATATAAGGATCGGTGGAGGGCATTCCAGCCGCTCTCCGGATCCTGCGCATATAGGTCAATTGCAGGGTGCTCAATAAGGAGCTGGACGAAGTCTCGAGCATTCGGGTCGGTTGAGGAGGCGGCTCGCAGCAACACGGTCAAGCCAGCATGGTCCCGGCTGTTGATTTCGGCGCGTCCGAGGTTTTGGCTGGCATCCTTCGATTTTGCCGGGGTTTGGTGATGCCCCGAAGCTCGCCGCTGCTTCGCGACAAGTCGCGGCGAGGTGCCGAGGCCACCCGGGCTTCTAGCTGTGAAACTGCTGCTCCCTACCGCAGGGCTCTTGGACACATTCTGGGTATTATAGCTGGTAGGGGCCAGCAGACGCCGAAACTTGTCGACATCGTTTTCCCAGTAATATTTCCACAATAGGTGACTCATGGGCGGGGGTCGAAGGTACTATCCCAAGCGCTCGAAACAGCACCTCGCTGTGAGTCTCGGCGGATCACGGCTTATTTAAAGGTGCGATTTAGAGGCGCCGGAGAGCTCGGAAGGGAGCGGCGAGCGCGGTGTATCGTGCGAGGTGGTGCAGTGGGCGTCGGTACTGGCGATAGATCGTGATGGGTTCGCTGGGGATGTAAGTTGCCACCTTTGGGATAGGGACTCGGGCGGTGATAGGGGCGGATGCGATATTCGGTTCGCGTCGAGATCGGGCTTGAAGCGGGAGGTGGAAAAGTTTGGTACCGAGGGTCTAGGATGATGGACGCGAAAGGGTCGAAGATGCAGAGCACAGCGCGAATTAAGGATGTTGAGGAGCAAGATGCCAGGTCGCGAAAGCGATATTGCCAAAATGGCTTCCATGTGTTTCCGAGGGGCCGGTTGTGCGCGTCAGCACCATCCCCCACCACTAGCACTTACGGCTCCCTTCAGCGCGCATCCGCGGGGGCTGCGGTGGGAAGGCGGGCACCTATCCAGGGACCAGAAAGCGCTGTGGAAGCTGTCATTCACTGAAGCCCAGTGGGCCAGGCCAGCGGAGCCAATCGTGGCCCGCGCCGGGGAGGTGTGCCGGATCGGAGGGCAGATAGGGCTTTGGCCTCATCCCGTGTTCGCACATGGCTGGAGCCGGCGTCTTCTATTTGCTGAAGACAGGATAAAGCCAATTATGGATAAGGCTCTGGATTGCGCATTAGCATGGTTTATGGAATCTGATCAGATCTCATGATCTAAGAGTGTGACGGCGGTAAGGTTGTCGTCGTCTTGCCATCCAAGTGGGCTGGAGGTTTCTATACGCGGGCGGGCAGGTCAAGCTTCTTCACTAAAGCATCAGCTTAACTAAGGTGCATAACTCCCTTATGTATAAGGTAGTCAAAGTTAGTACTAAATGTTGGCAGCAATATGATTAAGCGAGCAGGGCTTAGCTAGGACATCATTGTCCAGCTGTGTCGAAAGATTTTTGCTGGAGAGGGAGGATATCGGTGCCATTTCCGAGAGAGACATTTCTTACCAACAGGTCTTGCTGGATCTTTACCGTCAACAGCCAAATCTTCGCGAACTATACTCCTAGTGCGTTCTCTGAGGTCGAAACAAGATCATCCAGCACGCCAAGGCTTTTCAGTATCTTATCCATGCCTTTGTTGTCGAAAAAGAAGCTCTCACTGAAGACTTGACTAAGAATATAAAATTCTCACCAAAGGCGGCCCGGTTATCGAGCCAAACATACCGGATGTTCCCCCAGAGAAATATGACGGTGTTTATCGGACTGTTATTGTCGGTGCTGGAACGACAAACTTTACAGTTCCAAACTTCGCCCCAGCAAAAATAAAGGAGATGTGCAACAACCTCATGCAAGACCTGGAAACTTCAGAGAATCAGAATACAGTCGATCCATTTTCTATCGCTGCTAAGTACTCACTGGAGTTTGTCTCAACCCGCCCCTTTCAGGACGGCAACGGAAGATTGTGTCGCATGATTCTCAATGCTATACTCTGTCGCTACGCTGGCATAATCATCCCGATTGGTGAGCAAGGTGAAGAACGAGACGAGTACATGGGAATCAAGAAACGAGCGAGTCTGCAGATGGGGGGACAGGGGGTATACGCCACCTGGGTCATACGGCCATCTTCGAACATCTCCTCGTATCTTTTGCCCATGGGAAGGCCATTGCGAGCGCTCATGATGTGGCCGTTCCTCATAGGGGGGGTCGGATTTTCCGAAGAGGTATTGACTTCGCCGATGTTGTACGGCACGATATGAGCGGCAACTACCTCAGGAATTATCGGTCATTCCAGAAATAATGCACCCTTTATGATTTATGCTTTATTTATTTATTTTATTAGGTCTAATTTAATAAAAAGACACACATTCAGTACTACCTTTGAGTACCTTATACATAAGGCAGGTAGGTACCTCAGTTAAGCTGATGCTGTAGTAAAGAAGCTTGCTATCTGTGTGCGAATAGCATATTCTCGTGTGCGAATAACCTTCATCTGGCGGTCCCGATTGCTTCAACGTAGAGGAGGTACCTTGCAGAGTAATAACTCCAGCTTCAATTAGAGCTCGGACTTGAGCTTGGACATTGTTTACTCAACTCGAGCTCTCGCCAGTCAGATCTCGTGGATGGATGGAAAGGACAAAAAGGACGAAGGGGATTGGGGATTAAGTTGGGTCATTTGGGCGCGGAAACTGGGTCCGAGCCAGCAGGGAAACCTTTCGACAATCAGCCAAGTGTGAAGATCCCCAGGTCCGAAACGTGGTGAACCATCCCTGAAGATCAAGGCTAGACCACATCAGGCCAACTTCCGCTCGGTCGACGGGGCCGGACGCGGTGACGGGTGGCATGGACACGGCGGGGTTTCGGTCAGGACATGAGAAAGCGAGGTGTAAGTGTCAGCGACGATGAATTCCGGGCTTCACCGGGAACATTGGGGAGGTGAGGCCAGATCTAGACGCCGTTGTGTCCTGCTCTCGCTCACTCGGCTCGGGACGCACAACCGGCAAGTCACCGCGAGCATTTCTAGTGATGTTGTGGCTGTCGTTCCCGGTCTCGCGGCGTCGGTGGAGGCTACTTAGCAGAGCCTATCAGAGCGAATAGCCGAGAGATGACTGCCCTGCAGGGACAAGGGCACGCCAGGGTTTTGCGCTCAATGCCGACATTTCGCCATCCAGGTACGGATGCATGTCTGGAGCATGTCCCAGTTGCCGTCGGTTGGTTCATGTCTTACACGGGCACTTGGCTAGTAGCCTCACGTCCGGTGACGGATGTCTGAGAGTCATTTGGAATCCCGGGGTAGCATTCATGTCCAACGACGCGAGTACAGTACACACCGGGGGCAATTGGCCGCCGTGAAGATGGAAACCCACCCCCAGACTCTCCCAATTGAGCTCCGTGTCTCGCCGGGCCTGGGTCTGGGGTCTAGCCTGCGAGTAGCGGATAGACAGAAATCATCATGGATCCGGCGAAGGGCACAATGATGCCCGGTCCCACTGTCGTCGCAGGACGCCCGCCGCACGGCCAAAAGCAATGCTGCCGGTAACGTGCAGTACCGCGCAGTGGGCTACACGTCAAGCTGGGCGCTAATTCGCACCGTCTTTGGCCTCTGAGGCCGTCTGTGGCGCCCGACCACGGCCGCCGAATGTCGACAGTGGGGGGGTTTTTCGGCGTGTTATCGCTAAACCCGATAAGACCACTGGTCACCACCACCACCAACAAATTCCCTCCCCGGCCCGGTATTCGCTCGGAGGTCGCCATCTTGCTCTGACTTCTTCTCTCTCATCCTCTCTTCGTCTCTTCTTCTTTTTTCCTTGTACTCCTCTCCAGCCCCGTCTGTCTGTCTTTCTGTCCCAGTGTCCAGTCCGACCCATCGCCACCATGACGTCCGCCGAGAAGCCCCTCCCCTTCCAGTACCAGTTCGCCGCAGGTTCGTTCCCCTCCGTCCAATCCGCTGCTCCGCGATACATTGACTAACGCTCGTGATCAGGCGCCATTGCTGGTGTCTCGGAGGTATGCCCGCGCCAGCTGCCCATGCTCCTGGGATCACTGCTAATCCCTCGTCCGATATAGATTCTGGTCATGTATGACACCATTCTGTGCCCCTCAATCGTCGCGAATCCTCATACTAACGTGCTCCCAGGTACCCTCTTGATGTCGTCAAGACCCGAGTGTACGACATGCCTCGCGCGAACCTCCCACCACACGATCGATTGCTAACAGTACTAGACAACTCCAGACTGCCGGTGCCACTGGCGCCGATGCCTACAATGGCACCCTGGACTGCTTCCGCAAGATCATCAAGAACGAGGGGTACTGCTTGCGCCAATCCCCCCCATTGCGCGCCAACTCTGCTAACGCGCGCCAGTTTCTCCCGTCTCTACCGTGGCATCTCCGCGCCCATCCTCATGGAGGCTCCCAAGCGTGCGACCAAGTTCGCCGCCAACGATGAGTGGGGCAAGATCTACCGCAACCTCTTCGGCCTCACCCAGATGACCCAGTCCGTCTCCATTCTCACTGGTGCCTCCGCCGGTGCCACCGAGTCCTTCGTCGTCGTCCCCTTCGAGCTTGTCAAGATTCGACTCCAGGATAAGGCCTCCGCCGGAAAGTACACCGGCATGCTCGACGTCGTCACCAAGATCGTCAAGGCCGAGGGTCCCCTCGCCATGTACCAGGGTCTGGAGAGCACCCTCTGGCGCCACATCCTCTGGAACGCCGGTTACTTTGGCTGCATCTTCCAAGTCAAACAACTGCTCCCCAAGGGCGAGACCCCGTCGGGTAAGATGGGCAACGACCTTGTTTCCGGTGCCATTGGTGGCACCATCGGTACCGTCCTCAACACCCCCTTGGATGTCGTCAAGAGCCGAATTCAGAACACCCCCAAGGTTCCCGGTGTCACCCCCAAGTACAACTGGGCCTTCCCTTCCCTCGTCACCGTCGCCCGCGAGGAGGGCTTCTCTGCCCTGTACAAGGGCTTCCTTCCCAAGGTGAGTCATGGTTCCCGAACCAGGCGAGTCTGTCTAATATTCTGATTAACACGTCTTAGGTCCTGCGTCTTGGTCCCGGAGGTGGTATCCTTCTCGTGGTCTTCACCACCGTCATGGACACCTTCCGCAGCTGGCAGAAGTGATTTCTCACATCAAATAGTGAGATATCCAGAAAAAAGATGGGGCCTATAATTTACATCATTACCACACCAGACGATAGAGTGCATGGGAGCATCCGGGGTTGACAAGAGGGGGGCGATCGATCTTTTGGATAAATACTGATACCTACTGCTTTAGTCAGTCAGGCTCTAGATATGATTTGTTCGGTTCCGAGATAACCTGCGTCGAAGGGTGTTGGGCTGGTCAAATACAGAGGGGGCCGGAGTCACTTTACATTGGGCGGGAATTTTATAGACGTTTCATATCGACCTCTAGCCAATTCAATGTTTATGCGTTTCAAATACTTCCAGGTCCAGCCATCTCCTGATTCCGGGTTTCCACTACGCAAATATTACCAAGCACCTAGGGGAATAACGGCAGCATAGCGATTTATCTCCGAATGCAAGAGCTTTTAGGAAATGACTTTTCCGATATTTTAACCATAGGACAAGATGTATTTCACTATTTAATTCAAGGAGGAGCAACAAAATGAGAATATTAAAGGGTCTTTCTTTAACTTTAGTCAAACTTGTTTTGATATATGAACGCAATAGAATCGGTAATCGCCAATGCTAACGCGCAAGTCTACACCTAACACCGGAATAATTGAAACCCATTTATTTATTCCCAATACTTTGATGTCTTCGTCCTTTGGCTCTGTCATCCCAGCACATTACGTTCTTGTTCAGATCAGTTAGTGATACTCAACAATCTCGCCGTCCTCCAACTCCTGATCCTCTTTTTTAAATCCTGTTTCGGGGCCGAGAATCTCCCACTCCTTAGACTTGACCATCTCCATATATGTTTTGTACAATCTCCGGAAATCAGCACGAGCGATGTGTCCTTCGACTGAGCACTTGTCAGCATAGTTGTGAACAATCTTCTCCGTCAGCTTAACCACAGTTCGACCCGTTATGAAGGTGCTCCATATTGGCCAGTTTTTATCCCGAATAGCCGTTAGCGGTTCGGCGCTGGACTCTTTGGGATCCCAGTAAGGTAGGTCATCGTCACGGACGCTAAGGTATTCCGCAGCAAATACGCGACGACCTGCGAGGCCTTTACCACGGTAAGTATAGAGGGGCAAGCAAATGCAATGCTCGCCCCAGGTTTCGAGAATGATCATCTTACGATACTTTGAGTGGACAGCGCCGAAATCTGAGTACATCATGTTCCTATCTTCCGCAGAAACGATGTCGGAGCGGCCTTGGGTGTGGTGAGGAGCAGAGATGATGGTACCTGGCTGAAGCTCATCTCGACCGCGCGTATAGTCGGAGGGTCGCGTAAAAGCAGTGACGGAGTTCCCCGAGAGGAGAGTGCTGAGGGCTCTTGTCCTTCCCCGGGGGATCTGGGGGTATCCCGATGACGTCGGTCCTCTATAAGAGTCATAGTGCCGAGCACTCGATCCTCTGCGAGAGTCGCGGGATCCGAAAGGTGATTCTCTACGGGAGCCGTAGTATTGGGGAGGGAGCATGCTGTGAGGGCCGTAGTGTCGGGCCTTGCGGTCATATGGCCGTCGACGTGGTTGGGACGTGAAGATGGAATCTGCCATAGACACTGACCCATCATCAGATGAAGCTGCAGAGTTAGTCCAGGAATGGCCGGCTGTGAATAAGAAAGGCTCATTGCGCCGACTGTCGTCAGTCTTACCAGCCTTTTCGGCAGCGTTCACAGAGGAACTGGTATCCGCACCGGCTCCATCGCTTCCAGCAACCTTGATCTTTGGTTCTGGATCAGTGACGGCGGGAGTCTCGGCGGTACCTATTTCTTCATGAGTATCGCGGAGGAAATTGAAATCAGTGGAAATTGGGAGGGCGGCATTACTAGTCCGGGGAGTAGCAAGAGCAAGACGAGCTTTCAGCGTTTTTATTTCCGCAGCAAAAAGGTCCATGCGTGTTTGAATGTCTTGTTTGGTCTCAAGCTGCTCGTCACGCAACTTTGCTGGGGAGAGTTGTCGAATCCTCTTGTTGGCGTGGGAGTTGTCAGGATCCGCCAATCTCTTTTCACCACTCTTCTGAGGATGCTCTGGCGCTTCCATTGGGACTGCTGCAATATGGGCTGAGAACTTGGATATGGGAACTTGAAAGGGTCGTGGATCTTGCGGCAGGCACGCATAAATAAGAGAGACATACCAACATGTTAACATCATGTATTCAATGAAACAAGCCTCTTTGTGTTAAAGACTTGCCTCAAAGTGCTGAAGATTTACAAAGATTACACCCGTTCTTTGTCCTTTGGGTGGGCAGAACGACTACTACATAGTAACACAAAGGAGTTGAGCAGAGCCGTGTGTTGGTCTGTTCACAGGCACGTCTTGTACGATTGGGGCAGCAGTGGAACACCTCTGGATTACACCACGAGGATTCGTGAGAGACGCGGGCTATTCTTAAAAATACGTTAATTTTTAAAAGTAGACAATGTTTAATTAGTCTGGGTTTATAGTAGTTTATTCATACCCTTTTTTCTCTCGATGGTTTACTCAACTAACTCTTGAGAAGCGAGAACTCGTTACTTAGGTAGGTAGGATATGTTTTGTGTAGTCACAAAAAGAAGTCACGGAAGCTCTAGAAATACGATAAGGAGGTCCAATTAAGTTTTCCAAAACAAATAACCACCCACACAGCGAAGGATTAACATTGCTTGCCGCCCGCAGGTGAGTGCATCCATCGGGATTGCCTAGTCCATCTTTTGTCGGGCCAAAAACTGGACAAATCGTAACTGCAGGGTAGCTACTCCGTAGGCTAGCCGGGACTTGGCGGCGCGGTTGGGCGCATCAAGGCGCTGGTGCCCATTGGCGACGTGGCTGGGGCGAATGACGGAGGGTGGCCACCCGTGACGTAGTAGCCTAGTAGGGAGCGGAGAGTACTCCAGGCGGGCGAAGCAGTGCGAGAACTAGCTGGTGACAAAAAGTATGGCGCCGGAATTAAGCGTGTCAATGCCTCCATTATTCTGTCGCCAAGCTTCTGCCCACTGTTCCACTGTCACCACTGTCACCACCCACTGTCACTTTTTCGCTTCTCGGCGCAGGGCCCCATGTACGTAATCAGGCCGGTGCGCAGCCACCTTCCACTCGCTCTCGCCGCCGTTCGCTCCCCGACCAACGTGAACCGGCAGCGCCCATTCCACCACCACCACCACTACCACCACGACCAACACCGCTACACCACCACTACGGCCATAGCGACCACGAGAGCACAATCATCTCCGACCAAGCCGCCCGTCCAGGCCAAAACCTTCTCCCGCCGCTTCCACGACATCGCCGCGCGTTCCGCCAGACCTTCTAAGCCCGCCGAACCGTCTCCTCTCCCGCCTCATCTCCCAAAGGTAGTCGCTCAGTCACCCCACGAACGCCGCAACCTCCAACCACCAACCTCCCCCCAAACCGTCTTGTGCGGGTCGACATCTCGCCGCAAACCACCACACTTCCTTCTCTCCACCCGCTTCCGTCCCGCCGTTCTCGGTCGCAACAGAATCACTGTCAATCTAGATTGGGCATCTTGTGACTCTCCGAGCTTGCTTCCCCTTCCCCTCCTCCATACGACACTCTCTCCGCCCAACGCCGCCATACGTTGCGCGTCATATTCGCCGCTGCATTAGCGTCATCTTGAGTCGCAGAATCAACCTCCATCTCCTCTGCAAATCGTCGACCCCTCCGACGACTGTTCGCGCTGCTGCCGACTTGTTGGCGCTCAGGACGCACCCTCCCCTTAAGCTTGGCCCTTTTGCCAGCTACCGTATCCCACCCTCCCCAGCCGCACACACAAATCGCCCACCATGTCGAAGGTAATGCGAAGCGTCAAAAATGTGACCAAAGGGTACTCCAGTGCCCAGGTCAAGGTCCGAGAAGGTTGGCGCTCCCTCATGGCTGTGTCATCGAACCACCGCTAATTCTCGTCGTCAACAGCCACCAGTAATGATCCATGGGGCCCAACCGGTACCCAGATGAGCGAAATTGCTCAAATGACTTACAACACGTATGCGAGCAACCCATGCTTCCTCGTTGCCTCGCAATCATGATACTGACCCGTTGTATTGTTTAGCTCCACCGAGTTCTACGAAATCATGGATATGCTTGACAAGCGCCTGAATGATAAAGGAAAGAACTGGCGACACGTCCTTAAGGCCCTCAAGGTCCTCGACTACTGTCTTCACGAAGGCTCCGAGCTCGTTGTCACTTGGGCCCGCCAAAGCATTTATATCATCAAGACCCTGCGGGAGTTTCAGTATGTCGACGAGGAAGGCAGGGACGTGGGACAGAATGGTATGCGCCCAGTGAATATCAACATCGGACCAATGCTAATATCTGCGTAGTTCGAGTTGCTGCTAAGGAGTTGACTTCCCTGATCTTGGACGAAGAACGATTGCGAGCGGAGCGGAGCGATCGGAAAACCTGGAAGTCGCGTGTCACCGGACTTGAGGAGTTCGCTCCTCAGCACGCTGAACCCTCTTCCCAGGCCCAGCGCCGACCCCGCGAGAGGAGGCAGATGACCGACGAGGAGGATGCCGAATACCGGCTGGCTCTCGAAGCAAGCAGGTACCAGGAAGAGGAGGATAGAAAGAAGCGCGAGAGCGGCCGACCCGACGACGACGACGATCTGGCCAAGGCCATCAAGCTGAGCCAGGAGGAGGAGGAGAGGAGGCGCAAGGAGCTGGAGGAAAGCAACGCAGCTTCCCTGTTCGATGACGATCCCATCCAGACGAGTTCCCAACCGCAACACACTGGTTTCAACCAGGGGTACCAGCAAGGAAACCCCGTCGACTTCTTCGCGAACCCGATCGACCAGAACCAGATGCAGACCCAACCCACCGGCTACATTGCCAACGCATACACTGGCTACCCACAGACACAGCCGGCGGGTTTCCAGCCCAACTACACCACTGGCTATGGGATGCAACAGACCGGCATGGGGCTGGACCCCTATGGCCAGCAGCAGCAGAACCTGCAGGCGTTCCAGCAGCAACCGACTGGCGTCAACCCATACATGCAGCAACAGCAGCTGTCGACTCCGTCTTCGCCTGATGCTCTCCATCCTGGAAGCAACAATCCTTGGGCAACCAACAACAACCAGCCTCAGGCACAGGCCTTGCAACCCACGCCTACTGGCTCCAACAACCCCTTTGCGCAGTTCAACCGTCCTGCGTCGACTAAGCCCAACCCTATTGGTTCCCTCAGCCCGCTTCCCGAACAGAAGACATTGTCTAGCTTCAACAACCAGCAGCAATTGCAGCAACAACAATTGCAGCAACAGCAGGCTGCCTACAACCAGGCACAACCATCCTTTGTGACCCCCCAGAAGGAGATGAACGAGCACGAGACTCGGCTCAACACGCTTCTGGCCTCCGGTGATGGAATGGATACCTTTGGTAACACTGGAAACCTCCGTCTTCCCGCACAGCACACCGCCCCGGGCACTTTTGTCAACAGTGCTGGCGCAGGTCTCGCCCGTATCAACCCCGAGGCCACCGGAAACAACCCCTTCCTCCGACAACAGTTCACGGGTATGCCCAGCATCAACTACAGCCAGGTTCCGGCCGCGACTGGACCTGCTGGCATGAACGGGCAGGGCACCAACAACCCCTTCGCTGTTCAGCAACACCCCCAGCAAAAGCAGAACCAAGATTTGATTCAGTTCTGATCTTGAAACTCGCACCAGTAAAAACAAATGACATTAGTGATGCTGCACTTCGTCGGTACTCACACCCCCTTTCTCTCTCACATGATGCCCGCCTCTCTTTTCCTTTTCTTCCTCCTTTCACCTTTTCGACCCCGATTCCCAGGTTTTTGCACAGGCGAAGAATGGTATTCCCCTGTTCACAGTACATTTATGGCTTTCGAACCTATGTTGATTTTTGGGGGGTTCAGTTGTCACGGGGAATTGGAAGTTCGTGTGATGGCCCGGAGGAGGATTTAGACAGCGCGCCTTCCACCATTCAAAATTTTAGATCTGCTTCATATTTATTTTGTCGTAGCAATTCCCTGTTTTCATCATCCAAGTCGATGTAGCCAGCGCCTGAGACTCCCCTGCTCCCTGATGTTGTGGAGCGGCTCGGCTTGCCCCCTTTTGCCCTCCAACTATCCCCATGCCCGGACGCAGTTGGAACTTGCTGGTGTGGAGGTATGCCGGTCAAATCAGGAGCGCATTCATCGCGGACCATCATTTCTGGGCGGCAAGCTTCTGAAACTTAACTTGGAATCAAGCAGAAAGCTTAACTTATAATTACGATGATATCGCGGGCCTGGCATCTGCAAGCTCAGTGTCGGCAAAGGGAAACGTGACTGGTCAAGGGCCCGAGCTGCTTCGTTTCCGCGGCGTGCATTCCCTCCTCGTAGTCTTTGTCGTCCACTGCAGACCCTTTAACCAGCCTCCTCCATCATTTGGATGAACTCCTCAAGATTCACGCCATTTTTGCCGTCGTGATCCAGGTGCTCAATCATGCTGTTGATCTCCTCATCCGTCATTGTCCTCTCCTCCTTGATGTCTTGGGCTAGTCGTCGCATGTCGCTAAAGGTGATGATGTCGTCGCCATCGTAGTCGAACATCCTGAACACCTTAATGGCCTCCTCCCGAGGATCTCGGTTGGCCAAGAGCTTGGAGGCGCATAGCCTGAATTGGTCTTGGTAGATGCAGAGGCGGTTGGTGGGACAGTTATGGTCCTGCCACTCTGGCGGCGGAGTACCGTAGGTGTCGAGCTCTTTAAAGTAGTCAGGTTTGGACATTTCAAACCCCAATGCTGCTAGAGAATGCCTGAATTCGTAGCTGTTGAGCCATCCCTTCTTTTTCATATCCATGAGGTCAAACTAAAGTGATGCTGGTGTGAGCGGAGTGATTTATGGGGCTGGCGCGTGTGAACCTACGACTTCATCAATGTGCTCTCGGTCCTCTTCAGGAACTGTGTTGTACTCTTCGTTGGATGAGACCTGGGGGGCGACAGGATGGCGGGACTGCGGCGGGTGACTGGAGCCGCCTGCTAATGAGCGCACCGGAAAGGGGCGCGGCGTTGTATGAGAATTCATTGTTGTGAGTGATGTTGTGAGATGTGAGACGGGTGTGTGGCAGGGAGAGCGAGAGAAGTAGTGGCGGTGGCGGGTTCAGCAAGCGATTGGGATGGATAGAAGCGTCCAGGGGGATGAAAATAGCCGTTGGATGAAGCTATTCACTGCTGCGCAGCTCGAGAGAAGCATGGGATGGGTGTGGGATGGAGGAGCGTGACAAAAGGTCGTTGTTGGTTGGGTCAACGGGATGGAGACAGTAACAAAGAGCTTTGAGGATCTGGCCGGGAAGCGCTCCTTGCGACGCGACCACCTGGACGCGCCGCCGAGCTTCAGCCAACCAAGCCGTCGCGAATCGTGATGGAGTCTGCCTTGGTACCGGTGGCCAAGGTACCTCTGTAGGCAGCCCGCAGGCACCAGTGACTCAGCCTGCGTGTATCCCAGCCGCCAGCTTTTATTGGACCGGCGTTAGTCAGCCGACCCCTTGAGGCCAATCAAGCACCGAGTTTTTGTCTGAGGCAGCAACGCAGCTGTGGCGACCGAGCGTCCTAATGGGCAGAATCCGCCCCGAAAAAAAAGCTGGCTGGGCCGTCTGGGCGAAGTGAACCTGACCTCACTACTAACTCTGTCCCATCGACACCAACTTGAGGTGAAAAAGGGCGTCACCTCCCCCCGGTCCGCTCCTTTATTGCGGTCATTCCCTCCTTTCTCTCTTTTCTTTAGTCACTTTTTCTCCGCTTTGTAAGGCTCCTGCCGCCCTTTGAGCAGCTGACGTCCCTCGACCAGCTGCACTCCTTGTCGGAAGCCGTGGTGCAACGACCTGCGCGCTTCGCCGACCTGGCATAAAAAGCTTCGCGCGATCCTCGCTGCCCGCGAAAACCATCTCCTACACATTTACAACGAGACCCTCGAAGAGCGACGGCGTGCGCGCACTGCTTGTGTCAATCGATCAATTCGACGAAGTTCCCCGACGTCCTGATCGAGTCAAAAGCGCGACGGGTTCCTGAGGCTCGGTTCGGCCACGCAGAACCTTCATCACCGATCCGCGCGCTCCCCCGACGACGATAATGTCTTTCGGCGGCGGCTTTGGCGGCTTCGGCCAGAACAACAACAATAACACCGCGAACCAAACCTCTGGTGGATTTGGTGGCTTCGGTACAAGCAACAACAACACCACTACAGGTAAGCCTCCCCCCTCTACGGTTCCCGGTCGACCTTGACGACAGCGGTGCTGACTGGAATGCACCATGAAGGCTTTGGAGCCAGCAATACTGGTGGATTCGGTCAGTCCAACAACACCAGCGGTCTATTCGGTAGCAGCAGCAGCACCGCCGTCGGCGGTTTCGGTTCATCATCAACTGGTACGCGAGCTTTGATGCACCACGCACCGCTGTCATCTTCGATCGAGAGAACCAACAGCAAAGACACCAATGCGAAATTTGTATGCTAACGATTTGTAGGTGGATTCGGAGCGAACGCGACTACAGGCGGCTTCGGAAGCAAACCTGCCTTTGGGGCAACTACGAACACTGGCGGCACTGGCCTTTTTGGCGCGGCTGCCACGAACAACAACACTACTACAGGCTTTGGTGGGTTTGGAGGAAACACCAACACCGCAACCACCACCACCTCAGCTTTTGGAGGCGGTAACACTACTGGAGGCGGCATGTTTGGAAACACTGCGAACAAGACGGGCTTCGGCGCCACCACCAACACCGGCTCATCACTCTTCGGCGGAGGCGCCAACAACACCTCTACTGGATTTGGCGGCGGCGGCTTCGGTGCTTCCAACACTGCACTTGGCGGCGCTGTTGCCGGTGCTGCTGGTGACCCCCCTGGAACCGGAGTTACCCCCTTTCAGGCCCACACCGAGAAGGAGCCCAACAGCACGTCGAACCAGTCCAACGCCTTCCAGAACATCCTTTTCCAGGATCCCTACAAGAAATGGTCGTCTGAGGAATTGCGACTGGCGGATTACATTCAGGGACGACGACATGGCAATGCCAGCGGCGGCGGTGCCTTTGGCGTAAGCTCTGGTTTTGGAGGTGGCTTCGGTGCCAACACGAACACTGCCAACACGACAACTGGATTTGGCGCCAACACGACCAATACCACCGGTGGCCTATTTGGCAACAATAATGCCGCAGCTACCACCACCACTGGCTTTGGAAACACTGGCACCACTGGCTTCGGTGCCACAGCCACCAACAACACTGGTGGCCTGTTCGGCCAGACCGCTAACAAGCCTGCTGGGGGTCTCTTCGGTAACAGCACCCCCCAGCAAACCCAGGCGACTGGCGGTCTCTTTGGTGGAGCCAACACTGGAGGTGGATTCGGAACGACCAACAATGCGACAACTGGCTTCGGTGCTACGAACAACAACACTGGCGGTCTTTTTGGGGGCGCTAACAACACCCAGAACAAGCCGGCGACTGGGTTCAGCTTCGGCAACGCGGGTGCTGCTGCTACTACGACGCCCTCAGGTTTCGGCAACACAACGACTAACGCCTTTGGCGGTGCGACCAACAACGCCGCTGGTGGTGGCCTATTTGGCAACACCAACAACCAGCAGGCCGCTGGAGGTGGTGGTCTGTTCGGTGGCGCCAACAACCAGCAGCAACAACAGAACACTGGTGGATTGTTTGGTGGTCAGCAGAATCAGCCCCAGCAATCTGGCGGCCTGTTCGGAAACAGCCAGCAGAAGCCAGCCGGAACCGGTCTTTTTGGCGCCGCCACAACAAATACCGCATCTGGTGGCCTCTTTGGTAACAGTACTCAGCAACAACCTGCCACTGGCTTCGGTGCAAACACGAACAATGCCAATGCTGGCGGTGGCCTATTCGGCAACAAGCCTGCTACTGGCGGCCTCTTTGGGAACACCGGGACTCCCCAGAACAACAACACCGGGACCGGCCTGTTCGGAGGACTTGGCTCTAACAACCAGAACCAGCAGGCGGCAGGAACTGGACTTTTTGGAGCTTCCACGAACCAACAGCAGAAGCCTGGCCTGTTCGGTAGCACCAACCAAAATACTGGAACTAGCCTCTTTGGCGCCTCAAACAACCAGGGCCAGGGAAGCAGCCTCTTTGGCGGTAACAACCAGCAACAACAACAGATGGGCAACTCAATCCTCGGCAACAGCCAGGCCAGCAACGCGCCTCAGGGACTTACTGCGAACCTTAACGATGTCTCCGCATACGGCACTCCCTCTCTCTTCGTCGGGCTGAGCGGTAACGAGGTCCAGAACCCTGGCCCACTCGCCACGCCACTTAACGGGAGCTCGAAGCCTAGGAGAAGCTCAATCCTGCCCATGTACAAGCTGGCTCCTGCCTCTGCATCTCGCTTTGCCACCCCCCAGAAGCGAGGTTTCGGATTCTCATACAGCAACTACGGAACTCCCTCGGGAAGCCCTGCCAGCAGCATCTCTAGCACTCCCGGTAACATGGGTCGCAGCCTGCTTGGCTCAAGCTCCAGTGGCAGCCTAAGCAAGAGCATGTCGACTAACAATCTTCGCCGAAGCTTCAACACCGAGGACAGTATCCTTGCCCCTGGCGCATTCTCTAGCGGCTCTCAGCCTCGCTGGTACGGTAGCACTGGCTCGAAGAAGCTTGTCATCAACAGAGACATTAGAAGCGACCTGTTCTCGACCCCCCAGAAGGACAAGCAGTCTACCGATGCTAACGGAAGCGTCCGAAAGTTGTCCAAGCGTGTCAGCTTCGATACGAGCAACGTTGACTCCGACGAAGGAACACCCGTCCGCGGCGCTCTCCCTTCCCCCGAGGTCATCACTAGCCCGGCTACCGATGAGACCCCTCGTCAAACCCGAATGACTAATGGTTCTTCTGGTTCCAAGACCCCCGAGATGGAGGAAGCCAAGGGTAAGGAGCTCGCGATTGTTCACGAGGAGGATCACTCTGTCACTCCCGACGCCAGCACTATCAACGGCTTTGACAACGCCCCTGGCCGATACTGGATGTCGCCCCCTCAGGAGGATCTCGAGAACATGAACCGGATGCAGCGACAGAAGATCGACGGCTTTAGCGTTGGACGTGACAACGTTGGCTACGTCGCTTTCAAGGTCCCTGTCGATATCAGCAATATTAACCTCGATGAGATCTGTGGTGGTCTGATCGTATTAGAACCCCGATCCGCGACTGTTTACCCCGTTTCCGCGAAGAAACCCCCGGTTGGCAAGGGCCTGAACGTCCCTGCCCGAATCTCCCTTGAGCAGTCCTGGCCTCGTGGTGGTCGTGACAAGAGGGTCACCAATGACCCTAAGCGCTTCAACAAGCACGTGGAACGACTCAAGAAGATCGAAAACACCACTTTTGAGAGTTACGACAAGGATACTGGTATCTGGATCTTCGGCGTTGAGCACTTTACCACCTATGGTCTCGACGACGATGACGATTCAGACGACGAACTCGATGCCGTTCGACCCGCGCCTATTGAAGCCCAGCCGATGGCCCTCGACGCCTTCTCCCACTCATTCATGGAAGATGACACCTTGGAATTCAGGAGGCGATCAGGTCTTCCCGGCGCATTTGACGAGCAGGGAGCCGTGTATGAAGATGACTTCACTGGCAAGCCGTCTTTTTTAGGGAATAGCTCCGCGGATTCTGCGCCCAACGATGTCAGGCTGTCTCTCGACGACGAGTACACTGCCGACATGGGTGAAGAATATGACATGTCCGAGGACGAAGACTTGGCGAGGTCTTCTGTCGGACTGCATCTTGCCGCGGAGCACAACGATTCCTCGTCCGAGAATGGCCAGGAGGATGCCAAGAAAGGCACTCCTGGTGGCATTCTCAGAGCTCGGATGAGAGCTGTGAAGGACTCTGCTGGTCCTATCACGCTCGAAGTTGCAGATGGAGATGACTGGACGGAGATGCTGAGGAAGACTGTGAGCCCTGTGAAGAGGGATCGGCAACTTTTGAGGGAACTTAACGACTCGCCCTCTAAGCAAGCCAGCCTTCTCATTGACTTTGATAAGAGTGAGGGAGACAATTTACGGAAATCACTTTGGAAGAAGAGCACGGCCAAGAATGACAGATTTGATGGATTTGCGGCAAGCACTCAGCTTGGCATGGACAAGGGGCGCGGATTTGCCACGAGTATCGACCTAATGAACTCTCTTTTTGAGAAGCCCAAGCCTGCTCCTCAGAATCTTCGAGCCTCAATTCCTGGCAAAGGATTCCCCAAGGTCGGTTCCCTAGTTGCTATTTAACTACCTCCCAGATTGTGTGCTGGAGGATCATGTATCTACGACTTTCGATATGAATTAAATGCTAAGATTTAATTTGATTAGTGGCCCTACGAGCGACAAGACAAGACCCTTACAATGGATGAAGATCAGAAAACTTTCCACGACGCTGGCCGGCCGACTTGGGGGCCCGCAGAGACCCTCGTTCTATCCAGGCCCCTTGCTCCTGATCATGCTCGCCGAGCCGTGTCTCAGACCTCCGACCTCCTTACTTTCCAGCGTTCCAACATTCAGAGTGAGAGGCAGGAGGTTCGCCTAGCAACCTTTTCGACAGAGGTATGTACCACAAGGCTATGGTTATTAACAATTGTTAACTGATTTGGTTAGTCTTCGAAGAAGTTCCTAGGTGGTCAAGACAGGCTCACCGAGATCCACATCGTTGATGACGTTCCCATGGCGTCGTTCAAGGCTGCCAGTCTCAAGGATGCCTTCCACCACCAGGACATGAACGACCCTGCCAGTATGCAGGAGAAGCACGTTTGGGATTTGGCAAGCATTCTGTTTGACGAGATCAACGCCCCGAACTCAAAGCAGCCCACGCACATTTTGCGAAGGGCCAAACTCTCTCAATTCTGGACAGATTTGGTCGACCAAACCTCGGCGACAACAATCGGCCTCGCTGGCTCATCTGAGGAGAAGGCTGTGGCTTGTCTAGCGGGACACCGCGTCCCCCAGGCGTGCGGGTATCTTCTCGAGGGCAAGAACTTCCGCCTCGGAACCCTGGTACCCCTCATTGGCACTAGCGATGAAGCGAAAAGGGACATGCGAGAACAACTCAGGGCCTGGCACGACTCAAAAATGCTCTCTGAGTTTTCTGAGCCAATCCGAACCATCTATGAGCTCCTGAGCGGCAATGCGTGTGTCTGCGAGGGCATGAAGGGCGTTCCTGTCGAGGATCGCCTGGACTCGTTTGTCATTTCTAAGAAGTTTGGGTTGGATTGGAAGCAGTCATTTGGTCTCCGCCTCTGGTATGCCATTGCTCGGGACGACGACTTGGCAGCTGCAGTCAAGAAATTCAAGGATGATGTTGACCAGGAGCGGGAGTACTTGCCGTTGCCCTGGTACATCGACCAAGGCATCAAACCCTTGTGGGACGACGTCGACTCGGATCGCAGACAAGACCTTCTGTGGGGCTTGTTGCAGCTGTACGCCCACGACAATTCCGACTTGGAGGCTATCCTCCGACCAGAAAACTCGCAGCTCTCGCCTCTCGACATGAGGCTGTCTTGGCAGCTGGGTCTTGCACTGGTCTCAACGGGCAAGGTATCTTATGGACAGAGCGGTACCGAGAAGGCTGATGCCGCAACGATTGCCTATGCATCACAACTCACGAGCGCTGGGGAGTGGTTGGAAGCCATCTTCGTTCTCCTCCACCTGAGCAGCCCTGTGGCACGCACCAAGGCCATTCAAGAGCACCTCTGCCGACATGCCGGTTTGATTGGCACTGAAACAAGCCCTGCCTTTGGTGTTCTGACGGACAAGTTCCGTATTCCTTCGTCATGGGTCTGGGAAGCATTGGCCCTGTACATGCGCAGTGTTAAGAAGGACGCATACGCCGAGGTTCAGTGTCTTCTCCGCGCTGGCTCCTTTGTGGAAGCCCATCGCGTTCTGGTGCAGGATGTTGCGCCTCTTGCAATTGTGGAGCGTGATTATGCCAGCCTCTCATCCCTCCTCGGCCAATTCGACGGTCGAAGTGAGGTCATTTCAGAATGGTCCTTGGGAGGAGAGATGTACAGCCTCTTCCTCGGCCTGCTTCAACATCGAAGCAAGGGCGAGATTGCGCCACCCATGATTCTGGAGAGACTGTTGGCGGGTCTGCACGCAATGAACCAGAATGCGCCAGACTCGGAGATTTTGCGATATGCCGCGGTTTCGGACATGTCGGATGAGACGGCGAAGGAAATTTTGAAGTCAACAAAGCAGAAACAGGTATGTTGCCCTCATCTGATAGCGCATAAGCTCCGTTCCATGACTAACATGATTGCAGGATATCGAACTTCGATCAAGGATTCTGAATTTACCACTGACGCAAGATCGTTTGCTTGCTTACTCGGTGGATTTGAGCATGGATCGATATCGAGAGGTGATGTCCCATTAAGGGCGAGCAGTGTAGTAGCATAATGCATGGGGTAAGAAAGGGACGGGAAGCATCTGAGTTTGTAATGGTGTTGGGAGTGCTTGGCTCACGAGAAAATCGGATGCTCTGGAACCGTGTCAGGGCATGGTGGAGGAGCGCAGAGGAGGGAAAAGAGGGTATAGGATTGTAGAATAGTAGTAGATAGATGGAACGCAACGGTGATATGGAAATTTTGGGTGTTCTTCTCCTTGTGCTATGACATGAAATATTTGAGTTCTTGAGCGTGAGCTCGACAGGGTTGACAACCAGTTGGCCCACTTGTAGACAATGCTGAAAGCTGTAAAATGCCCGCATTGATTGAAGTGTGAGGGAATGGCCATTTAGGCACAAGCCACCAAGTCGGAAACCAACAACAAACGTTGTGAGGATCCCCAAACCCAGCATCAACACCAACATCACCGCTGAATATACCTGAACATGTCCAAACCAAAGAACTGGCCCGAGTCATTTCCCTACCTCCGCACTCCCTTCCACGGAAAGAGCCTCGAGGCGTCTCATCTGCAGGCACTACGCACCAAGCCCAGCCCAGACGACGGCGATATTGCCATCGTCCTGGCTTCGGCCTTCACAACGCCCAGTGCACTGGTCAAGATCCAGCCCATCACGACGCCCTCGCACCCAGCCAACGGACAATGCGGACTCTTCGCAGCGCACAACCTACCCGCGGGGAGCTTCATCATGCCGTACCTGGGCCGGGTGCACTCCGGGGCGGCGTCGACGGCGGATAGTGACTACGACCTGTGGCTGGACCACGGAGCGGACGTGGCGGTGGACGCGGCACGGGAGGGCAACGAAGGCCGGTACGTAAACGACTTTCGCGGTGTGCGGGAGCGGGCGAATGCTGAGTTCCGGACCGTGTGGTGCGAGAGGTTTGGGGAGCTGTGCGTTGGTGTTTGGGTCATAGGCGGCGGGAAGAAGGCGAAGAAGGGGAATGGGAAGGCTAAGGCCACCGGGGGAATTAAGAAGGGCGAGGAGATTTGCGTAAGTTATGGAAAGGGCTTTTGGGGAGAGAGGAAGGCGGAGATGGAGGATGGGGGTGAGCCTGAAGATGGGCCTGAAGATGGGCCTGAGGATGGGCCTGAGGATGGGCCTGAGGATGAGCCTGAGAGTAAAGATGACGCTGTGGATTTGTAGGTAGGTAGCGTTTGCTTCGCACCATGGACGATTTGGTTTGACGGAAGAAAAGGGAATAAATAAAACCATGGCAGCTCTGGCCAAAGGGCATTAGATGATTCCACATTGAACACGATCAGGTCCACTCGTCGCTTGCAATGTTCAAGACAATCATCCACAAGAAGCCCCCGCAATGTGTATCAGCACTTAGGAGGCTAAGGATACCTAGGTATGAAGAGGAACGTTGACCAAATGAATACCTACCTACCGACCTACCTAGGCGAGAGCTTGCCTGAGTTGGTGACTGAGGCCTTCTTTCCATGCTCTGCTGCATTAGGCATGAAGCAGAGGACACTTGGGAAGGTACCGTGGAGACAAGACGCCCACGTGTTTCAACTCCCACTTCCTCCACTTCTCCAACGTACACCTCGTTACCTGCATCCGTCACACATCCTACGAACTGATTCAACCCGTCTTCCGATATCTTTCGACCATCCCCGCCAGACCTACATTTGCCCGCACAGGCACTTCCTACAAGCTACATCTCCCTATCGCAACTAGGTCATATCCTCGCGTCGCAATCACCGTGAGGGCATCATGGAAAGGGGACTCGACGACAGGTCGCGATGCCTCCCGAAGCTGTCGAATCTCTTTACACCCGGACAAACTGAGATTGTGCTGTTCCCTACCCCAGGACCCCGCCCAAACTTGAGACGGATAGAAAAGGGGATAACACAGCCCGATACCGATGATGCTATCGAACCAGAAGGACGTCGCTCTGATGCCAGCCCTATTCCCAACTGTCTGTTAGGCTCGAGCCTCATCAGTTCCGGAGGTCCCGACTCTCTGATCTAGCAGACACACGGAGTCGATGATCTACGGAAGTCCCCGAGAATCCAGAACGGAGGGGATGAAGATGTGTCCAAGGAACCATCAACCATGGGCGACTCGTTGTCTACAAAAATGAGCTATTCGACTAAAACTACAACAGATATTCAAATCATCCCGGACGAAGCCATTGCGGAGTTTACGAAGATTGTGAATGCCGTTCGCAGGGTGGAGCAAGATGATCCTGATCACAACGAAAGTGGTTCTGTCCAACAAGGAGCACCGAGTCCGAATACCACCGGAGACAAGACGCCCACACCTGGCGGCCTTTCCAATACCGGAACTGTGAAGGCTCCTCAAAAGTTGACCAAAAAACGCCCCGATTACACTCCAGGAGGAGGGTTCTTAACGTTGCCGGCCTTTCTCTCACGCTCAACTTCGAATAAGGAATCCAAAACCGCGATCACTGAAAGCGACACGCCTCAGGTGGAAGATCCGATTACAGAGTCTTCAGGCGTGTCTGGGTACCCCCTGACTTTGCCTCTCTTGGAAGGCGCCTCCTACTACGTCTTCAATCCACGCTCGCCTGGCTCGGCTTACTACCTGCATCGAAGTGGTGGCGATGAGGTGGACCTAGAAACCGAGTTCCAAGTCAGCAGAGTGCCCGTCACGCTTACAATGCAAGAGACTGGAGAGCCCGCCTACATGCTTTCTATGTCGAATCGAGATTGCTTTTCTTCACGTCGAAAGAGTCAAGACACACTCTGGCCACCAAATGATAGTTCAGAGCTCCCGACCCAGTCGCACGATGTGACAAGCTCAATTGAAGGTGGTGGCGAATCCCAGCATATTTCTAAGGGAGTAGGCTGTGGTCTGGGTGTAGAGAAACAGTCCCCCATCGTCGGAGATGGCATCGAATGGATTGGTCTCGAGATCTTCCCCAGCATCATGGCGAAAGTTAATCATCGACTTCGAAACCAACGACATCTGAGAGACCACGTCCACGTCATCGATGATCAGGGAAAACACGCACCCGGTACTAACAACATGTTTCTTATTAGGAATAAAGACATCCGGGATGTCGTGAGCATTGTTGTCGATGAAATGCGAGAGTTCCAAAATGCCACTTGGGCAGGGGATAACATCCACAAGAAACCCAGAGCTCAATCCATGCTCAAATTAGATGGGGTTTCCAACACCATCTTACCTCCGCCAGTGGTTGCAGCTGATCCAGCAACTACTTTCAGCCTACCTAAGACGTCATACGCAAGCCTATGTGCGAAAGATTCGCGTGTTCATACAAGAGTCCGGGGTGTCGAGTCTGAGACCACGACGACTATTGTTTCACGAAAGAGTACCGCTGAAATCACTTGGCCACATAATCATGCTCATGTTCATCACTTTGACGTGTATCATGCATCGACCCATTCTCGAACTGTCTCTGAGTGCACTTCACCAACGCACCGAGCTTCTACAGTACAGTCTTCCGACCGTCGCCAGAGTCAGCCTGCTGGCACAAGTAGTTTCATATTAAATCACTACACCACCTCGGAGAATGGAAATGACATTCCATGGGACAATACAAGCAAACAGGGCTCTCGACAAAACGAGAGGACAAACATTGCTACGGGCATCACATCGTTCCCACGACTCTTATCTCGTCATTGTACCAACGACTGGGTTACACCACTGGATGAGATCGATGCTCCCACAGAGCTTACACCCGATACCTTGTACCATCGTGGAGTTGACGCTCGGTGTGGTAGCGTGTCGGGTCCCCCATCGAAATCTCCCGAGGAACCTCTGAGGATCCGCCACTGCGACAACGACATATTCGTCAAGAATCCATTTTGCCTCAACTCTGAACAACTGGATACAGTTTGTGTGATCCAGATGCCAGAAGTGTCAGCTTCGCAGAAGAGATTTGGTGCCTCTATCGGGTCGGCGTCTCACCGACGTCGTAGTTCCCCAGCAGCCGCTCAGCAGACCCCGACATCAGACTCCCACAACACCTTATTGCCTAGCTTGATGGACAAGATTCGGCAGGGAAGTCACAAAATCTTTCATCGTCGGCACTCCCAAAGGGGATCTGCGGAAGTCGCCGCACTTCCAAATCCCGAGGACCATCGCCCAATCAGTAGACCAAAGTCAAGAGACAGTTTGGTGAGGCACTTGACGCTGGAGCCACCAAACCTAGACAGAGCAGGGATATACGAGGCCATGACGGGAACCAGACTTGTTGCCAGTCGCTGCAGAAGGGGTACATGCTCAGAGGACAATCGACCACACATATGCGAGAATAACACATTAACGCCACCTCGTGCACAGTCTCCAGCGTAAAAGGAGAGCACCCTCTGAGACTGGCGAAGCTGGTAGATGATAGCCTAGATTGTATTCAAGTCCCTAAAACAACTCATTCCACAACCCGAATTCAGACCAATATGCTTGCCGCTTGTGCCATCCCTAAACGCGCACCTGCCAACTTCCTCGAGCTCCGATGTCAAATTCCCTGTTATCGCGGCTACACATGGCAGCGGATCTTCAATCTCACAAAGATTACTACCAGTGGTTCAGTTATCATACTAATCCCATGATGAATTTCATCAAATAGCGGATTTAGATAAACCTAAAGTAATTGGACTTGCTTTGCCGAGCAAACTATCGATCGTGAGGTGGAGGGCCCAGGCTCACTTACACGAATCACTCTCACTTCCCAACCCCGTCTGGCAACCACAACACAAGTCAAACAGGTCTTAAGGATATGCAATGACAAACAGTCGACAAAAAGAGTAAGGATCGACCAAGATCTGGTTGATACCGGCAAAAGAACTGGACGAGCGGGGAATTGAACCCCGGACCTTCCGCAAGTTACTTGATAGACCAATGCGAAGCGGACGCCATACCCCTAGACCACACGCCCTGGTAATTGTCACGTGTCGAAGCAAGAGGAAATGAAGCCAAAAGGATCAGTATTGGTGTGGATGACGATGAAAGGCGCACAGTGGGAACGGGCAGGGGTTTTGAGCCGGCTGAGAGTGGGTACGGGTGTAAGTGTGAGGATGGGACGGCAGAAAGCGAGTGAGAAGAGGAGACGAGGAAGTGGCTCGTCCCGCGATTAGCAGAGCTAGTTGACCTCTCACGGTACTACCCACGTAAGTCTTGATAGTAGGCAGGGTCGTATTGTCACAGAATTGCTTCGTTGAGATGGCTGTAGAGTGGATGATACAGACAACTCCCGGCCCACTCCTTCTTCTGGCTATAGGAGGATGCCATTGCTCAACTATCTCGGCACTGTCCGAAGTTGAGCCTCTTGATATTTGCATCGATGTCCCCTTCCAAATCAAGAAAGTGAATAAGACGCTCATAATGCTAATCTACTCTGAAGTTGTCAGCTACATGCTCGTTGCAATATGGCATGTGTCAATGATACTCATTTCGGTCAAATGGCTATTCAGACTCTCTTTGATATCTGTTGAAAACCTCCCCAAAAGACCGCAAGACTGGCTAATCGGATTCAACTAATAGTCTTGAAACAAGGCTAAACTGCTTGTTGAAGGCAGTCCGCTATGGATTCCTTTTCCAACATCCCCTATTCCCCCCTTAAAGACCAAGGATCTCTATTAACTTGTAATAAAAAACACATCTAAGTTCTCGCGTATTCTTTGAACGTTTTTCTGACTACGGAATGTAGCTAGGTTAAAATGCTTAAAAGAAACGTGTGGATGGTGACGGCTTTCAACCAAAGAGTTTTACCTCTGACGATGCATATTGACCTATTTAAAATACGCTTTCATGTCAATAAAAAGTTCCTGCTCGATTTATGTTCCTGCCTCATCCGTTGGTCTCACTCTTCTACACACAGCATCTCAATCGCGACGCCGAATTCACCATGGAACTAACACTAACGGATGTTGTCTTCTTTGATCTAGATGGCACGTTTTTCGACCATTGTCACTTACTGCGGATAGCCATATCCGCTATACAGAGAAAATATACTGGTCTCGCCGGGGGAAATGTTGAGGAGCTGATCAATCAGTACAAGATCGCTCTTCAACAAGCTTATGATAATTACCTGGACAAGATAATTACATACGAAGAGGTGGACATTCAGAAGATCCGCCTGTTTTTTGCAGCACTTGGCCTCTACGAACCCAGCCCTGAGGAAGTCAAAAAGTTCCGTGCTAGGTACAAAGCAGTGTACAGAGAAAATCGGAGAGCAGCCCCAGGAAGTATTGAGACTCTGGCCCGACTGCGCGAACATGGATACCGCATTGATATGATTACCAACGGGCAAATGGAAGATCAGTCACCCAAGACCACGGCCATTGAACCGCATCATCACCCCCAAGGAAACTGGGTATCCAAAGAGACCGTGGACTTTCTTGCTGAAAATATGGGCCAGATACTCGCTGGCGTTGCCGAGAAACGCTACATCGCTGCCACGTCACATTGAAAGCATGATCTGAGCGATTGCGAAGGTGGCAAGTCATATTAACGAGGCGCGGATCCAAGTCTCGTTCCCAGGTCGAGATCGTGGAGAGACAATAACCGACAAGCCTGACTGTTATGTTACCAATCGAGACCACAGAATCTGCGTCGAGTAGCTCTTAATACAGATTCGGGGAATGAGACAAAATATGAGGAGCTGCATCCGTCCCGCAAGGGAATTGCAGCGATCTCATGAGAGACCATCCAAGCACAGCAATCCGTCAACTTCGCACCACAACTTGGCTGAAAGAGCGGGAGTCAGATGAGATGCCAATTGGTGAACAGGTTGATAAAAAGCCGGGATAAAAGGTTAGTGCAGGGTGGAAGCTCTGAGACTAGAAGAAAGAGACATTGGCCAATACGGGGCCCTCGCAGGCTTTGATGCTCTGTCTCGATCTTTCAGAAGTCGGTATGTTGTTCTACCTCATCTTTCTCTGCCCACCATTAGTGTTATTGCTGCTGGAAACAGGGCAGAATTGCTGTGAGTCCCGTCAGACGCTAAAATTAGATTGATCGATCTTACTCTCATCCAATCCAAGATTGAGAAGCTATTGCCGGGTAGCGTGTAGTTTTGTACCTGAATTATCGTCTCAACCCCACAGGACGCGTCGCATGTAGTTTATTTTCAAGAACGCCTAGTTTGCTAAGAAGAGTAATCTCCTTGTCGTTCATGATATGGACTCACCGTGTACCTATCACCAAGCCCTTGGTAGACTCCATAGTTTTGGGAAGCCCCTGGGGCTAAGGACTACTGTATCACAGTCCTGCCAATCAGCAAAGAGTTCGGCCTACCAGGATTGTGAGTAATGTTGATTGCAAGCAACAGCGATGTGATTAATATCATTTGAGCTCGCAATTTCACATTCGCAGGTATGATCTCTGATGTATGCCAACTTGCAGCACAGGCGGTCTTGGACGGCTTTTCAAGCGACATCGCAAGGGCCATATCAATGCACACGTTGCGGCAGAGTTACAAAAGGCAAGGGTGGAAACTTTAGCTGGCCAGACGATAAGACATACCTCCCTTCGGTGAGTTCAATTATTTGGTCTCCATACCGCCAGATATTCAATCGCATGGCTCTTTCCTAGGGGTAGAGTTGCTCGACGTTTACACAGCCAGCCGCGCGAGGGTGAAGCTTTCAACTTCTAGATCTTTCAACTCTGACCAACTGGTGACTCTCTGAGGATGATTCTGATGCAAAACACTTCCTAGGTCAAGGAAGTTTAGAGAGACTTCTTTCAGCTAGTGTTAGTTGTATCATGGCTCCGCCGGAAGTGTATGAACCCTTTCTCATGAAAAGTGTAAGCTATGACTTCCGAGAACGGGTCCATACAGGTCGGATTCTTTGACGGAGGAAAGTCCAATCGAGGCCCAAACAAAGAAATAGTTCCAAATCTAGCCCACGCAGGGGACCCTTCCAGGAGTATACGATCCAAAGTAGGCCCGCTCAACCCGCCTCAACCTGAATTCCGGTCCTAGATCAATTCTAGAAATGGAAATGGATTTTGGTGTGCCTGAGTTTCATCCCCGAGTGAAATGGCATTTGATTTTGTTGTCGAATTCAAAAATATTAGCGGCGATTTGATGGCAAGCCACAGCAATCAGGTGAGTGAGCCACATATCTAAGTCCTTAGGCCCAAGTAGTTTAGGTTAGAGTATGAGAAAGAATTAATTATGGTCAGCCAGCCCCAAAATATTCGAGAGCGCCTATCCAAAAGTTTCCTTGCATTCGTCATCAATCATATCGATACCACTCGCCAGCGTATTTAAGGAGTCTGCGGAACACATGATTAGAATGCGTAAATACTTATAAAAGTAGCGTGGATGACATTGATATTTGGACAGCATTATCTGGAGTAACAACAAATAAGTTGCTTGAGGGTCTTGGTCCAACAGAGATAGGCGTATAATATAGTACCTAGGGGGCTTACAGTCCTGATCTAAAGTGTATGCTGGGTTACGCACCCCCAAACTATATTAATCTTTCTATCTCAAGAGATAGAGTCAGGGTTAGCCTAAGAATTTCCCAGCTAGACTCTAAATTAAATAAGAAGGTATTCTATTTATCTTTTTATTAAATAAAATATAAGTATGAAGTCAGTTGTATCTCAATATTCAACTAGATTATAGAGTAAAGCGGCAAAGTGCGCTGGGTGTATTAACTGAGCGAGCAACACAGTATTAATTTAAACCGGAACTTTATTCTTCCTGCTGTATCCATCCCAGCCTTATATACACTAGTAGGACACGAATATTTGTTAAGACGTCAAAGCGCCCGCGATAAAGAGAGGGAAGGGAGAGAGAAAAGAGCAAAAAGAAAGGAGAACAGTTAATGCAACTGGCAAAAGAATGGACGAGCGGGGAATTGAACCCCGGACCTTCCGCAAGTTACTTGTTAGATCAATGCGAAGCGGACGCCATACCCCTAGACCACACGCCCTTCGATGAAATATTTGTGTCTTAGTGGGCTTTATCCAGGGCTCTCTCAAAGAAGTGGAGAAGACGGATCGGCTGGTAAACTGGCGGGTGCTTCCAACCTTCACCTTAATACGTACTACGAGCCCGATATAAATCGCAGCTTTCTAATAATACCAACTTTTACCCTCCTAGCCCGTAGTTATAGCTGCGGCCATCAGAGGCTCACTGTCTGGTGAAAGAGCTTGTTGGAGCCTGTGCCGGATTCTCTTATGGTTAATCCAGAGATCATCCGCTTCAAAGGAGTCAACTAACAAATTTGTCTCTTTTCCTAGTGGTCGGCGTTCCCACATGTCTATACTCGCTGGCACATTCTGATGGAGACCCATGAGTCTGGGCTGTATGAACGTTAGGAAGTCATGGGTAGTATTTGACTTGTCTGAGACTTATACGACCTATGGCACTTAACCTATAGAAAGGGACAGGGAGTCCGACATAGTGATGGAAAGAATGAGTGTCGAGGTTGAGGGAGACAGCTATGGACTTTAGGCCTGAATTCTAACCGATTTGATCGCTTGAGTTATTTATCTTACTCTCAGGTAACGGCCGGGTCTATGCATTGTCTCTCCACCCTTGCACAGTAAACCGAGGCAGCTGATTAGCCTACTTTGTGTATATTGAATGATGCGCAGGTGCTTGGATGTCAGCGAAGCTGCCTGCTCTGATTTAATTTACATGTTTTACCATCCTGAGAGCACAAGTCTCAAATAATCCCCACGAAGAGCAAAAGGATGTGCCAAATGGTTGGTTTGGAAGGTGGCAGTCGATTCTCAATGCCACACATCAAAGCACGAGACTTGTCGAACGGGAGCAAATGGCTATATTTCAAAACAAATGTGAAGGAACTGGCCAGAAAGCTACTGTCCCTCAAGCACAAACAAAAAGACAGGAACATGAGCATCAACCCGCACCTATAGGCATGTAAATGGATACCTGAACATCTAGCACTCCTCGGGGAAATATTACACTTTAAATAATGAAGGACGAGAAGACATATTCGCAAGTAGGTCGACAAATCGACGAATACATGGCGTCATGATATTTCAGCTTTACAACCACTATCTACCTCTATGTCCAACTCCCACCTCGTCATACCGCCTTGGAAGCCCGCGCCTTGTTGTCTCGGTGGCGCTTTTCCTTAGACGCCGTCTTCCGCCTACTCATCCATGACCGGTTTAGGTCACGACGGTTATCCCAGAACCATGACTGGAACTCGGTAGAGCCTGGCTGTGCTGGTGCGGCTGCTTCATCCTCGCCCTGCTCATCGTCCATGATATCATCAATGGTATCGTCTTCCATGTCTGCGTCGTCGTCATCACCCGCCCAGAAGTTGCGCATCCGCGATGGGTGCGCAGTGTCGGGCGTCGGGGCCGCACTACGGGTCGATCGCCACTCAAGGTCCTGGCGGCTGAAGGGCGTCATGGGAACGGCCGGGCCGGGTTGATCGGCGGCGTCCTCTTCATCGGCGTCGGCATCGGCATCAAAGAAGCTGAAGGGCTGAGGTTTCTGAGCGGGAGTCTCGGTGGCGTCGGTGTCGGGTTTGGAAGGCTTGTACAGGGCCTCGAGAGGGTGTACTTTGGTGGCAGAAGGGGTGAGGGGAGGTGGTATCTTGATGGTGAGGCTTCGCGAAGAGCTCGAGGACATGGGGCGCGTGTTGTCGGGTTTGATGGCTGAGAGGGAGGCACTGGGCTCGGGTTGCGTGAGCGAGTCATCGTTGGGAACGGACTTTCCAGTAGCAACTTCTGCTTCCACTTCCTCATCCTCTGATTCCTCGTCAGAGGAGCCGCTGCTGCTGGTGCCACTACTGCTAGTGGAATCATCATCGGACTCCTCGACAACCTTTTCGACTACAGGCTTCGATTTCTTGGGTTTCGAAGCGGCGGGCTTCACAACTGGTTTGGCCTTGACAGTTTCCACCACGTTGCCATCCGCGTCAACCCATCCCTTGCCCTCAACAAACTCAGTTGCTGCTTTGGACTGCGACTCCGGCGCCGCGTCTTTCAGGAAGCTTGGGAACTTTGTAGTCTTTTCGAACTCGTGCACCATGACCTCACGGACATTGCTTCTCTTCTTTCGCTTCTTGGGGAGGTTGTCACCGGTGGCGTTGGCAACGGCGTTGGGAGGGAGGGTGGTCTTGAGCAGACACTCCTCCTTCTCGGTGTACTTGGACTTTAGGCGCTTCTTCTTCTCAGTCTTTTTGCCGTCCTTCTCCTCTTCCTTGTCCTTCTTGCTCTTTTTCCTCCGTTGGTCCGCAGGCTCAGTCCAGCCTCGCTTGACTTTGCGGTCGCTGATGGCGACGCCTTGGATCAAATCCGGATCGCGCTTTCGCTTCTTGGATTCCAACGCATCGGCATACTTCTTGGACTTCCTCTTTTCCTTTCGTTCCTCCTCCTCCTCATACGCCTTGTCGGCCTCGGTGGTCGGCTCAGTTCGCTTCTCTGGCCGTGCCTTTTCGACGCGGAGCTTCGTCCCCTTCAGCACGGAGCCGTGGAGCTTCTTCTTGAGTTTGTCGGCATCCATGGTGGGTATCTCGACGTAGCCGTAGCGCCGCTCGGGGAAGGTCTCGATGGAGTGGTACGAGATGTTGCGAGCTTTGGGGGCGACAGCGGCGGGCAGGACGATTCTGAGCAACTCGGGGTCGAGGGGGCTGATGTGCAGCCGGGTATAGTCGCTGGCTTCGCCGGAAGAGGCCTGGGGAGAAGCAGAGGGCGGCAGCGACACGGATTCAGCAGGCATCGCGGAGGATGCACCGTCGTGGTAGATTTGCGAAGCAATTCGCGCCGTCAACGCTCGCTTCGAGAAATTGCGAATGTCTTTGGGCTTTGCGTCCCCTGCAACCGGCTTTCCCAAGAAAAAAAGTACAGAGTAGCTCCGCTGGGTCGATCGCTGATTGGACGAGAGGAGCTACGTTGTTCCGGCCGCGTGGGAAAAGTCTCTGGAAGGGTACACCTAGCAACACCAGCCTGCTGGTGTTTGACGTTGTTGTTTGGACAAAGGTGATACTTTTTTCTTGCAAGAATGAGGGGAAACCTTTACCATCTGGATGCATTGACGGCATTGGCCTTTGATAGAATCTGGCAAGGGCGGTGTGTCATCCTCACAGGCGACGTCTCATGTGCCACCAGGGTTCAGCGCTCTTTGTGTTAGAGCCATTGCCTAATCGGGAAACCAGCCTCTCATCGTGTTGCTCTCTTACACAATGCGTATGAGATTTTCCCCAAAGGCCGGCTTAGGTTGTCGGAGCACCGGAGCCTGAAATAGGTCTCTGTGACGTTATTGGAGAATTCCCTCTCGGTTCCTCCCGAGGCGGCTAGGATACAAGTTGCTACGCATTGAAACCCGTCACAATTACGGTTGGGACGACATCCGCCGCAGCACGACCCTGTTACCGGTTTGCGCGACGACATTTGTCAGATATCGCCGGACCAAGGAACCCAACTGGTGGCTTCTGATCTCTGGGTCTCACTGATGGGGGATAGCTCTGTTTGCGCTGAAGCTGTTTCGAGGCATGAGGAGGTGTTGTGGACAATCTTACGTCCCGCGAGATCGACATAAGAGGCGGTCATGCCCTTCACCAAGTACCCAAGATTATCGGACAGCAACACACCAGTATATACTTTATTTATAATTCTTTCATTATCCTTCTGGAAAGGAAGTTTTCTTTGGTCTTTCAATTCAAGACGTTCATTCTATTCATTACCTCGTTACATCACTCAACCCTTTTCAAAATGAAGACCACTCTTTTCCTCGCTCTCGTCGGTAGCGCTTGCGCAGGTTAGTTTCACCAACAAGCCCCCTTAGCCATAAAGAAGCCTTAGACTCACGGTTTGCAGCACCCCGATTATTCGAGCGACAGAACCCTTGCTTCGTTATCGGCTCCGAAGTCCTTCCAGGCGAAGTTGCCGATATTGCTACCTCCCTGGCCAACACTGTCACCTGTGATACCTCTCAGACGACCATCGACGGCGTCCCAGACGTTAGCTCCGGCGGCGTCACCTTTTCGTCCATCAACTTTGCCGAGTCCGGCCAGACGCCGTTGGCGTTTGCCTTGGACAAGTTTGCCACCACTACACCGCTGGCCAACAACGACCTACAGCAGTTCCAGGACGAACTGAACACCTATCTTGCCACTGAGGCTGGCGTCCGATCGGTCGGCGGGAGCCTTGCCCTCAAGGTGCCCAAGTTCTTTCTTCAATTTCAGATGGCCCGCATCCAGCAGGCTCAAGGAGTCGTATCTGACGTGCCCGGTATGACGGTCGAGCACCAGTTGGGGAAGGTTGTCAAAAATGCGGCTGGAGAGGATCAGGCCCTGATTGACCAGGTCAATACTCTGGCCACCACTCTCGCATAAATGGTTGACCCAAAAGGATGATTCAATACAAGTATTTACTCCAACTCATACATATGACGTTCAGTCGTGATTATAAAAATACATTCCAACCGCAAGGGGAAAGAGATGAGAACTGTCCAATGTGCGTTTAACAAATCGGGTTTAAGAGGTGCCACGGAACAGTGGCGAAGGATCTTGCTCTCGCCTGTCGCCTCCGCTCGCCTTCCACCACACGTCGCTTCCCCACCGGATGATTCTTTCCGCTGCACCCTGGGGGGTCATGGCTGGTCGGACATCGAGGTAGAAGACGGGGTCTCCCTCAGGCTCGTCGTCTCCCTGGTAGTAGTCGATGACATATCGAATTTCCTTCTTCTCGCCATTGATCTGTCGTGACACATACCAGTCGTGTCGGTCAAAAGGAGGCTCGATGCTTTACCATGTGTTAGTGAATAAGCATGTGACTCGAGGGTTCGACGATAACTCACCCAAACTTGGAGGGGTAGACCCAGCCGAGCACCTGCAGCATCGTGGCCTTGGGAGTCATATCCTTGGGACGGCCCTGGAATCGCTCCAGGGTGGGAGCGGACTCGGTGCCATCCCAGTGGCGATCTAGCTCTTCAGGCACATGCTCCTCGCCTCGTTTGCAGACCTGCCAGCCCTTGTATAGACCACGCCCGAATCGCTTCTCCCATTCGAGAATTTCCATCCACGCACCCTCGTTGAGGTAGTTGTGCACAGAAACCATGCCCTCGACAGCCGTAATGTCGGTATCGGTGTGGCCCTTTCGTAGCAGGGCATTGTACATCTGCTGGGGTGAGGGGTACTCCCAGTTCCCGTCGCCCGAGCCCTTGGGGATCGTCGACTCGTCTCGGTCTGTCGGGAGTTTATACTTTTGGTTTGGCGCCGGCTTTTGGGAGAGATCGGGGAACATGTAGTTGAGAGGATTGAGTTGGGACATTATGGACTTGGGTGTCTCAGTGCTAGTGCGGGCATCATGAGGAACGGGGCAGCCCGAGGCGGCGGGGGCATTGGCGGGCTTCTGGCACTTGGCCTCGTTCGTGGGAGTGAGGGCATCGAGACTCTTCTTGTGCATGGGGCACGCGGACTGGACACTGGTCAGCGACAGTTGTTGGCGGATCGAGGGACGGTGCTGACGGGAGGTTCCATGCCGGCAGATGCGGCAAAGTGAGGATGTCCCATGGGAACATGGACGGGCGCAGGAGCGGCGTCTGCCCAGAACCAACCCATGATGAAGATGCGAAGGGCGGAGGAGTAGGACGGAGGAGTAAGACGGAGGGTGAAGAGAAAGAATTAAGTAATTATGCTCGCCGAAGGAGCCAAGGTGGTAATTCAAAATGTGAGATTGGAGGAGAGAATCCGGTGATGATGTGATGGGTGGGTGGATGGATGGATAAATGGATGAATGAGCGAGCACGCAGGAAATTTCTAGAGGCTTTGGGCTGCGCTATCACCTAAAATTCCAGGGTCGGAGGATCCCGTCGCGAAATCGACCAAGGGAATCGCAACGGCGAACCCGGCCCGCACTTTGCTGACCTTGGTTAGTTAGCCGATCTATTCCCGGCCGAGTGCGCACTTCGAAGTTTGTCGGTACGTAACGACGTCACCATCCACGTTCCGTCTGGGTCGGGATGGCGGGCATCCTTGCACTGCACCAACCAGCTGCGTTCTCTGCATGTCAACGACTCGCTATTTGTTATTTGTAGTGAATTGCACATGCGCTCGAATCCTCGTCGGCATTAAAGCCCCGAATGCCATCGCGCAAGGCTTCCTCGAACATGACCACGCCGACGCCGACGCCCTCGTCCACAGCCATCGTTAACGACGTCTACGCCATTCCCCTACCGAGATGAGAGCAGGCTTCCTCTTCGGCCGGTTCTGCCTACGCCAGGGCTTGCGAACACATGCCAATTCCAATGTCAACGTCGCCTTTCTTGCCCGTCGCTTCGCCTCCAGGAGTCGCCATGCCGCCCAACCACTGCAATCGCCCGCCGGCTGGAGGAGGATAACACTACGTGCATCGGGTGGTATCGCAGCCCTGGGAACAGCTGCGTTTGTTGAATTGTCGCAAAAGGAAAACAACTCCCCGGAAGATACAGCCGAGAAGCGTATGCTGGAGGTGTCGCGGGATGAGATCAAAAAAGGGGTCAGCGAAGAGTCTCGAGGACTGTCCCGGGTGGCGCAACAAATAAAATACCTCTGGGACATTGTTATTCTGGAACCTGTTTGCACGGGAATTCGCTTCCTGCAGCTTGTCTTCATCTTCGTCCCCGTTATCGTCACCGTCCCGGCCATCTGGCTTGGGCGACGTCAGCGTCATCGTGACAATGAGCGCTCCGGGACACTCTGGTGGTACGGATTCCTGGTAAATGCCATGGAACTAGCTGGGCCGGCCTTTATCAAGCTTGGGCAGTGGGCAGCATCCCGAACGGACATTTTCCCCACCGAGATGTGTGAGATCATGTCGAAGCTGCACTCCAACGCCCCGGCGCACTCCATGCACGCCACCAGGAAGACGGTGGAGGCTGCGTTTGGCGGCCGCAGCTTCGAAGACATTTTTGACGAGTTTGATGAGACACCTTTGGGTGTAGGTGCTATTGCACAGGTCTACAAGGCTAAACTAAAGCCCGGTCTAGCACAACCCGACGACCTTGACGACCACAAGCAGCGACGACCATTGGTACAGAATGTGAGACGCAAGGTCGAAACTGTTCTCAAGAGTTCGCCGCAAAGAGTACCCTCTTCATATGTTGCCGTCAAGGTATTGCACCCCAGGGTTGAGAGGACAGTCCGAAGAGATCTTCGGATCATGGGCTTCTTTGCTTCTGTCCTCAACTTCATTCCTACCATTGAATGGCTTTCGCTTCCAGACGAGGTGACGCAGTTTGGTGAGATGATGAAGCTCCAGCTTGACCTCCGAATTGAGGCTGCGAACCTCTCTACCTTTCGTCAGAACTTCAAGGGCCGGTCCACCGCATGGTTCCCTTACCCCTACGCTGAGTTCACTACTAGAAATGTTTTGATTGAGGAGTATGCGCAAGGAATTCCCTTGGCGGACTTTATGGAGAATGGCGGCGGGGTGTTCCAACACGATATTGCTGATGAGGGCCTCGACGCTTTTCTCCGCATGCTGCTCCTCGACAACTTCATCCACGCCGACCTGCACCCGGGAAACATCATGGTGCGCTTCTACCAGTCTGCCAAGCCAGAGTTGGGGTTGCGCGGAGCCTTCGCCAAGCCTCACCCTGAAGACCAGGACGATGTCACTGAGCAGGTGCTAGAGCGCCTCCGCCCTTACCGCCACAAACGGAATACGGCCGCGTGGCAGGCCGAACTGGCCAAGATTGATGCCGAGGGCTTTCGCCCGCAGCTCATATTCATCGACACGGGTTTGGTGACGGAGCTCAACGCCACGAACCGCGCCAACTTCTTAGATCTCTTCCGTGCAGTCGCCGAATTTGACGGCTACAAGGCCGGCCACCTCATGTGTGAGCGGTGCAGGCAGCCCGACGCGGTCCTCGATAAAGAGGTATTTGCGCTCAAAATGCAACATCTGGTGCTTAGTGTCAAGAGCCGCACCCTTGCTCTCGGTACTGTCAAGATCGGCGATATTCTACAACAGGTGTTGAGCATGGTCCGCCAGCATCACGTCCGTTTAGAGGGCGATTTCGTCAACGTTGTTATCAGTATCCTCCTGCTCGAGGGAATCGGCCGCAGCCTGAACCCAGACGTCGACCTTCTAAGTAGCTCTCTGCCCATTCTGCGTCAATTGAGTGCTCAGAGCGGCACCGAGATGGTCAAGCATGGCGACTTTTCCATGCTGTTTGTTTGGGTGGGACTCGAGGCCAGGCGGTTTATGCAAGCTAGCATTGACGACGTGAGTTTACATGCCCTATACATGGATGTCATTTGCTAATACCGCTACAGGTTGAACGATGTGTCAAATACGACCTCCTTTCACCGAATGTGTAAATGAGAATAGAGCCTTCGAAGCAACATATAGTAGAGGATATAGCATGACGGGGCGTCTAGGCTGGAAATATGTATAATTTAATAGTGGGTTCTTGGGTTGATACGTGCGAACGAACAAAGGAGATCAGCTCCGCGAGAAAAAGAGACTTGTCTTGATAGAGGTTCCTAAACTCGGCCTAGTATGGCATTTACACAGATGTACATTAGTTCATAACTATAACTACGATTAATGGCAACGAAGATTCCGCTCCATGGTAACAAAATAAAACTGATTCCATGTCCTTTCTATGTGTAGCTAGTTGTACATTCATTCCCTTGATGCACCTTAGCCCCCCAACGCCATTGTGAAACCAACCCTGGGATCCACGGACCCCCTCGGAAATAAATGTGGGAATTCATCTGCAACGAATACTCTACCTGGGCATATTCATTGTAGAAGGATTCCATGGACGTCATGCAGAGGTTTTAGACAGGATGCGGCCAGAGAGGTACAAATATTTAAATATGTAGTCCTCACTTGACGCTGTGATGTCTGCCACTGCTGCAATAATCCTGAAGTACAGTATCCTCGCTTAACTTGAAAGTAACCTTGCCGCTCAATGGCTGGCGCTCAGCTCCATCGACTTCTCCCAGAGGTTTCTCAGCACAGCTGCTGTGCCGTCCTCCTCCGAGCCGCCAACGAGGCTTGACCCACTAAGTCTTTCGTTCAAGCGGGTCTCGTCTTCGCCATCAAAACTCGACGCTGCGCCGTTGGTTCGGATAGAATTGGCACGGCGGGGAGTGACGGGCCGTCGAGCATCGGGCATGCTGACGTTTCTCGCGTGACGCATAGTGAGATCGGCGGTTCTCTTGCCGTTGGCCGCGGCCGTATTGATGCGGGGAATGCGTTGTGACTTCTCCAGGCCGGGTAACTGGCTAAGGCGGTCGAGAGACCGTGAGACCGAGTTCTGATACCTTCGTACCACAAGGTACTCAAGGCCGGTGCGCTCGAGGAGTTTGCTGATCCTGGGATCACGACTGCCTCCTCCGTCGTATCCCGGCCCACCGACGCCCATTCCCGAGTTGGCACCGACTACTCCACCAACACCGCTGACAGCCTGGCCCGGCTCGATGACGGAGCTGGCACGTTGTAGGTTTAGTTTCTGTTGCGTCCGGGAGGCCTGCGCCGACGGGGCGACTGTTCGTCGGGGCGCCTTGGGCGCCAATGCACTGTCGTCGACCTCGTCGGCCGCCAATGCAATCTCGGGAACATCTCGCCCGGCGGGAAGACTGGCGATGGAGCGAGGTTTTCGGTTGGTTTCGTCGTATCGGGAAAAGTCGCCACGGGGAGGTCGGTAGAAAGATCCCTCACTGGTCAGTCCGGAGCCGGCTGCCTCGACGAAGCGCGACGTCAGCTCGTCTTGGGTACTGCCCATGAGCGTAGTCGAGTCTGGGTCGTCGGGCGAAGCAGGGGTGAATTGTCGCGGCGCGACCTGAGCGAGATCGGCGGTCATCTGGGGAGGGGCACCGTGGGATGGGGTGCGTTGGAGAAGGCGGGAAGTTAGGTACTCTTTGTGGTGTGCCCGTGCTCGCTCGGGGCTGGACATGTCGGGTTGCTGAGGCTCGTCGGGTTCGTCTTGGTCGTCTTGATCGTCTTGATCGTCAATCTCGTCAATCTCGTCGTGGAGATGGGACGTGGCACGTTCACTAGGAGTTACTGGCCGGGAGCTGGCCGCGCTCGCGCCTTGAGGCAGCGAGGAATGAGCACTGCTGTTGAGGGAGCCCTTCCGTGAGAGATAGGGCGAATTAGACCCACTCGCGTCGACCCATTCGTCGTCCTGACCGTCAGTACCCAGGTCGAAGTGGACCTGATTCCTATTGCTGGCGGCTCGTGCCTGATAGACGATGGTGGTGCTGGCGGCGCGCTTCAGTTTGTCCGAGGACTTGGAGCGCTTGGCGACCTCGACATGCGAGCGATTGCGCTTGAGCTTGGAGTGCGAAGGACTCTTGGTGAGGTTTGCCGACGAGGAGTCGCGGGAGGACAGCCTGACGTCGCTGGCGGCGCGACGATGGGAACTGGCACTGGCTCCGGCGGTGGAGGTTGAGGCAGATGTACGCAGCTGTTGAGCCTCAGAATCGGGAGGCGAGGTGTGGCGGCGGTGGAGCTTAGGCTGCTTGGGAGCAGTCTTTGCAGCAGGCGCGCGGGCGGTGTGCAGGCGACCGACGGGATGGTGTCGCTGGTGACGGTGGTGCTGGCGGTGATGCTGCTGCTGGTGTTGCAGCCCGCTCGTATCGCTCTGGGAGTCGCTCTCCTGATGGTTGAGGGGAGGTCGTTTTGATTGGCCGCTGGATGATGCGCTGTCGGCGTCGCGTGTGTGAGGCATGGCTGCTGTAGGTAGCCGCGGCCGGTGCCGGTGCTGGCTTGTGTGCGGCTGGGTAATTACTGAGTGTTCAGTGCTGTGCTGGGTGCTGAAAGTGCTGGTGCTACTGCGCGTTGCGTGCGTTGGCGTTGCGTGCGTGCGTGTGATTGACGGAAGCCGAATGCGTGCGCCGTTGCTTCTAGTAGGTGTCCCTCCTGGCCGAGCCGGCGACCCGAGCGGCAACTGTCATGGGGTGTTTTGTGATAGTCGCAGTCGACGACGAGTTTTGCTTTGCGGATTTGGAACGTGGAGGCGGGAGAGCGATGGAAGATGGAGAGAGGGCGGGAGACGGGTTTTGTCCACCAAGTATGAAAGGTGCGCGTCGCTAGAGATTTAGCTTGAAGTTTCCTGCTGGGGCCGCAGCGTTGTCGAGTCAATGGGCGGTAAGCGACGAGCGGGTTGGCTTGTAAATTGGGTGTCGTGCGTGCAGAGGAAAGGGATCCGCGTGAAGGGAGAGATGAAGAGAAGAGGAAGCGAGGCGACAAGGAAAGAGGCTTGTCGTTGCCAGCAATTCCAGGCCAAGATCGGACCAAGACCAGACCAGGCCCAGCTCCAGACAATCAACGACGAACTACTGACCAACGAACCGGGAGATGGATGGGGTCGTTGCTAGTGTTGCCGAGACACCGGTCTTGGACTAGTTGGCAGTAATTAGCTGGATAGTAGAGTCTGGGCTGCGAGGAATGCGTGAGAGGAGCGGATCCGGATGTTGGAAGCGATGAAAGTGAGTGCAATGTCAGTCCAAGAGAGAGGGGGCGCCTTGGAAAGAATAGTTTTTCGCGGTGCTGCAAAAGAAGTGCCTGGATTTCGTAACGCTGCCTGTGGGCTAATATAAGCTAAGGTTAAACGCGAAGACTAAAACCGCCAGCAAGCGAGACGAGGGGATGACGATGACGGTGTTCAGGCCCAGGGTTGGAGTAGGAAGGGACATCGTGGGACTGTAAGAACCGGGGTGGAATGGAATGGAATGAGCGTTGCTCCGACTGCGCACGCGCATCGGTTGATCATCAGAACTCAGAAAGCACCAGCGCATTTTTAGGAATCTGCAGGAACTCGACTTCCGGTATAGGAGTGTGGTAGGCTGCCGTCCCTCCCTTGTTGTCGGGGGCAGTCGCCTGGACTACACAATGGCAGACATGCGCTTTACTCACTGACTCACTGGCTCCATTACCGGCGCGATCGTTCATTCACGGTACCGTACCTTGCCATTCACGGTTCGCATTGAAATGGTGAAATAAAACATAAGACAATCGACGTCGTTCACACGGACCGCTCACCAGGTAATAGGTACGTCACCGCACCATCCAACCCTGGTACCACGAGATTCGGTCCAGCCAGGGTCTTCTCAACAATCGGCATTGTGAGAGGACTCGAAGGATCTGACATGGTGATCGCGCAAACCCTTCCTCGGCAATGATATCTGGAGCTCTGCCTACACCGTGGGCGACCATCCTCCGCTCTTGAATTGGTCTCGGAACAGCACCATGGATGCCTGCATCGTAACATCAGGGGAAACGACAGTCCATAGCTGCCTCGCCGGCATCGTCCTCCAACCCCAGAAAGTGTCATGTCCGATATTCCCGATTGGCTGGACCCGACGATCGGGATTTCTTTTGAGGGCTCCAGAACACGCCCAGCGGCCAGTGCGCAAGCCCAAATTGTCGATCCAGCCCTGTGAGCCTACGAGGACGCGCGCTGCAACGAGACAAGCCCCATGGTCCTCGGCAACATAAAGGAGACTCGGCCAAAACAATCGATTCTTCCACTCCCAACAACGTTGCAAAGATGTCCAGAACTAGCACCCCACTGCCCCGCAAAGCACGCCTCGATCGCCGAGATGGAACTTTAAGTGACGCTTGAGCCAGGGCCATTGCATATCGTCCGAGTAATCCTGACTGACTCGCTTTCCGTTGGCCAATCATTAATGTCACGTGAAAGGTCACATGACCGGAAGACATTCGTAACTTGCGATCCCAACTCGCCCAACCTGGGTGCACCTGCAACACTAACGAAGCTCACATCCGCCACCCAGATCTCAACATCGTAATTCTTACTCTTCCCTTTTGCTCATTTATCCCCGCAGTCATGTCTGCCCTCGCTGGACTCGAAGAGGAGAGACAGGCGTATCAAGAACAGGTGCGCATTCCCAGGCCCCGCTACGTCAGATCAGCAGACTAACGCATCTCTTCACAGCTCGACATCGTTCTTGGCCAACTACGAGACGACCCCGATAACGCCGAACTCAAAGCGCTACAGGACGAGTTGAAAGAATTCATCAACCTTCTCAATGAAAACATTGCTGAGCTCAAGCCCAAGCAGGCCCCTAAGCCAGCCCTAAAGGAGCCGTCACCGCCACCCCAGCCCGAGAAATGGTCGCGTGAGAACCACCCTGCCTTCAAGAAAGCCGCCCCAGTCGAGGAAAAGGAAGAAGCACCTGCGAACTATCAAGTTAACGATACTGTCTTGGCCAAGTGGGTCTCTGGCGATAAGGCCTTCTACCAAGGTCGCATCACATCCGTCACAGGATCCTCGACGGACCCCATCTACACTGTCAAGTTCAAGAGTTACGATACTACCGAAACATTGCGCCTTAGGGACATTCGACCTATTTCGAATAAGCGAAAGGCCGACGGCCCGCCTGCCACCTCGGGTGCTCCTCCCGGCCTTGGCGTCGTGACGTCTGCTGGCGCCACTGTGTACCCCGATGCGAGGAAGGATGCCGAGCAGAACGCTGAGGCGAAGCCGCCCAGGCCAAAGAAGATCAAGGCCAAGAAGGAATTGGAGGCGGGCAAGAACAAGTGGCAAGAGTTCAACTCCAAGTCAAAGTTTGGAAAGACTCAAAAGAAAGACAGCATGTTTCGCACTCCTGAAGGTGTCCATGGTAGAGGTAAGCACTGCCCAATTTGCGTAATTCACACATCAACTTGCTAACAATGATTAGTCGGCTTCACTGGCTCTGGAAAGACTATGCGGAAAGACCCTACACGAAGCCGTCACGTCTACCAAGTGAATGAGGAACTGGACTAATGACATTCTGGACAGGACGAGTCGATTGTATGACGAGCAGAAGGCGTTTGGGATCTCTCGTGTGGCTTTGCTTTGTTTGGTAACATGCCTTGCAATTGGTTGTGGCAGAGGCTAACGTCTTGTGTGTCTGGCGTTTATTATAGTTGTTTTTTAACCCATTCTAGCTTCGAAGTACGTAGGACTGCCATGGTCGCAAGTGACCAGCCGAGTGCAATTGAATACTTCTCGAGATGGATACACAGACCGGCGCCCTTCTGAAATTGAGAATACATTGCTAAGTTGTGTTGACAGGACCTGCGCTTTGCACTTCATTCTTCGCCATCCTACACCGTTCATGTGATCGTACAAATCCTTAGTTGCTGCTCAAGTCAATCTTGGGACAGATGTCTTGGGCAATCTTCAGAAAGGCAGATGCTCTTTCACTGGTTGGCTCAGCCACCACGGTCGGCTTCCCCTTCTCAGCGTCATCCCCAATATTGGGATGTAGAGGGATGTCGCCAAGGAAATCAATCTCATGCTCTCTGCACATCTTCTCTACTCTCTCATTGGAGCCAAACACGTGTGTCTCGCCCTGGCAATGAGGGCATTGGAAGAGAGACATGTTTTGCACTAGTCCCAAGATATTAACGTTGACAGCCTTGAACATGTTTATGCCCTTAACTGCATCCTTAGTCGCGAGCGTGTGAGGTGTGGTGACAATAACTGCGCCTGTCAAAGGTTAGCGTGTGCTCATATCGGTCCTAGTGAACTCACCATCTAGGATGATCTGTTGTGTAATGGTCAACTGCGTGTCACCAGTGCCCGGAGGCAAGTCTAATACTAAGATGTCAAGACCACCCCATTCGACTTCGTGGAGTAGTTGCTGGATTGCCTTCATGACCATGGGACCTCGCCAAACGACGGGAGCATTCTCGCCGACTAGATAACCCATCGACATAGTCTTGACCCCATAGTTTGTCAATGGAATTAACTGGTTATCTGTCGATATTAATACATGATGACGTGAAACTGGCCAAAGTGACGTACTGGTTGATAATCTTGGCTCCCCTGAGAGATCGAAAAGGGTGGGGATGGATGGGCCAAAAATGTCAGTATCCAGGGTACCCGTACGATAGCCAAGCCGAGCAAAGGCAAGTGATAAATTGGCTGTTTGTTAGTGAAGTCCTGCACATCAATGGAATTGATCAATACCTGCAACTGTGCTTTTCCCTACACCTCCTTTGGCTGATGACACGGCAATAATCTTCTCGACGCCTGTGATCTTCCGCCTCTGGGGACGTCGAGGCCAGCTGGGAGGCGTCCCTGAACGAGGGAGGCCCTGGGATTTGTAAGTCAAAGGGATAGACTGGGGAAGAGTGAATACTAACCAGGGGGTTCTCATGTTGAACGGCGCGGACGGTTTGGAAGAGCCGGGTCGAAGTTGGGCGCATCATAGTGAGGACTGCGCTGTAGCTGATGCGGACTACGGACGCGCAATGATGAATCTATCTCAATCTCCCCTAGCCTGGGATTGTGTGGGTTTTGAATAAGTGAGTCCCCAACTACATAGTATTGAGATGCGAATTTAATCGTTGTCGTTGAGCACAAGGAATCTCACTCGATGCGACGTTCCTTGTGGAGAGCCTGTTGGTGGACCGCCTAAGCGCTGAGCCCGCTAAAGTTGCCGCCGCACTGAGCTCCCGCATTCTGCCATACGACACCGCCTAAAAGTTGAAGGACCGAATCCAGAAAATTTCCAACGTGGGGGCTCTTGGGTGGTGCAAGTTTGCACCAGCAACAAGCAACGACTGCAACAATGGCGAAATCAAAGAGCCGCGTGAAGCAGTTTGAGGAAATGGACGAGCACATTTCAAAAGGTATTTACGCTTGACCATTTTGTAAGCCATGAGGTCTAATCAATTTATTGCATAGAACACGACCCTGAAGCCGACGTCGAGGCGAGCGAACAGGGCAGTGGAAGCGAGGCCAGCGACGATGAGAACGCGGGTACAGAACATTACGTTTCCGTCGGGAAAAGCAAGTTGAGAGAGAAGGAGGGTGTATCTCTCGGTCCTCAGTATCGAGGAGCTCGCGTTACAAGACAAGCTCTGGACCAAGAGAGCGACGATGAAACCGATGAGGATGATGGCGACGAGGGATCAGAAGACGGAGATGAGTACGACGATCCCGAGACAGCCAATCTGGAACTCGACACCGCAGAAGCCAGCGACTCGGAGATTTCTAGCGAAAATGCTCTGGGCGAGAGCGACGATGAGCGATTGAAGGACTTTACCTTCCGAGGGAGCTCGAAGCCCAAGAAGCCGCTCAAGTCGAAAAAGAGGGCTACTGCTGCAGACTACATGTCCTCCTCTGACGAAGCGGGTGAGGGTGGCGCTGAGGTGGATGAGGATGATGATATGAGCGGTGTTGATCTGGGCGAGTCTGGCGAGTCTGACGACGACATGGACGATGGTTTGGATGCGCTTGTGAATGGGGACTCGGACGAAGAGTCCGATGAGGATGGCGACGAGGATAATGGCGACGAGGATGATGACGATGACGATGAAGACGAGGAAGAGGAAGATGATTCGGAAAGCGACGACGAGGGTAGCAAGGACCAAACCGCAAAGCCAGCACTTGCAGCTTTGTCGACCAGAGCCGATGTCGACAAGGGCCTTGCGATTCAACAGCAGAGGAAGCTCTATGATGGACTCCTCAATCTTCGAATTCGTCTCCAGAAGGCGCTCATCGCTGCAAACACTTTCGCAACCATTGAGGACACCCCAGAGCCCGAGTCTGAGCCTTACGAGGCTGCAGAGGAGGCCGCCATCAAGCTTCTCAACACCATCAGCAGCCTGAAGAACAACTTTGGGTCATCATCCCGGGCTGGCGACAAGCGGAAACGTGAGCTTGAAGTGTCAATGGCTACTCAGGATATCTGGAACCAGATGCAAGAGGAGGAAGAGCGGTCCGTCAAGTTCAGGGAGGACCGACTAGAGAAATGGGCTCGCAAAGTCCAGACTGTCAACATTACGGCACCGGGCGCCTTGGGCTCCAGGAACAAGACTCTCATCAGCGCCCTCCAAGAGCAGCTCGCCAACCCGGATAACCGCCTGGCAAAGCGATCTCGTGTCCCGCGATCATGCGCCCCCGCGCAGGCGGCCAAGGGCGTCACAGAAGACGAAGACATTTACGATGACGCCGACTTTTACCAACTCCTCCTCAAGGAGCTTGTGGACCAGCGAACTGTGGAAAGCGCGTCGGCGCAAGCAGGTGCGGTTCCGACGGTGATGATGACAGTCTCTAAGGAGGCCAAGATGCGCAAGAATGTCGATCGCAAAGCCAGCAAGGGCCGCAAGATGCGTTTCACGGTGCACGAGAAGCTGCAGAACTTTATGGCTCCCGAGGATCGGCGGGCGTGGGAACAGGAGGCCATTGATCGATTCTTTGGTACCTTGTTTGGACGCAAGATGGAGCTCAACGAGAATGACAGCGACGACGACATGGAGGTTGATGCCGAGGAGGCTGGTCTCCGACTATTCAGGAGCTAAAAATTTGTACCAGATTGTACTACGATATAGATGTAATCGGACTTAAACATCCCCAAGCATCCACGTGCCTAGGAACATGACAAGCAGCACTGAGTGAATAAGTAAATGTACTGCTGGGCCACCCAATGTTTTGCCTGTTGCAGCTTCTTCTCCACTCCTAATCTCGCCGTCAGCGCGGCGGCTCAGGCGAACGACGGCACGGTAGCAGGGCCACATGTGCCAGAAGGCGAGGGCGAGGGCAACGTGGCGAGCGACATCATCGAGGGGGCGACGGACGAAGATGAGGGCGATGAGGTTGGAGGCGAGGAGGAGGCCGCCGAGAGACTGGAGGAGGAGGCCGGCGGATGGAGGTAGCGGCGATACGTGGGAGGAGGGACGAAGGATAAAAGTGAGGGCGGCGGGGGTTTCAATAAGGATATGACAAAGGAAGGGGATTGTAGAGACGGAGATGGGCATTTTAGATGGGGGTTTGGCGAGGTGTGACGATGGTGGTGTTTGGTGAGGTGTTGATGACGGTGCGAGGTTGTGAGAGAGGTTGGAGAGGCATTTCGTCCAGTGTGGGTTTTCTAAATTGCAGGGCTAAATACGTGTGAATTACGGTCCTGGGGTAGGATTGGGACATGAGGCCATTCCCGTTCACTTGTGAGCTAATGCAAATTCTTATGAGTAGTCTAAACCGGGAAGTGTGATCAATTGCTACGGGCGAATTTGTGTTGGTGTCAAAGTGGCTGGTTGTAGGCCGCTCAAGTACCATGACCTGAACAGATCTTCTAGGCGCATTTAGAACACAGGCAACCTTCATCTCACTCAGCCTTAAAGCAAGGCCCCGGCCCATGAATTAACCCGACGGGGGAATTGATGGGCCATCGGGGGAACAGGATGTTTTCGTCCCTGAACCAACGGGGCGGGATGACGTCGCGAAGCTGGGAGAGTTTGGTGTTGTGGATCGTCGGATTCGAATACGGGCCAGATGCCAAGTGATTCTGTGCGTCTACGATGGACTGGTGAATCGTGCTCCCAGAATGCGAGATGGAAGGCTTTCGGTTGATCCTCAACAGATGCATCGCCTCCTCCATGTCAGCATAGATGTCCCTATTCGGGGCTAGCACAGGCCTGCCCCAGGTCTCTCATCGGTAGTTGCAGCGAGATAAGGTCCAATTGCCAGCGCCACACAGCGACTTCAAGGCCTGGACCACACCGCACTTCCAGGTGCCTAGGTACCTACCGAGGTAGGTAGGTGCCCAACCATTAACGTATTCGTACCTCGTACTTCGTAAACCCACACCTCCACTCGCTCGTCCCCACGAGTGTCACACAATCGCTAGGAACCGTTTCACTGAAATCAAGATGCCAGTGCGACGTGGCCTAGGCGTGGGTTACCTCCAGGGTCCGATGCGTCATTGGGAGTTGCGAGGTTTTGTTTCGCATCTCCCCCAAGTACTCCGCGGGCCGTGCCAGGCTGTGCTACACCGTGCTGGGTACCTCTAACCTATGCCGTCTAGCCTCTGCGCTCTAGCCGCCTGTGCATCCATGTCTTCTTCGGATCGCCAACACCCGGACTCGTCACATCATGGCGCCGCAGTGCCGTGGTCCCTCGAAGGGTTATGAGACATGGAGTCTGGACACGTTGAAAGCAACACAACACCCCGGCGGGCGGCCGCCAGTGGCTTTGCGCAGCCTAGCTTTGGCTTGGTGGCTCAAATCCTCCAACCCCGCGACGCGACGCTGAGACATGCCGCACTTTCGGTTGTGCTCGGTCGGTCAATATCTCGTGCTCTTACCTCAGGCGTCCAGACTTCTTCCATCAATCATAATTGGGACGCCGTCCTGACCTCGTCTTTGTCGATTCCCTCGTTTCAATCTTTGCAGGGAGACAAAATCCCTCTCATCTGCCCCTCGTCTTGGTTGGCTTATCTCTTGCATCGCCGTTTCGCGTTACCGTTATCGAAAGCGTCATCGATTGACCCCTCAAGCTGCACGTTCCGGACACAGGCACCATAGAACTTCTTCTCGAATCCCGCTCGAGACCGCAAACGACAGCTGCCTGCCCTTGACGCCAGATATCTCCAACCCCTCCTGGCTTGATCGTTCTCGACTTGGACCGACGCTGACTATCACGCATCAATTGAGCAATTGAGCGCTCCCACCGCCAAACCCAAACATCATGGCAGCTCCAAGCACCTTTGGGGAGCTGGGTCTCTCCATCATCGGTCTTGGCGCCCAGTACCCTCCCTACTCCCTCGATGCCAGCTCCGTCGATACTCTCAGCAAGAGGTTCTATCCAGACACACCTGCGTGAGCACCCTTGACCGTCAGATGCAATAATCCTGATCAGCCATTGACGAATCATCCAGCATGAAAAAAGTACTCTCAATTAACCAGTTCACTGGCATTGAATCCCGATCCTCTGTCGGCACTCCCGACCACCCTCTCGTGAACCAGAAAAATGCGCCTTCAATAACTGAGATCCATCGCATGTTTCTCAACGACGGCGTTCCCCTGGCTGTTCAGGCAGCTCGAAAGGCCATTGCCGAGGCCAAGGTTGATCTTCGCCACATCACTCATATCGTCTCCACAACTTGTACCGACAGCGCAAACCCAGGCTTCGACCACTATGTGGCAAAAGGCCTCGGCATCACTCATCAGGTCGAGAAAGTGTTGTTGCACGGAGTAGGGTGTAGTGGTGGTCTAGCAGCCCTCAGGACAGGCGCGAACCTCGCGTTGGGACACAGGGCGAGAGGCCGACCTGCTCGAGTACTATGCGTGGCTCTCGAAGTCAGTACCATTATGGTACGGAGTGAGCTAGATAGCATCAACGAGCTTCAGGAAACGAGGATAGGCGCTTGCCTCTTCTCAGACTGCGCGAGTGCTATTGTGCTGAGCAATGGCATTGGAGAGCCCGCAGAGCCTATTTATGAGCTTCTCGGATGGGATCACAGGATAATACCTGACACGGAGGAGGACCTGGGATTCGATGTTGATCCTCTTGGTGAGTGGCGCGGCTTGACACTGAAATGCCAGACTGACACTGTACAGGCTGGAAAGTTGTGCTCACCCCACGAGTACCGAAGCTCACTTGCGCTTCTGTGTCGCCCGCATTCAATGACCTCAAGGCTTTGCTACCTGACCTTCCCCTCAACTACCAAGAGGCTGCCGACTTCGACTGGGCCATGCATCCGGGTGGTGCGACAATTCTCTCCGGTGCTGAACGAGCGATGAATATTTCCGCAGAACACATGCGAGCCAGCTACGACACGTACATCAACCACGGAAATTCGAGCTCAGCCACCATATACAGCGTCATGGACCGCCTACGCTCGAAAGACATGGATGCCATGGCGCCTGACGGTCGAATCCGCGAATATGTTGTTGGTTGCGCTTTCGGGCCCGGCATCGCGGTCGAGATGTGTATGCTCAAGCGGAATATGAGCTACGGTACTCAAGTGAGCGGATTGCAAACACCGCCCGAGACGGAGAGCGAGTCTAGCGAGACGGACGAAACGAGTGACGTTGGGGACAGCGAGGGGGACGGCGAGTGGGCCGGCGGGAGCGGGGCTCCGACCGGGAAGGATTCGGCGGGGGTGGAGTTGCGGGAACGGGATGCGGCCTTTGTGGCCGGGGTTCTGGAGCATTTAGATCTTGATTAGCAGGGCGTGATACACGAGGTTGTACAGGTGTCGAGAGTCGGCGTTAATCGTGGGTTGACCGACAGAGACAGCATTCCGATGTAGATATTCCAAAGACCTGGGCAATTAGCAGATTGCAGAGCAGGAATAAAGTGGAGCGTGCGATGTGCTCATTCTTGTTGGGCTTTGATTTTTGCGATACCGAATCCGGTTGTTCAAGTCCAATTTCCTAAAGAATCATTTTGGTGGGAGGTCTCAGGACATTGTCGATCAGATCATGGCAGTGGCATCCAAGCTGAAACTGAGACCTGCCGCGCCTAGCACCAAAGCAATATGATTCGGAGCAGGCCTCCGGCTGCGTTGACTGGTCAGGAAATAAACTCCAGCCTCATGACACTAATGTACTTGGCGAGCGGTGTGTGATGAGTTGAGAAGTTGGAATGCCGATCAATCATGAATCTCGCGATAAATACCCACCCTGGCGCGGGGAGATGAGATATGATCAACCTGCAGCTCGCCACTGGACAGCCGTAACCAAAGCCGCCCGGCACCTGCAATCTTGCCTGCCGGTTGCCTGCCGGCCTACCGGTTGGGGCGACGTGCAGCATGCAGCTGGAGATTTGCGATGACGGCTGAATTCCAGTTGGGCTGACTTGGGCTGACGAATGCCATCCACGTACCCTCACCATCTTCGGCTATGACCTCGCGATGATAGCCTGTCCCACATAGCTTTCTTTTAGCCTTTTCTTCGCATCCGTCTAAGAGCACCAGTCCCGGCCCAGTGGCAGGACCCCGGGGTTGGAGACAAGTCTAACGCCTCAGAGGCGTGTGCGAGTCTTTAGCTTTTCCCAGCTGTCAGATACAAGGGACGCTAGAGACACCGCCGCCATTTAACGGCGGTGGTGGTGCGTTTCGTAACAGGACCGTTTAGGAAAAGCTTACCGAGAAGCAAGGGGAGGACGCCTCGCTGTCAAGATTGTCGTCAAGTGGGACGGGAGGTTCAGTTCAGCCTTGCGGGGGTCCTGGACCTCTGAAGAAGGCTGCGGGACTCACACCATTTTGCCGCAAGCGAGATCGCGCAGACGTCATCTGGATGGTTGGGACGGTAAATTGGTGGGGGTGGGATCTACGTGTTTCAACGGGTGACAAGGGAGATTCGGGAACAGTGTCGTTGGTAAGTGTTTCGGAGGACCAAGGGACAGCCGGAACAGCGGCAGAGGATGGACCTTTGGGGAGTCTGTTGCGATATGAGTCTACAAAAGATCCGGGGATGGGCATAACAACGGGGAATAATGGGTGGATGTGAAGCAAAGGTCCGTCGGGAATTTGCAGCGGGACAGACGAGGGGGCGACGGGAATCCATCGCTGCAACTTGTCAGATTAGTTCCCAACCGGATGGAGAGGATGGGCATTGGCCTCGTGGCACGGGCAGGGGTGGTGTAGCTCCACGCTCCGCCTCCGCAGGAAGAAACGAGTCACAATAAAAAGAAAAACATGTGTACTTGAATATGCGGTCGACTCTTGATAGGTACTTGGATCGAGCCAGGGCTTGCCGGAGGGCGCAAGTGGATATGTCGACCGGGGAGGTTGGACGCTACCCGGAGACTACTAGGCGAAGCGGCCAATGGAATCGCGGCCTGGAGCGAGATGGCGTCCCGAAGGAGAAACTCGTCTAAACCCGCGCCCTGCAGTTTGCGTTTGGCAGGGCTCTGACTGACCTGACCCCACCGGAATGCAGAGCGCAACAGCGGCCATTGACGGCGGCCAGGCTGATGACACGAGGTTGTGAGTGATCTGTGGCGAGCTCAGACAATCGAGCTGCGCTGCCGGTACGGAGTCCAACCATCCAAGATCTGGAGTGTCATCAGGAATGGATCCCAACCGTCCAACCCATCCCAGCTGACGCACGCACGGCGCAGAGAGTGGTTCTCTCATCCCGGCCGGACGATGGGTGGGCCTACCGCAGGTCTGTGGGTATTGGTATTGACCGAAGCGTCGGCTTCTTCCACACAATCGCAAACTAGACTCTACTCTCTCCGTCGCCACGCGAGAGCGAGGGGGGAAAATACCACGAAGGAAAAAAAAAAACGCCCTTGCCACTAGCCAGACTCGTCTCAGTCGACGGGGCCGCATAGGGTAGACAACGCGTAGGGAGCTGTTCCGAGGGTCCCGGATGAGGCTATCACATCCGGTTGACATCATGGTGGATGGACAACAATCAACAACCACCCAACGGCATTTCCTCGCCTCACGGCACCGATGGGACGTGAGCGTTGATTGGCGTCCGGGGACATGGCCCTGGAGGGTAGGGGACCGAGGAGACATTTGCTGGGGAAGGAGATGAGAGTGTCTCTGGTTCGAGGGCGAGGGCGCGAGGCAGCGAGACAACTGAGGGAGAGCTAGGTTTCTTATGGACGGCGCAGGATCTTGTCAGGTTGCTTAAGTTAAAGCCCGACTCCATCCCATCCCGCCCACGGAGCGCCCCCCCGTACGTGTCCCCCCTACCCATCCACATATCGTATCTATTCCTATCCAGGCCCTATATCCATTGCTCCGGATTCCGCACATGTACGGGCTCACAACATAAACCGTATGTTGCGGAACGTGCGCCAGAGGGGAGAAGCACGCCAAACGTAACCTCGCAGCACGAACACACGACCCAGGCATTCCGCTCTTCCATACATACATTGCCTAACCTAGCCGATCCTGTACCTGTACCACATACGCCCGCCGTTGGTTGTGGACATTGGGTGTCTGGGCCGGCTGACGAACGACCAACGACGACGACGAACGACGGGTACCTGGAGGAACCACGCGAGAGGGCCGGCGTTTGGCGTACGTGAGCCTATCACTTTTCACCTCGTCTAGCAAACGACGACAACGAGAGATCGATCGGGACGAATATCGAGTCGCATCGGGATCAGCATCGTCATCGTCATCGCGGAACGCAGCTCACCCTGGGACCATCTGCCGCATCTGGCCGCAGAACCGCCGACGGCATTGCTCGGCTCTAACCAGGGATTTTGCTCTGGTTTGTTGGTTGCTCACTGATTCGCCCGTCTGGGCATATGCGAAGCAGGGCACCGGCAGAGAGTAAGCACAGCGGAACGAAGTGTGAGGCAGGCAACGGCTCAGTCTCAGCCCACGACGGCATACAGCTCGCACACACACGGGACTCCCGCACCCGGGAAACGCAACGCCCGGACTCACTGATACCCTTTTGCATCCCGGCTCGGCTCAAGAGGTTGCGCTTTTGAGGAGCTGGGGAGTTTGGCCGGCATAGGCGGGCGAAGCAGAAACGGCGGCCGCGCTGGCGGGCTATTATCAAGTGTTTGGCGGTGCGGGTGCCGGTGGCTTCGGAGCTGGAGGACCTGGACCTGGTGGACGCATCCCGCTGGGACCTGGGGGGCTAGGGGGAGTTGGTGGTGGAGGAGTTGGTGGTGGAGTTGGCGGAGTTGGCGCTGTAGTTGGCGCTGAAGGACTGCTGCCGGGGGCTGTGGGCACGGGCGATCCAGGCCCGTTCCCGGGTGTCGTCGGCGGTCACGTGGCTGGCGCGTATCGGCACCCGCCCTCTGGCACCTGGCTCCCTCAGCGGCGGCCAGTGGCTGACCCTGACCCTGTGATGCCTTATGATGGCGGCCATCTCGCACACGCACCCGTCCACGCGCCCGAAGCGGATGGCCCATTTGGCACCATGGAGCAGATCGAAACCCAGGTGAGCGACCTGCGCTACCTGTCGCAGGCGCCCGTGGCCCTGAGCCCGAGCGCGTCCGGCGTCGGCGGCCCCGGCCCCGGAGGTGTTGTGGGTGTCTCGGCCGCCGGTGCTGCCGCTGCCGCTGCCGCCGCCTACGACTCGACGCCGCAACCGCAGAACCACCAGAGCCCAGGTTCCGCGTCCGTCGGAGACAATTCCGCCCGCAGCGTGTCGGCGTCCAATGCCAACAAGAGGAAGTCCATCGATGACGGGAGTGCGTCCAAGCAGACGCGCAGCAAGAGGAATCGGGTGAGTCCATCGCTGCCGTTGTTCCATTGTGGTTGGAGGTTTTTATCGTCGTGATCCATCGTGGTGTTTTCCCAAGTGGGTGTTGCGATTGGTATGCGACGCGATATGAGATGAGTCCACGTTGGACGAAGCATGATTCCATTCATCTTCCTCCTCTCCTTGTCGCCGCTCGGATTACACAACATCATCCACCCGTCCGCTCGGGTCTCTCAGGTCTCCTCAACAACACTCATCTCCCATCGCGTCGCACATCACCACATCACCACATGCCTCAAGCCCCACCCATCTTCACAAGTTACATCCTGGCTAACATTCTCGACTTCCTCGACGACACAGTACATCTCCATCGCTTGGTGAGTTGTCTCCATTTACCATCAGGATGCCTGACACACCCCGCATCAAACTCATCCCACTACAAAGTCCTTGCTGACCCCCGCAGTAACGAATGTAAACGACGCAAAATCAAATGCAACGGCGAGACACCATGCCAACGGTGTGGCAACCTCAACCTCGCTTGCCTCTATGCCCCAAATTGCTGCTCCAACAGTTTCAAAGACTCGGATGACTTCAAGCATGTTACCAACCAGATTGGTCGCCTCCAAGAAGAGGTCGGCTGGCTCCATCAGACAGTCAAGGCCCTTCAGTCCGACCCGAACCGCATGGCCTCGACAGGCGACCGGGCTTTGCCCATAGGCACATCAACCGTTGCTCCGTCGCCCTCCCAGAGCTCGAGCTCACTTAACCGTGATGCCTCACACTCCAGGTACGGCGCGTTCCGAGGACCCACCAGTATGGCGTTTAGTCTCGACGTCGCCAACAATACCATTTCCAACATGGGATACAGAGGCATCGATGACGCTGATGACCATGGTCACCCAACTGAGGATATGGGCATACAAATAATTAGCCGCCCCGCCGACCCTCTTCTCGAGTTTGACAAGGACGAAATGATTCGGTTATGCCGTCTTCACGAGGAGGAGATTGGTATCATGTACCCTGTTCTTAACGTCCAGACTGTGATAGCACACGCCAAAGGTCTCGCGTCCTTCCTGGACACAATCCGGCATCAAAATCCCATGGAGCTGATCAACGATGAAAAGACACTGCAGTTGAAGATTGTCATGTGTTGTGGCCTCGTTGTCGAAGAGCATGGACACAGCGAAAAGGCAATCCGACTATATGACAGCATGGAAATGGTGCTCAATCGGAAACTCATGGCCGAGGCGGCTGACGTCTCGACTCTTCCCTTGTTGGCGCTTGTCGCGGGCTACCGGTTCTTGTCCAACGACGAAGTTCTAGCTTGGCGTGTGATGGGCCAGGTTGCGCGCTTGTGTCTGGAGTTAGGCATCCACCAAAGGATGGGCTTGGTGAAGATTCAAGATGAGGATGAGCGCAAAAACGCACTCAATAGTTTCTGGTCAGCCTATGTTCTGGATCGACGATGGGCTTTCGGAACAGGTCTGCCCTATGTTGTCCAGGATGAAGAGATTGATGTGGAACTTCCCTTTCCGGTATGTCCTGTGGTATATTGACAAGGTCCTAGCTAATGGGGTAGGATGAACATCCATATTTAGTAGCCATGATCACCTACTCCAGAATAGGAGCCAAGGTCTGGCGGCAGGTATCACATTTCGGTCCCGTTCTTGCACGAGACTTGCGACAAGAAGAGCTTGAAAACCTGGACCAAGAAATCCTTGGGTGGTATGAAATCGTCCCCGAAGAGGTCAAGGTCCGGAATTGGGGCAAGGACAAGAACATGACGTCGACACCTTCCTACAACCTCCAACGTCTCAGGATCTGGACATACCTTCGACTTAACCAGGTGAGTCTCATGGCTAATTATTGACTGACTATGCTGACAATTTAGATGCGAGTCTGGCTATATACACCCGTGCTACACAGCGCAACGAGCATCATGGCGAATCCGGTGCAATCGCAACGCGTTGTGGACATTGCCAAGGATACGATTCGATATCTCAGTCATCTGAACAACACGACAAATCTATATCGACGGGTTCAGGTGTTTTATCATCAGTTTTTGACTTCAGCTATTGCTGTTGTATTCCTCGCCTCGGTACATGCACCCGTCCGCTTCAGCGCCGCTTGCCGAGAAGAGTTTTACATGGCGCTCGAGTTGGTCAAGGATCTTTCCGCCAAGAGTTGGGCGTCACAACGTCTCTGGCGAACCATTCGATCTCTCAAGGATGTCGCACCCCGATTCGGGCTAAATCCAGAGGACGATCCGCAGTCAACAGCAGCGTTGGGGATGATTGGACTTGCTCGAGGTCATGTCGATCCTAGGGGCGGTCGACCATTCCGGAAACCGTCCATGGTGAGCCAGTCACAGGCCGCGACGCCTGACTCGATGGCTCACAATGGATCTAGGATCCAAGCGGAAATGTCACAGATTTTCGAAAGATACGTGGGGTTGAATGGGTTTCAATACGGCAGCGAAGGACAAGTACCTGCCTCGAATAGTGAGATGTCGGCATCAGAGGCACCAAGCATGTATGGGACGGATGGGACGGTATTTCCACATTTTAAGGAAATGTATTAACGAATGGCTTGGGAATGGGGTACGGGTGACCTTTCAGAAAGGACCCTGGTTTGATAAGGCCTTGATGGCGTAGATAATCTCTAAATATGAGCCGATGGCTAAGAATTGTGAAACATGTCTGGTTCTTACAGTGTGCCACGCAATCCACACAGTATCATCTCCAAACTGTCGTGTTTGGACTGGGTCATCATCTTCGTCATCAAAGTCTCATCATCATGGCCCTTTTCCATATCGACGCGCGAGTGGCTGTACTTTTTGTAGTGTCCGCCGCAATAGCCCTAGTTGTACGGGCCAAAACAACGCAACAGATCACCCGCAATGGGGTAGCACTCAGGTAGATCTACGTCAACGAGGTGACGGAGACAGACACTCACTCACCTTGCCAGGAAACCTCCCAATACCCTCCCGCTTGTCGGCAACGGGATCATCTTTCTCCAACCTCGCCAGCGCCTCTTTTCGTGGTTCGCCAAGTGCGAGCGGCTCTTTGGTTATGAGACGCTGGAAATTTCCGTCCCCTCACTTCCACCGGGCGTCATCATCAGCGACCCGCGCAACCTCGACTTTGTGCTCCGCCACGAGGGCATCTTTGAGAAGGGCGACTTCTTCAAGCAGCGCTCGTGGGATCTCTTTGGCCATGGGATCATCAATGTCGACGGCGAGCTGTGGCGGCTGCAGCGCAAGGCCGGGCTTCGGTTTCTCGCCACGCCGACGCTGCGTGCGCTAACGAGTGTTGAGCTACCGCAGTACTTGGGTCAGGCTATTGCTGTTTTGGCAGACAAGGCTCGCGGCTCTGAGCGTGTGGATTTGCAGGCTGTCGTTCATGAGGTGACGACTCAGTTGATGGGCCGGATGGCGTACAACATGGACATGCACGCGGATGACGATTTCACAATGGCCTTTGAACACGCCTCGGGCGCTACCTTCGAACGCTTCCAGAACCCGCTGTGGTTTCTTACCGAGTATATCACAGGGACTCGGCTGCGGCGATCCGTTTCTATTGTCAAGGACTACGGCAAACGTATCGTGGCCAGTGCTGTGTCTGACCGCGCCGCTGGCAAAGAGAGCCGATCTGAGATCCCGGGTAGCTTGATACAGTCGTTGCTGGATTCGATCGGTGACGAGAACCTTGTCGCCGATGCAGCACTCAACTACCTCTCCGCCGGCCGTGATACCGTTGCTCAAGCCTTGACTTGGACTCTGTACCTCCTTATGAGGCATCCCGACGTGGCAACTACGCTCCGCAAGTCGATCCGGGGACTCGAAGGATCCGGTCTCGCAGAGAACCTCACACCCATCCAACTCCCCTACGCTTTGGCTGTGTTTTACGAATCCCTCCGTCTCTACCCCCCCATCCCGTTCGAGATGAAGCAGGCCCAACAAGCAACCACGCTCCCTGACGGCACAGCCCTCCCCCGCAATGCCATCGTCGTCTGGAGCGCCTGGGCCATGAACCGTTCTCGCGACACGTGGGGCCCGGACGCCGACGACTTCCGGCCGGAGCGGTGGCTGACGGAGGACGGCACCGGAGTGACGCAGCGCTCTGCTGCCGAGTTTCCCGTCTTCAACGGCGGGCCGCGGATCTGTCTGGGTAAGCGCATGGCCGAGTTGGTCGCGGTGCAGGTACTCGCTCGACTGGTGGATGAGTTTGACTTTGTCCCAGCGTTTGAGGGCGAGAGGGTGAGTAAAAGCAGTTTAACATTACCCATGGAGGGTGGACTACCTGTGTATGTACAATGCAGGCAGAAGCAATACGAGGCGGATTAATGAATAGTTGCTATCTTGGTATCTCATGCATGATCAGTCAAATGTAATCTTGGATCCCGCAAACGACGCCGTCTTTTGCGCGTCCTTGGCCTTCTTCATCGCCTCCCAACTGGGGTGCAACACACCCTCGTCATCCTTCTTTGGCGGCGGTTTAGGTGCCTCCTCGGTCGACGCACCCTGGCGCATGAGCGGGTTTCGAATTCCCTTCTTCCACGGCCCGCCCTCGACGGCTCCACGCTTCATGTCCCAGCCCGAATCTCGGCCGCCCTGGGGCTTGACGGGGTTCTGCAGGTGCTTGGCCTTTTCGCCAAACTTCTTCTCCCAGATGGCCTGGCGTTGGCGCTGGCCGCGGCGCTTCTTGGCCGGTGCGACGTCGACGTCCGAGGCCGACTCGGACCCGGAGATGTAGCCGCCCATAAGGGATGGGAGGAACGTAGAGCCGGTAGGACGGGCGGGCACTGTAGACCTTTCCTTTTTCTTCTTTGCGGGTGGTGGTGAGGGTGAGCCAGAGGATTCTTCATCTTCCGAGTCGGAGTCGGCGCCTGAGCCGGAGAGAGAAATGTCGTCGAGGTTGACCTTTTCCTTTCCTTTGAACCGTTCGAACCGCTCATCGTCAAAGTCTTCGTCTTCGTCTTCGTCAGAAGAGCTACCCAGTAGGTGGTCGTATTTAGAGAATTCATCCTCTTCGGCAGCCTCATCCTCGCTGTCAAGCTCTGGGCTAGGTTCGTCGGAGAAACCTTGGAATTCTGATTCATCATCGACCTCCTCCACTGACTCCATCACGTCATCTTCATCCGCACCCACATTTTCCACCTTGGGTATTTGATCTTCTTCCTTCTCTTGCTTGCCCTTGCGCACACGCTTGCCTTTTTGGGGGACGGGTACGTTGAGGATCTCGCAGACAGCTGCGATGGCACGATCAACAGCCTGCCTGACCTGATCGCGGTTATACAATCCACTCGTGACATTGTGAAGGGCGACGCGCTCCTCTTCCGAAAGGTCTGGTTTGGCGAGGCCGCGGCGGAGGTCTTCGGGGAGGTTTTCGGATTCGGCAATGGACTTGATCTTGAGGAGGGATGCGTGCATGTGGGCGCGAGCGGTCTGGTGGAGGTCGAGCGACTGATTGGTTAGTCAATTGTACTTCAAGCGACTGTGTCAATTACCTTGAGGACAGTAATCTCGCGATCTAGCCGCTCCTTCTTGTTAGGCGTGATGCCATTCTCGCGGACACGCTTGCTGAGACGCTGGCGCTCGAAGCCTTTGGCCGCCTTGAGGGCGCGAGAGATGTCGTCCGAGTGTTTGTTGAGCAGCTCTTGCAAGCTAGGCTCGCCGGAGCGCTTTCGTTTAGACATTTGTTGTGGTGGTTGGCTATGGACGGTTAACTTGTGATGCGAACAGAAAATTAAGTCAAAGAATTCTAGGCCGTGCTGATAATTCAGTGATTACAGTGCGTTTCTCGTATTTTAGGTGTCATACACAGTGCGAGGCTAGGGACGCAACTGGGACTCCCGATCCTTGCGTGCCCACTTGGCGATGGTGGGGTGCCGATGCGGGGAGATGGGACTGCGTCATGAGGAAAGATTTGGCTCGTCTCTTATCTCTTTCTTGCATTGCAACCAGAGTTGTCCAGGCTCATCTTTTGTTCGAGTTCAAGTCAGGTGGCTCAGCTAACACCACTCGAAACTGTTGCCATGACGTCCAACACAAGCGCCTCTCTGGAGGCAAACTCTCTGTTTAATGTGAATGGGCTAGTAGCTCTAGTCACTGGTGGCGGCTCTGGTGAGTCACTTTGTCCAGTTAAGAATATCACTTACAAGAGTAGGCATCGGACTCATGATGACCAAGGCACTCGCTGTCAATGGTGCGGCCAAGGTCTATATCGCAGGACGTCGACTCGAGGTCCTCCAAGAAGCAGCTGCTGCTATCGGTCCCAATGTGATACCTGTCAAGTGCGATGTAACGAACAAGAGCAGCCTTGAAGAGGTGGTGGCATTCATCGAAAAAGACGCAGGATACTTGAACCTCTTGGTGTGCAACGCAGGCGTCGCTGGACCTCAGGTCAAGCCCATCACCCTGGACACTACACTGGAAGAATGGGCAAACCAAAACTTGGCCCACGACTTTGACGCCTATGTACAGCCGTTTGCCATCAACACAGCAGCCGTGTGGTTCACAGCCATGACGTTCCTGAAACTACTGGACAAGGGAAACCAGGCTGGCAACTTGCCGCAGTCTGCGCAAATAATAGTGACGAGCTCTATTGGGGGCTACAACAAGAAGGCACCCGGAGGGTTCGCGTACGGCCAGAGCAAGGCGGCGGCGACGTTGGCCACAAAACAGTTGTCCGTTGCATTACCGCAGTGGAATATCCGGCAAGTACCATTGAGCATTGAGGCCTCCGTTCGATTCCAGTTGAACGAGGATGAGTGATATTCTGCGGCATTGTTCGGTTATTGAGATCTTGGCTGACCCGGCGGTGTATTCAGGGCAAATTGTATCGCGCCAGGGTGTAAGTCCGATTGTTGTTATTGTCTCTCATTTGCCGTCGCGTAACCTCGGATATCGTCGTGTCCTCTACTGACGACAACAGTGTTTCCGAGCGAGATGTCGGCACCCATCGTCGACCTCTACGGAGGCGGGGAGGGTGCGCCGAGCGGCACAGTGAGCGTCCCTGCAGCGGCTGTTCCGATGCGGCGGTTGGGCGACGAGCAAGACATGGCGGGCACGTTGCTGTATCTCGCGTCCCGAGCGGGCGCCTACACCAACGGGGCAGTGGTGACGGTGGATGGAGGCCGGCTCGGCAACTTCCCGGCCGCCTTTTAGGATGAGGGTGAGGTTGAGGAGGCTGATGCGGCGGCGGTGGAGTCGTTGAGTGGGCCGCCGGACATGAAGTTGCGGCTTCATCCTTGACCCTGTCCTTTCAAGAGAGTCAACGCCACATAGCCTTGGGGTTTGATGATGACCCTGGGAAATGGGCGAATCATGACCCCGGGTTGAATCAGCGTCGCCTGATGGGCTAGTTTTCGGTAGGGCTACAGGTCAAATCACTCCATCGTGGTGCCTCTCCCGCACATCCAAAGCCGGCCGACCAACCAGCCTCCTCGGGATGGTGTTACAACCGGAGAACAGCAGGAGACGGGGAGTCAACAGGGAATCAAAAGGAGCGACAACCTTTTTGGCTTGCCCTTTTTGGAAGGCGTCCAAGCCGACGCGTTCTGGGAGCTATTCTGGGCCACGCAAGACGGAAATCTGGCGACTTGTCATGTTATCCGAGAGCAGCCCTCAGGAGCGAGCTGTTTATTGCACCAATAGAGAATTTATGGGGTGACTCTCACTGTTCTGTGAGCATAAATGCTTGTTTCGTTCTCATACAGACTTTGTCCCGTGCTCTATCATACCACCTAGAGTTCCCCCACAGTCCAGACCCCACAGTCCAGATGTTGACCGAAATCTACAATGTTGATATCTTGTCGATGACGTCCCTCGGTCTAGCTCGGTCAACGACGCTCCGAGTCCGATGTTAGCTCCATTGACTGATAGATGATATTATATTTCCACGCAAAGACCGGCAATGCAAATAGCGGCGGTCTAACTTGACATGCACCTGAGACCTACAACCTGCAGGCTTGCATTGGTTTGCGTTTGAAGGTGACCACCCCCAATCGACCCAAGTAGACCATCCCAGTCCATCCACTCCACTGCAGATTTGCCTAGGCTGGCGAGACTAAGCCCCGAAAGTGCCGCCATCTTGACCTCGTCTCCCTGTCTCCCCCAACGTAGGTCCGATTACGTTGTTGACGGGCGCCGAGCAGGACCTGGCATTTGGGGTTGAGTTGATGAGGTTTGGGGGTTGGGGTAATAAGGTTAGCAAGCTGTTCCTCTTCTATGTTCCATCTTCTATCTTCACTCCCTGAGGTCTTCCCTATCTTGTTGAAGCCCCAACCTGTCTCACCGTACGTAGCGTCCTCGAAATTGCGACTCTATCCATGAAGGATTTACATACCGACCGGGACTACAGGGGACTTACAGAGGGGCGGACTTATACAGGGCCGCCTCCACTCCCCCAAATCAAACCCCACCATGGCCCAAGCTCCGTTGCATCCTGGCATGGACGCTATCTGGGGGTTCTAGGGCCCCCGTCCCGCTGACTGTGGGCGGTAGACGCTGGAAGCCTGCTGTAGGCGGCACGCTATAGGACAGCTGCAAGCCACTGGCCGAAGACGCCGCGACTGGGATAGCGGCTTGTTGGGCTCGCGGGAAGTCTAGACGGGGCGGATAAGGACTATGAATGCCGTGGAATGGAGTCGACGTGTTTGTGCTACACGGATGTCCGTACAATTTTCTTGTTGTTGATGTTGAGCGACGTCATTGTTCTGCAAGCTCACCTAGCCATGCATTGCTGCCATGTGCTGTCGCATGCGGCCATGGGTTAGCCCATGTAAATCCTGAGTAGCCGACAACAACACCATGGTGAAAATCCCATTCTCGAGGAAGCCGAATATACATGTCCGGAACACATGGGTTTCCAAGCCCAACCCGAAAACACGCAATCTCAATCTCTTTACCTTGGTCCCCGGACTTGCAACCCCAACATGACGTGTTGCAGTGAGCCCATGGCCACCCATAACCGAGGATGCTCACCAAGCACGGCCGTGTTGCGGCTTTAGGCTTCACACGGCTTTGACACGGCTGGAGGTGACGGTCTGGGCTCGGTCTAGAGAACCCATATTTCTCCGTCACCGAGCGTATCAACTGTCTCAGAGGCGCAGTTCTTCAGTGTTCGATGGTTCCTCCTACGTACCACTACGTACAACATGGAACTGACATGGTCTTTTTGAGCTGGTTCCTGGCAAGGGGTATCCTAGCAGCTGCGTGATCGGACCGTACATGATGCACCTCATCCATCTAGTACGTCGTCTTTGCTGATGCGAGGTTTTTATCGCATGTCTGGCGGCTTACACGGGGGACGTTGGAGTATCGACCGGGGAAACCAGGTTTTTCAGCAAATCTTGGGGAACTTCGGGGGCGTGGTCCGAGCCGAGCTGTCGTCTATATTGGCGAGCCGAGCAGCGACTGGTGGAGTGAAGTCTGGAGGTGGAGGAGATGGTGGAGAGGACTTGGGGTGATTGAGGAGAGACGGCCCGCAATGAATGAGCCGCGTGTGGAGGCTTTGATGCTGCTTGATGTTGGTGTTGGTGTGGTGGTGGTGCTGCTGCTGCTGGGTGATGCTTGTTCGTTTCTCCCTTTTGTTGGGTCCATCGACTGAGTAGTGTTACTAGCGTGCGCTGATAACAATTGAGGTTGAGATTCTGATATCTGCTCACCATCTTTGATACACTCAATGGTAGATATCTGCGACACGCACATGTCCATCTGAACACATGGCATTATCAGCTCTCACTCCTGGTGCAGCACGCCAATCATGCAGAATTGCAACACATCTGCAAGCCCCCGTGGCAAAAAGCAAACATGCATCTTCCAGACCTGCAAGCCCGCGACAAAACTCCTTTAGAGCCCGCCCCGGCCCGGCACCGGGGTTCAGCTGGGGGACCTGGAAGCTTTTTGCTGGGGGATGTCCCCGGTAGGGAGTGATGAAGTCGAGCAGCGGCACCAGCGGGCGTTGGTGGCGTGGACTGTGGGCGGTTTTTGCGGTGATGGATCTGATGGCTGTGATGGATGGCCGTGATGGATGGCGGTTTTTCGGTTGCACTGTGAGAAGATGGAGGTTGCTTGGGTGTTTCTGGCGTGTCTTGACTGCATGAGCCAGCATCAAGCATCAAGCTTTCAGCCGTTGGATCCAGGACCATGGCCATCCATCCATCCACTCAATCTGAACCACCACAGATGGTCAGAAATCGTTCTCCGACTGGATGGATGTCACTTTGGGTCAAGCAGGGGCCGTCGGCTGCCATTTGTCGAGTCGGACATTCATTCTACCACCAATTCTGATTACCACGGTTACCCTGCATCAGAAGCTAAGAGTACCCCGGTGTTGATGTAGCCGAATCCCCACCAGACCCGCGGAACCATTCTCATCGCGCCGATTTGTCGTGCCTGTTCTCCCCTCTTTGGCCTCCCCTCTTTGTCCTCTCAAAGGGCTTCCGTCATGGCCAGAATCCAGCCAGCTCTCGGCCTCCACTCTCGCCATCCACTCTCGCAACGACGCATGCACGCCTCCCCGCTAATCGACGAGTAGCTGCCAGTGAGTAGAGGGCATAATCATCGTACAGCGCTGTAGCCACTGCCCACGCCCGCAATAGAAACGCCTTCTTCATCAACAGCCGGCCCGGGCCAAGAACCCAAAACAGCTTCCGCGTGAAGCCGGGGGGAGCATTGAAGGAGCATTTCCCCTCCCGCAATGACGACCATGACGATCCTGGTGGTAGCTCGCGGTAGCACTGCGTAGTAGCTCAGGTAGCTTGCCGCTTTCCTGTCAGTTGATCGCCATCCCTTCCCTCTCAAGCAGCCTCCCGAACGGCCCCAAACCCAAACCCCGCAGTTGCCAGCCACGGTGGATGGGCGACTCCCGGCGTGTATGGCTGGGCTGCGGCGGAGGGTGTGAAGAACGAGAGGCCGACAGTGGTTGAATGTGACGCTGTGGCAGCATCGTCGGCTTCGTTGGGCGCCTCCAGCCAGTCGCGGCCCCTCGAAAGCATGAACCGCAGAGTGCGGCAGAGTCGCCAGGCTCGCCAGAGTTGCACTACGAGACTGCTACCACCGAAAACACCATGGTCTGAACCTTGGGGCCTCGGTGAGTGCTCGGCGTGTCGCAATGTTGCCTGCTCTGCTGTACCATTGACCTTGCGGTACAACCCGTGCCGTTGCGCTGCAAGACCGTTCTGCTTTCGCTGTACCTCGGAAGTCTCGTACCTTTGACCTTGGAGTACAACCTACTCGTGATACTGCCTCTGGTGGAGGGTCGCCAGTGGTTGATATCAGTTCAACCGTCGTCATCGCCGCTGGATAAATATCACAGTAACCTCCCTCCTCTCCCAAGTCTGAATCCCAATAGCCCATAGCCCATTACCATTCGTGATCCCCCTCCTTCCCCGCGTCTTGGTCCATTGCTACACCCGTCCCTTCCCGTCGTCTGTGTCATCGCACCCTTCTCCTCTTCCTCGGTCTCGACGTTGATCATTAGACTTCACCCGCTGGTTTCCATCTCTCTTCTTCCACCTCTCTACCTACGCCTCTCCTACTCTCCACCGCTTTGACACTTCGATCCGACCGACGTCCCGTATTCTTCCTCGAATATCAGTTTCCGAGGACCTAGTCTTAGTGGCTGTTTCCGAGTCAATCCGTCAGCATATCCGGTCTCCAGCAACACCAAGCTCCCGCCCATCAATCTCCGTCGTACAAGTCCCGCCGGCTCCAGCCATTCAACCCCAGCTATTGCCCACGCCTTTGCGCTTGCGGCAACATCTGGAGCCCCACGTCGTCTTTCTCGTCGGATCCCGCGCCTGAAACCTCCCAGGTAAGCCAGCTTTCTTTCGCGTCTGGAACGTCGTCGTCCACTCCCAGTCTCCCAGTCTCCCAGTCCCCCAGTCCTTAGCCCTGCATTTGCTCCTAGCAATGATCCACCCGACAGGCGGAGCCCTGGCGGCATTTCACTCCCGCCGATTCACACCCCTCCCCGTCTTAGTGAGACACCCTCCCAGCTTCGTCTCCCAGCTACGTCTCCCAGCTTCGTCTCCCAACTTTGTCCCCCACCCAGGGCCGGACCCGTCCTCCGGCCGAGGTGAAGGTCCGGATCTGTTCGGCCTGTCCTAGATGCCATGGATGTCATGGTATGAGAGTCTTTCAACCGTGCTCGGCTGTAAGCCACACCTCCACCCATGGATGACATATATTAAACCCCGCGACTTCCACATGTTGCGCACTTACACCAACCCGATCATCCATCTGATCACCATCCGATCAACTCATCCCTGCGCCAGCCATAGACCACGTCTTGTTGAATCAACTCTCTAATACCAAGGACCAATTAGCATCATGAGTTCTGGAACCCTCAAGCAGGCGGCTGAGTCCGCTCGATCCAAGACCAGCGAGGTCATCGGAGCTGCCAGAAGCGATTCTGCTGCCATCGCCACCGATCTACTTCACTCTCCTGTCATGAGGGCTGCCTTGCCTTTTATCAATGGTGGCATCAGCGGTATGGTGGCCACTTCGGTCATTCAACCCGTCGACATGATCAAGGTCCGCATCCAACTCGCCGGCGAGGGATCTGCAACTGGCCCCAAGCCCACCGCCATGTCCGTCACTCGACAAATCATCTCCAGCGGCAAGGCTATGGACTTGTACACTGGTCTCTCAGCTGGCCTCCTCCGACAGGCCGTCTACACCACTGCCCGCCTCGGTATCTTTGACACCTTGATGAAGAACCTCACTGCCAAGGCCAAGGCCGAAGGACGACAAGTCGGCTTCTCCGAACGAGCTACTGCCGGTCTCACTGCCGGTGGTCTCGCCGCCATGGTCGGCAACCCCGCTGACCTAGCCCTCATCCGCATGCAGAGTGACGGCCTCAAGCCTCTCGCCGAGCGAAAGAACTACAAGTCGGTCATCGACGCCCTAAGTTCCATCGCCAAGAACGAGGGCATTGCCGCCCTGTGGTCCGGAGCCGCCCCCACCGTCGTCCGAGCCATGGCCCTCAACTTTGGCCAGCTCGCCTTCTTCAGCGAGGCCAAGGCCCAGCTCAAGGCAAACACCGACCTCTCCACCCAGGCTCAGACCCTCAGCGCCAGCGCCATCGCCGGCTTCTTTGCCTCCTTCTTCTCCCTCCCCTTTGACTTTGTCAAGACCCGCCTCCAGAAGCAGCAGAAGGGCCCCGACGGCAAGGTCCCCTACCGCGGCATGGCAGACTGCTTCACCAAGGTCGCCAAGCAAGAGGGCATCTTCCGCTTCTACCGTGGTTTCGGCACCTACTACGTTCGCATTGCTCCCCATGCGTAAGTCCCTTGGTCTTTTGTCCTATCAGTCGCTAACTCTCGCAGGATGGTGACGCTTATCGTCGCCGACTACCTGGGCTTCCTCACCAAATAAACATGTCGAGCATGACTATGAACATTCGTTGGAATAGATTTTCGTATCAGGCGTTGGGTTAGCATTGCTGGGGTTCGGGTCGGAACTGTGGGATACCATTGTTGTCTTTTGAGTTTCTTGTCTCTTTGAGTAGCTGGTCTGAATAAAAGAATGTACTTGCTTGCGTGTTGTTCTGAGTGGACCAGCGTCCTCGACTCAGACTCCTAATAGCATGTTGCTTCATATCCCATGGGTCCTTTCTTCCGTCACATTACGGCTTCTGGAGGCAGCATTCAACTGTCGGGAACCCTGTCAATTGACACTAACAGCCCCCAATCCATACCAGAACAATCCCCCGGGCCAGCACCAGGTATCAACATCGTTTCTAGTGTCTGGTGTTAGCAATCAAGCGACTGTCTGAGCGGGTCTAGGGAAGACATACCTTAGTCCAAACGGGAATGGAGGCAGCACAAGCAAGGGCAGGGACTGGGAACAACGCCACGACGGGCGCGGTCGACGGGCTTGTAGATTAAGGCGGGGGCATCGGAGGTGCTGGCGAACACTGGAGGGTCGAAACCGATACCGGGAGAGAGCAAGAGAGTGGTGATGGGAGTCGAGAATGGGATAGAGCCGGAGGCCCTGCCCTGTTCGATTGCCTTTTTGACTGAATTCCAGGTCTTGAGCGAATAGAATTCGGCCGGGAAGCCGGATTCTACTCGGGCTGTTTTCCAGTCTGTGATGCCTGGCCCAGGTGAGTTGATTATCCCCCGTTCCATGAGGTCCATCTTCCAGTTGAAGAAGGCCATTTCCCGATTTAAGTAGGAGGTAATGTCGGCGTCACGCTCAGCAAACTCCGCGGCTGTGAGATTTGAATTCGATGGAGCTGGGTCAGATGGAATCGGGATGTCAATCAGGTTGTCGTTGAAGAGGATCGCAAGGTCTTCGGCGCTCAACTTCCCTGAGAGGGTTGACCAAGGATGCGAGGCCAGCCACTTTCTCTTGAGGGCCATAAGGGCGAGGTCAACGGGCCGGTCGGGGTCTTGATCCATTTCGAAATTGGCTTGAGTTGAAGAGAAAAGAAAAGATGAGGATCATGTTTTCATCCGGGCGAGTGAGGATTTTAAACATGTTGCACGGTGGCAATGATTCACTGCTGACATCTGCTTACAGCGTCTCTTCTCACTCGGTCCTCACTTTGACCGAGAGAGGAACCCTTCTGAGAGATCAGATTCATCTCACCTGACATTACCAGCACAATGAATTCAGCGTGAGTTGAGTAAATATGTAGAGACTTTCCAGGGGTGTTGTTTTTGTCCTGCATTGGCAACGCAAGACGGAGGGCGAGCTCCTGCAGCGATCAGTGGAAGTATGAACGCCGCTTGTAGTGCCAATTCTCTCTTCTTCAGTTACTTCATGGGCTTTTGAAGGCAGCATTTCGGTTGAGGCTGCTTTCATGTCTATTGTTAGCCACCGTAAGGGCGCCGTTCCATCTTGTCCAAGTCCAACACAGCACCATACCAACACGCATCAAATATTAAGGTCTTATACTGCCTCAGGCCCGCAAAGACACTCTGCATCCCAGTTGCAAGGGAATCGAAGAATATAGACATACCTTGTTGGGATCCAGGCCGGGGGCGGAGGCAGCAGAAGCTACACAGTTGGGGGACAACGCTGCGGGGTCAGCGGGTGGGAGCTCAAGAGGGGGGATCGGGAGGTTAGAGCGATGGCAACGGCGGCGTTGTTGAAGCAAGGTGAGGACGAACGAGGCTGCGAAGTTCTTTGGCGGCCTCAGCCACAGTGTATTTGCTGCTGTTGTTGTTGCTATATTGTTGTTGTTGTTGTTGCTGTTGTTGCTGTTGTTGTCGCCGCTGTTGTCGAACGGCAAACGGAGGGAAAGGCGGAGACGGTCGAAGCCAACTTGTTGGGGTCCTTTGACGCCCACCGGATCCGAAGTAGAGGCAAAGCAGGCCTGTCGGAGTCTTCAGGTGCCCGCCGGGTTCAAAGTCGAGGCGAACCTGGCTAGTCAGTGTACTCAGGTGCCAGACTCGGGTGTAGTCGGTGTGTTGAGGGTCTCTGGATTGCCAGACTCAAATCAGAGTCGAAGCCAGCTGATCGGGGTCCTCAGGTACATAAAGGCTTCAGAGTAGAGGTCAATCAGGCCTTTGGAGTCTTGCGGGAGCCTCAAGGGGAAACGAGCCCATCAGGGTTCACAGGCACCCACTGTCTTCAAAGTACAGGCGAAGCCGCCCTTTTGAGTCCTTGGTTATGACTCTGAACTGCTGGCTCACCTTCCCGATTGCTTGCATGGCTGTAGGCGCAGAGGCTAGATTCGCCTCATCCTCTCCAACATCAAAGTAGTGTTGAAGCCGATTTGCCAAACACGAACCTCACAAACTAAATACACTCTAGAACATAGAGGAGCAGTTGATCTGATCACGATCCCTGGGTTCAAATGCGGAGAGAATGGTGTTTGTGGCTGAGTAACGGGTGGCATTGATGAGGGGACAATGCGGGTTGTCCTGGTGAACTGTATTTGAACAAGGCCAGCGTCTTAACTTGGCTCTCCTTTTTCAGCTAGCCTTCCATTAGTTTACGATCATGGACGGGTTTCTAGTCAAAAGGGCTTCTTTCATTCATCGTCTTGAAATGCGCTCGCGTGTTGATCTACATGGAAGTTGGACAATGGCCGCAGAGATCATATTCACGGCGAGGCTGAGGTGACCGGTGTGATCAACTGAAGTGAATGCGTGGTGCCCTGAAATGATTGTCTGACAGTCGTTCATAGCTGGCAGTCACTTGGTGATGCATGTCATTGCCCGCAGCCGAGGACAATCACTCAGCTTCTTCTGATTCACTTTTCTTCTGATTCACTTTCTTCTGATTCACCTTTCTTCCAGTTTACTTTTCTTCAACTCACTTCTTCAACTTCACTCCTTCAACTTCACTCCTTCAACTTCGCTTCTCCTACTTCACTTCTCATCCACCTTTCTTCTCATCTACTTCCGTTCATTTCTTCCTTTACCATCCATCACCACCTGTACCATGACTACCGACGAAGACTTTTGGAATATATACGACTTCGAGATGAATGTCAATGAAAAAATACCGTCTCCGCCGTACACTGCGGAGTACCAGGATCATTGGCAACAGCCGTACCCCGAATATGGGTCTTGCGAGTTAGGTTGGCATCTCATCACTCGCGAAGAAGTGCTGGCCTCCATGGACGACGATCCACCGGGCACCATGTATCTTGCGGGTCCTGAGTGGTTTGACGATCAACTGGTGCAGGCATTTAATGATTCTGTTGATCGTCAAACCACCGACTACTTTGACGACGACCTCACTCCGGCCTCTACCCCGGCGACACCTCGCCGTGGTCGTCGTCGCCGCGCCATCGATGGCCTTCTTCGTGGTTTCCGACTTATCCTATGCTGCCAGTGACGGGTGGCTGTGGCTTCTCAGATCCCGGCGCATCAAGTAGTGTTGCGCTTGTCCTACAGTGACCTCATGGGTCTCTCAGGTATGTTATCACTTCACAGATTCCCATTCAACCAGGGTAGTGAACAGTTTAATAACATAGGATCAGGAATACGAAATCACCACTGCGGTCACGACGAGACAGTGTGCTGCTAGAAGAGAGTGTGTCATGGACAGCAATACGTTGGTTGTTAGGAGGCATAGGTGATGCCAGTTGGGGGAAATAATTACGAATCTCATGCAATCAAAACACTGAACTCTTCCCCACTCTAATTCTCTCCTCGTCCAGTCCATCGCCGTTCCCTCTGTGTGCTCCAAGGACCTCAATAGGCTCTCCACCTCTTCCCCAAACCAAGTAGCACCCGAAGCACCTCCTTATAAAGATTAGGCTTGTATAAAAACTCTACACACGGAAATGGAAATGGAGGCGGAGACGTATGGAAGAGTTTCAGCGTCAGAGCCACGTCAATGCAGCTCATGCTGCTTGGCAGCGACTGGGGATCGAGGATGGCAGGAGGAGGCTCGGTGGGAAACGGCCCTGGAATCTTTAAACTCCAGGCCTCTGGCGAAAATCCTCTGGTCGTGAAGGCCGCTTCGTGCCAAGTTCTAAGTGCACGCTATCAGCAGGGGCGGCTTCGGCAACGGAGAGTCGGGTCGGAGGAGGAAACAGAGAAGCTAAGTTCGGGGGGCGTAGTCGCCACAATTTCGTTATTGTTGCTACTCTTGCCATTAGTGACAGTGTAGACTGGTATTAGAGGCCCGAAAGCTCTAATAAACATACAAATTGTGAGGGAGAAAGCGATGAGACGACGCGAGACGAGAGACCAACAGTTCCAAACGCGATGGGGAGGAGGGCAAAGTCCCCAGACAAGGCGGCTACTGCCGGCCGGAGCAGCAGTAGAAGAAAGAATAGAAAGAATCGAAGAGGGAGGAGCTGATATGGACCATCCACGGGGTGGCGGCTCAGGACCAGACAACGGCGAGGGGCGGAAGAAGGCAAGGCTTAGCCGCTGAAGCCGCGTCGACATCATTGCTGCTATTGCTTCTGCTGCTGCTACCAATTCTGCTGCTGCTGCTACTTCTGTTGCTGCTGTCACCGCCTTTGTTGCTGTCGTTGCTGCTGCTTGCTGGCGGGGGGGAAGTCTCCGCGGCTGAAGCCGCGACAACACCGTTGGTGGTGGTGTTGCTGTTGTTGTTGTTTCGATTGTGTGCCTAAAGCTCGCATGTGAGATTCCAGTCAGAGTAGTGATGAGAATCTTGTCGCAGGCCAGGTGCTTACCAGACGTGATGCAAACACAACCTGGGCTTCGGTAAACGTGGTTGTGATGATGAAGCGAAAATCCAACAAACGTTGGCAATTCAGACGCCGTCATTATCAGAATGGCCGGGTGTGTCGGTCACCTGTCGTCTTCTAGAGTTCTTTGTCTGCAGTTGAGATACCGCAATTGCGACAAGTAATACGACGCCACATAAATCACCTAGTCTCTCTTTCGATCAAGTTTTTGTGTTCTGAGTGTAGTGTTTCAAGTACTTGAATGTCCGGAACAGCAACCAATGTGTCGCACACTCTTTGTTGCACATACGGCATCTTTCTCTCCCAACCACACACCCTCCCATCCATGACCGACATGACACGTCCTCTTATTTCCGCAGATATCAAAGTCGAATTCCTGGTATACCATGTTAGTAACACATCATGGAAGGAACCGGAAAAGGGACATACCCTAGCGTGAAGGCCCCTTAAGGCCATGGTATAAGGCATGACAACATTTCTGCTGGGGCTTTGATGTCTAGGACGACGCAGTAGGCTTTCGTTTGCGAGCGAAGAGCCCCCTGAAGCCACGGACTAGACTGTGGACTAATCGCCAGCGGCGACGCTTTCGAGGTTCGGATCCTTCAGAGACCGGGGCAACGACCTCATCTTCGGCCACTTCGGCGACGTTCGTGATGGAAATGGTAGGTGGAGGGGGCATCGGAGTTCGTGGACGATCGAGATGACGGTTAGGGAACCGGCGTGGGCGCTGCAACTCCCCGCTGTCCGGTGCGAAGTGAACGGTACGACGGTCTGATGTTTCGAGGGTTGTCTGGCCTCCTGGAAGGCCCAGTCGATATATAGGAGCCTGGCACTGCTCTAGGAGGGCAGGCATGGTGGTGATGTCAGGTGCTGGGCCGACTTTTTCTGGGCTCGGGTTCCTCTTGAAGGTGATGAAGGTTTGAAGAAGGAGAAAGGTAGAGGAGAAGGATGTGAGCGAGGTCGTTGCTTTTGTAGGCGTTGCCAGTCGCTTGCAGCTGGCAGTTGCTTGCAATCCAGTCACTCCAACATCCTCAGGCACAACAAACAGCTCAGTTGGCCGTTGCCTTAACCCCCAACTCGCCTCGCAGTAAGGTATTTAAATGGCAAAGTCTACCGTGAAGGCTAGTAACCCCCGAAGAAATCAAGGAGGCTCACCAAGCCTTTCTACTAGGTTCTGGTAGTCGATGGCACCAGGTTCATTGCGTCATGGGCGTCGTGATTCTCCTCTAGTCACCTACACCTACACCAGTAAGGCCACTACGCCTGTGGACTCCTTCACTGTGCTCTTATTCTCCAAAGCCAGACCATCGCTGTCGCCGCTTCATTGACAACCTGTTCCGTCGTTTCCGTCATGTTCTTCAACCCTGCACGACACCAACGCCTCTTAGCCCACTCAAACAAGAACAAGTCATGAACGCCAACTTAGACACCACATGTAGTTGTGAAACTCGCAAACCCAGCCATCGTCTGATGATTGTTTTTCTCTTTTCTTCAGCCCATCGGAATGCCTCCACACCCGCCGAATCTCGACAGCTTCATGATCCTTTGGGGAAATTAGGTGTATTCCAAACGTGGGACAAGCCCTTCCATGAGGGTCGTCGACAGACAAATTACTCACACTGAGTTTACCTTGCCAAGCTTTCCGTCCGGGCAAACGGCGGGAGTTTTCATGCGATTTCACCTGGTTTAGCACCTCGAAGACGTATTACCGACACAGAAATTACCTCTTCCCCTCCATTCTCTCCAATCAGTAGCAACGACAATAACAATATCACCGCTGGTGATGTTGTTAGGCCTCTGGGGCCGCCTCTCGCCTACTGCGCACCGTCGTTATTGTCTTCCGGCTAAATTTATATATCACTATATTAACATCTGATCAAAGGCACCTACCATAAACAGACTCTTGGTTGGTGAAACAGCACTCTTCTATTTGAAGTGGCAACAACTGCAGAAACGCCAACAATTATGTTGTCGCGGCCCCGGTCGCTACAGCTCCTCATACCCGACTCTTCTTTGCGATCGCTGTTGATTGTATTCATTTTAGGCCTTGTCATGAAGTAACCCTCGCGGCGAAAGGCTTTCCGCCGAGGGCATAGTCTAATAATTCCAGCCCCACTACCCAACGACCCTCCTTCTACCGCCCCGAGGCCCCCTCCGATCCCAAGAAGCAGATACAGGATAGGTAAGGCTACAGTAACAGCAGCAAAAGCCGATTTGATGTGCTCTGGATGTGGATGAGATGGGGAGGAGCGCCGTTGTGGTGTCAAATGTACTGGTAACACAAAAGTGGAGCGTCCGATGACTTGTTTTGGTGGCGTCGCGAGTGACTAAATGCATGTTTCCCCCCCAAACACTTAGAATTTGCGAAAATAAAACAAGGGGGGCGAAATGAATGTAAATTGAACAAACCGACGATTTTATTTTATTTTATTTAACTTGCTATGAATGACTTGGCACGCGACAAGTAGAAAACATTACGTATCCAGGGTAGCCGCCAGGTAAATGCAACGCACGGACCGGGTGACCGACCTCACTCTGTGACCGGCGCCAGCGAGCAACGATCGCTGTGGAAGTTGCCCAGCGACGAACAAAAAGACAAAGAAGAGAACAAGAAGTATTAAAACATGACACCGAGGACTTGAATTAAGTGCATCTCTCCTGCCAAAAGAGAGGAATGATTCAGGTGTTGTCTGTAGCGGCGGGGTGCACGGACCTCGGATTTGAGTGCTGACCCACCAGAGCCGCAAAGTGGCGAGAGCCTCAATATCTCGACTAACACGAGATCGTCCAACATGAGATCGCCCACCACGGGTCCAAAAAAATCCAAAAGAATTGCCTGTGCCAAGAATCGAACTTGGATCGTCAGTGAGATGATATTGGAGTACCACAAACTGATATACTAACCATTATACTACGCAGGCAGGGCTTGCAAGCAAGCTAAGCTGTTTGTGGATGCTGAGCGATTTATTTCAATACATATGGCTGTCAAGCTTTTCCGCTACGTTTGCAGGGAGTGGGTCTAAACTAAAACTCTATTGGTGAGTTATCTGGGACGTCTCCCGTAAGAAGTAAACTCCTCCTGCGGTCATCGGCCTGGCGCCAAAAGGAGCTTACTCGCGAGGGCCAGAGGATATTCCGGGAGGAGCTCCTCCGCATCGCTCCTTTTCTCATAGTGCTCACACTGTTGATTTAAGGCAGTCCCTTAATCCTCAATGGATTCGGGCTTCTCTCCTTCTTCGATCCACCAAGGCGCTCCCTCGCCTTCCCACATCCACCGCATTCTGGCCCTCCTGGGTAGGTGGCTGGTCCCGAAACATAGGCCCCAGGAGAGTAATTAACCCTCGACCAAAGGGAACGCAAGGGAGGCAATCGAGTGCCTGATCGGAAATGAGATGTAAATGAGAATAGGTACCGTTGCAGCACCACAGAGCCAGCCCAGCGGTGCCGTCGGGCCCACCTGCTCCGGGAACAGTGGGGCCGAGAAACCGAGGGATTGACGGCGCGGGCTGGTATCCAGGCACGCGCGGTCACGTCAGGGTCACATAACCAGAAGAAAAAAGGCCAGGCCCGGCGCGACTGGCGGCGGCTAGAGGGCCTCCGCACAGGCAGCCGGAACACAAGGCAAAGACAGATAGTTGCTGGAACAACCCCCCTAAGGAGGCGCTGCGGGACCGCAGCAACTCTAAGGGGGATCTTCTTTCAGGGCTTGGACCAACGATCGTGGTGTTATCATCAGGAAACATTTGATTGAGTTGGGCGGTGTTTACGGCGACAGTGTTTTCTTGCGGCTAGGGAGCTACTTCAGGTTGGACATTTCGACAATGAGCTTCTGTTCATGGTGATTGTGTCTGAGGAACTGGACAGGGTCAGAAGATCGCGGAACAACCCAAGGAGGAGCGTCGAAATAGCCTTTTTGCTCCACATCCGAAAGGAACACAAGACCATTATGATACATCTGCAAGACATGCGACGACAGTGCTCTGAGGGTCTTGAACATTCGGGTCCGCTTAAGGTAGTGTGCCTTCCAGTTACCGCCTGCCTCGAGCCATTGAATCTTGATCGCCAATGCTCTGAGCCTTTCGACCTCGGGACTGCGTCCCATGGTCGGTGGGAGGCGAACAAATCGGAATGGGTGCGTCGTCAAATACTGGTTTCCAGTCTTTCGTATTCCCACAATTACATGAACAAATTGACGACTTTGAAAGGATGCAGCCCTGGAGATTTCGACAGGGGTATGGATCGCTTCGTGGGCATGGCAGTCGATCTTGAAGCCCTGCTCTCTCTCCACCACGGTTCGTTTCGTTCGAAAGATCTGCATGTCTTCGACCGTTTCATACCACCAGAGACACTTTGTGGTCGAAGTCGCGTTTCTAATAAAGGGAGTGCATGCAACCTTTCAAGAGTTGGCCCACACGATAGACACCCCCCTTTGAGAACCGATTTAGACCTGGCTCGCGCTCTCAGCGCCATCTCCTGCGACGCCTCTCCCTCGTCCCTCAACAACAATGACTACAGCAACTTAAAAAACAATGATGTTGTTACCGTGACTCATTCCGACTGTTCCACCCCGCCACCCACCGCCTGCTTCTCCTCGTCGACTTCCTCTTGAACTTCCTCTTCCGAACTCCCTGCTTACCGCTGTTTTCTCCTCGTTCTACGGTACATGGAAAACTATGATAAAGCTGTTGAATTGCTCGTATAGTGATGGAGCAAAGGCGCTGGCCTTCTTGTACAGTAGATAGGTATGCTAGTATCCCAACGAGAAGAAGCTGAGTGAATCAGCAGAGCTGCAGGCAGCTGGTGAAGTGGGGACCTGCATGATGAAGTGATCGCCAGCTGCGAACGACTGCCAGCTGCGAGCGATTGGGAACCGCCCGCAGAAGTGCATCAACAACCTCGCTCAGATTCCTTTCCCCTTTTTCATTCTCCTCTTCAAAACAAAATTTCTTCAACTTCAAGATGGAAGAAGTAGGCCCAGAACCCGACATCACCAGCATTCTTGCCCTCCTCGAGCGGTACCAAGCTCCCAGGCACGGTCCGGGCCTCCCAGGAGGGCACATGACCTTCGAAGAAGTAGCGCATGCTGCTAGACACTTCCCGCCAGGCAGCTGGGAACTGCTAGGTCCGAGTCCGTTTCCTCCTAGCCCTCGCGATCCTCCCGTGGCCATTACGGCCCCTCCACCCTCTCCCACTGCGGACGCTGCCAAAGCGGCCGTGGCAGTGTCTCCCAAGTCCCCTCCAGCGTCTGTCTCCTCCGTCGCAAACGGCGCCGAAACAGCCAAGGTAGATCTCGAGGCCATCGACTCCTCCCACTCGGCACCTCGCGAACGTCGCCTCTATCGCCTAGTCCGCAGCTTAGCTCGCGGCTTCCGTGGGCTTTTCTCTCGCAACCGAAAGTCGACTGCGTCGTCCTAGACAGCGAGAACTCCACGGTACGTCTTCCATTTATTCTCTTTCACAGGAAGGGTTGCTAACATAAGTTACCAGGAACTCGAGTTTAGAACTGTAGGAATGATGAGGACGGGTCATCTCGGCCATGGATGGGAGTGTGGCTGATAGCAGAGAAAGGCGCCCTGTGTGTCGGTGCGATACCAGTTACGATGCATGCAAGGCCTTAAGTAGTGAAGGAGCTTGTCTACGTACGAATAGCAATGCTCATGAGATACAATGATAACCCATATTCACTTCTTCGTCTGTTACAACACAATTCTGCTCATGTTATTATTTTCACCCCAGTAGAAGAGTGCGGGATATCTACACTGAGCCCTTCAAGTGCTGGTGTCCAGGCTGTCTTCTCCTTTGGACAACAGTAAAATTATTTCATGGTGCAGTGTCGATGATTTATTCCGCGGTGGGACGGCAGAATGTCTGCCAGTTTATTTTGGACAACGCATTCATAATATACTAGAAATGACAGTTCGATTATGTCTGGAAGGCAATGGATTACTTTTCAACATTTATTTAAGCCCATCGTCTGGTCGTTGGCTCCATTTTTGCATGTCGTCGGTTTTTCTCCCCGGCTCCCATAAGATCAATCTTGCCCTCATATCTATCTACTAATTATCATAATACCCCCATCACTTATATTGGATTAAAACAGGAGTAGTAGACATGTTGCGCTTTAGATTAGTAGAAATAACAATTGGGAAACAGAAACACAGAAGATTACTACAATTACCACGCACACTTGAGTGTCACTTAATAAGACTAAAAGATATATGGTGTAGATCTTAGACATAAAATAAGGTAAAGTGGTTCAGGAGAAATAATTTTATATTTATCCTAAGCATAAGGCATCTGTATCAGCGCTAGATGAGGGAATTATTTCATTCATCAGCCTGCTGCTCTTCAACCGGCTTCGAAGAAGAGACGAAGCAAGCCTGTGATAGTACTAAAAAGCGCCGCTGGGTTCGGAGTAGAGGCGAAGCGAGCCTGTTGGAGTGCTGCAGGTCTCTGCCAGTTTCAAAGTAGAGGGGAAGCAGCCTGAGAGAGTGCCGAAAATCCCGCCGGGTTCGAAGTAGAGGCGAGGCTGTCTTTGAACGCGCGCCTGTCGAAGTGCGGGCTCGGTAACATGTTGGGGTGCTGAAATTCTTGCCGGCTTCGAAGTAGAGACGAAGTAGGCCGTACCGCTCCTATCGACGTACAGGCTGGGCAGCCTGTCACAGTCTTTGAATCCCGCCGGCTTCGAAGTAGAGGCGAAACAACTCTTATGGGGTCAAAACAGACACCATGAGGACCAAGACTAGAGCAAGCAGACGACTGGAGAAGATCGGCTGAGTTCGTGTTAGAATGCGAGCTCAGAGCATGCGCGTGTTGAGCACATTACCAAAGTTTAGCTATCCGCTTGGCAGGCGTCATGGGGTGCCGTTGGGAAACGGTTTGCGTAGACTCGCGAGAGATTGTTGATGTTTGATGCGGTAGGGATGATAATCTAACCGGGATGATGTCAGTGTAAGTCAATATCGCATGAGTTCGTTGACTTACATACGCCGCTCTCACCTCTGACGTGAGAATTGTTCCTTCTTGGGTAGCGTTGAGAAGATGCCTACTAATGATTGTTAGACACCCTCGACAGAGACACCTCATTCCCAGCGTGACTGACTTGGGAGTGTGGCATGTGTGCATCAATGCTCAGTAAACTTCTCGTCATGGCAGGCTGCCAACCATCTCCCATAGGGAGATTCGAAGTAGAGGCGAAGCCCGAGAGCCCCAATTAAAAATTATAAAAAAAAAGAGACGAGACGAGACGAGCCGGGACGAGACAAGAGCCCAAAAAACATCCTCTAAGGGGAGGCCTCTAAGGGGAGGGAGAGCGAGGGCGGACGCCCCAGACGAGGCGCCGGCGCTGGCGAGTGGGAGGGGGCGACGGGGGAGGAGGGGAGATGGGGGGAGGGGAGGAGGAGCGTCCCCGGGGGCGACAACCCCGAACTAAGCGACGGCGAGGGCGAGGGCGGAGGGGGGAGGGAGGAGGAGGAGGAGAGGGCTCGGCGGCTGAAACCGCGACAACACCATCGTTGGTGTTGCTGCCGCTGCCACTGCTTGGCAGCGAGCAAGGCTCGGAGTGCGTGGCTGCGGCGGGAGGCGGAGGCGTGGGAGGAAATCCCCTCGCGGCGAATGCCAGTCGAGGGTTGCGTTCCCTCCTGGAAGGCCAGGCCCATGCCTGGGGGCCATGTACCGTTCCAGGAGGGCCAGGATGTTGTCGAGGTTGGGGGCGGGCGGCATCTGCAGGAGCCTCTGGAGGTGGGTTCCATGAAGTCCGGGCCCCAGGCGGAGCGTCGTTGACGAGGGCCGGTGTTGTAGCAGTCGGCGGCGCAAGGCATCGTGGAGTTGGTACGAGTTGAAGAGGAAAGAAAAGGGAGAAGTTTTCGTCTCGGGCGGGTGAGGATTTTAACCGTGTTGCACAGCGGCAGTGAATCAGTGCCGAGGTCGACTGCTTCCGCTGGTTCCTTCCCACTTCGTGCTCACTTTGACTCGGGAGAGAGACGGGCCGGCATTGTCCCTCAGAAACCTGCAACGCCGACCATCGCGAGGCCTTCCTGGAGCGGTGCATGGCCCCAAAGGATGGCCCAGGCCCTCCAGGGGGGACGCAAGCCTCGAAGAGTCGGCCTTTGCGGTCGGGGGCTTTCCGCCTGTGGTCTACTGAGACCGAGTAAAAATGACGTTGTCGCGGCTTTAGTTAACAAGCCTTCTCGTCTGATCACTCGCTGCCAAGCAGCAGCAACAGCAGAGACAGCTACAGCAATAGTAGCAACAACGATGTTGCTGTGGCTCTTCCGCTCAAACTCTTCCCTCCGCCTCTCGCCCCTCCCGGTGATGGAGGAGCGCCTTGTTGTCCGTGGATAAGATGGAGATGGATGGGAAAGTATGCACAGATAATGCCTCTCGGGCAATCAAAATGCCGATTACAAGATCAAGGCTCGGCCAGGGGGTCTTTCTATCCGATAGACATTATTTCTTCACATTATTGTATCATCAGGCCACCCTTTGGTCACCTAACTCAGCAATCTCGTTCTAATATTTCCCATGACGGGATAAAGATAAAAAATACATTATCCTTACCGTGCCGATTAATACTAGTCCCCAACTCTAACATTGGCCGCAAACAAAATTATAGGACAGTAGCAGGCAAAGGCCGAAAGTAGAGGTCAAGCTTGTGAGTATTTCGCATTCTCCGTGGGTGCTGAATTAGAGGCGATGTAGCACATCAATGTTATTTTTGTACTCATCATGCTTAAATCAGAGGCTAAGTCAGCGTGTTACGGTCCTCGGGGTTCCCGCCGGCTTCGAGGTAGAGACTAAGCGAGCCTGTGGCGGTCTTGGACTAACACCAGCTTCGAAGTAGAGGCGAAGCAATCCTTTGGACTCTTGCAGAGTTTCAAGGTGGTGGAAAAGCGGGCATGCCAACGTCCTCGGGCACCCGCCGGGTTCGATGTAGAGGCGAAGCAGGCCTTTGGAGTCTTGGGGATTCTCATCGTGGTAGAAAAGCGAGCAATTCAGGGCTCCTAATCACCCCCTCGATTCGGAGCAGAGGTGAAGATGCCCTTTTGGGTCCTTGGAGGAGGTATTATGCTCAAAGCATAGACGAGTGAGGCACGAATCCAGCCTTTTCGGGTTCTCAGGACCGCAACCGAAATATCGGCTAGGTTCCTGTTAGAATTGAGACTCAGAGCACAGATGCGTGAGGAAATTTACCCGTGTGTGACTGGAGCTCATATGGCAGGCATCCCAGGACGCTGTTGTAAGGTGACTTGCGTAGAGGCAGTCTTGTGAGAGGACATTGATGCTGGGGGCATGGTCCATTGTCGGCAGGTTTAAAGTCATGGCTCAGAACGTCTAACTCACTCCCGTCTGTCAAGGTCGGGGCTGTTTACACGGCCACTGCAGCTGAGGAATTATAAGAGAATTACACTAGATCAAAAGACTGAAGTAGCAGCTATAGTAATATTACCATTATAACTACTAGAATAATACTTAGGCTAAGATTTTATATTATATACATACCTGATGAATTTACTTATTATTCATTATTTTCTTTAGTCTATAAAGCTAATATGGCAATAAAATCACAATATTCAGGCTGTACGATTAGAGATTAAGAGTTATATGAATGGTACTACTCAAAAGAAAAACAACTCAACCGGGGGAGAGCGACGGCGCAGGCCTTGCACGAGGCGACGGAACCGGGGACGGCGAGGCGACGGGGAGGAGGAGGGAAGAATTTCTTCGGCCGAAGCCGCAGCAGCAGCGCTGTTGTTGCTGTTGCCGCTGAGCGGCGACGAGGGAGGGAGGTCCGCGGCGTCATCGTCGGACTCCTCATCGGAGAAGGGGCCTGGAGACATCAGTCTCCAGCCCCTGGGCGGAAAATCTTTGGCCGCGAAGGCCAGCTCTTCGAAGGTTGTCTTCTAGGAGGGCTTTGAGGCGGTCGAGGTTGGGGGGGTGAGGCGGCATCTTGATGGGTTGAAGACGGGTAGAGGAGAAACCCCCAGAGGACTGAGGGGCTTGCCTTGCATCCGTGTTGCATGTAGCGCAGGTGACGCTTTGAAAACGTGCTACTTCAGTCCAGCCGACTTCTACTCTATCGAAATCTGACATCCGTATTACCGTCTTGGCTGCGTTCAAGGTGACCCAACCAGTTAATCACACGCAATTGCATATGAGTATTGCTATTCGTACAACCTGTGCCATGTGTCCCCACCTTTTTCGCCCGCTGGGATGACTTCCTCGACGGCTGATAACAGCGGCGCTGCTGACGCTCCGTCGCTGCCGATGCTACCTTATTGTTTCTAACAGCATTTAAGTCCTCGAGGGGCTCGACCATAACGATTGCCGAAGAAATAGATATACAAAGGCAAAAGAAGCGTGGTGTAACAAGCGTGGTGTTGAAAGATGGGATAGTTGCGTGGGTGGGCGCTGGC